TACCCTCATATACGTGAGACAAGGAGAGGTGACCGAAAGCCGACTAGCCTATGGAGGCCACCAGAAGTGCTATGGAGAAGAGGTGACTGAATAGCATATTAGAAAGGTACAAAGAACTCTTCGGTGTAGATGGGCAGAAAACATACCAGGTATCCATATACAACGCGACGTAAGAGGAATGTGCGAGGACTACTTAATGTAGAACAAAAAGCCGTGATGCCTCTTCGTAAACCTGGAGGAAATCTCCCCTGTCGAAACTCCATCGTCTATAGCCGAGATTTAACATGACATGTAATCTCCTGTGGCTGTTCTGATCTTTCTAGGGCGTTTCTCGGGCAGTTTCTTCACGGAGATCTTCTCTGTGGATCGAGATGATGGCTACACTAAATGATCCTACCGTCTCCGATAGAAAGTGGGCAGGCACCGGCACATCCGCTGATAAAGAGAAAGACAAGCAAGACGCCAAGGCTGGTCGAGACAGCACAGGCTTGGGTGCTGTCATGGAGTCGATTTGAGATGGGACATGTTGGAGATCCTCCGTACCGTGAACATAGACATAATGCGGGAAGTCAGAACTCCCCTTGGGGCGCTGAACTGCCTAAACATGCTCGGTACGGCGTGAGCGTGAGCGGGTGAGGCAACTGCCCTACGTAGAGAAACACGTCAGTAACTGCATGATGAGACAATTAAGTCGTCTCGAGCCTAAACTAAGCTGCTCACGCATTTGGCATGGGAAAATACCCACAAGCAGGATCTGCACCAATCTTGACCTCATTGCCCAATGCATCGAATTTTCGGAATGTTGCGGCTTCTTCCATTCGACTATGTATGATGAATCTTTCTCCGAGACTGTTGAGCAATCACTAGCCGAGGGGGCAAAGTAAGGCGATCGAGCCGACTCATTGTCGTCAGGAATGCTGCTGAAGGCGGTGCCCATGTAAAGGTTGAGCTCATCAACCGGCCCCCAAGGACGACCGTCCGCGCTGAGCCGAAACCAAGAGAAACCCGATGTCCTTGAGTGTCGTGAAGATTCACTGCTGACCCTGGATCGTCTCTCCGCTGATGCCACTGGCTCTGGATACCGTGGCTCGTCTTGCCCTGTTACCGCATGGTCTTCTTGGGTGGAAGCCATTGGGCCTAGGTTGCACACCCTGGTCTCATGAGAAGCTCCGGTGGATAGCTTAGCGAGTGGTTCCGGAAGGAAATGAATGAAAAAGATGACTCCTGCCAGAAAGACAGCCCAGGAGTCCGGGGTAGTGACCTAATGATATGCAGCGGGGAAGTAGAGCAGTGGGTTCTGAGCCTAGCATTTCCCCCGGGTTCGGACATCATTATTTTGCCATCTGAGCACTGCTTACTTGCCGCAGTCATACTACCGCTGTGTTGAGAGTAAACGACTGTCATAGTTGGTGACGTTGCGGTGCCTGACGTGGCCCCGCTAAATGGGCTGTCGATTGCTTCAGATAGATTCATCGGAGACTTATCACATGACGGATGCCGGCAAGTACCTCGCAGTACCCATGCGTGTTGTAGTGCCGGCATGGCCGAGGAGCTCAATAGGTGAGTGAGTTAAAGGGATGTAAACGTCAGGCATAGAACATGCGGGTAACCCCGGCCGATCTGGGTGTTGCGTAAATCATCTGCCGCGCGAGCCGACCTGCTGAGCGTTCAATAAATCATCAACTATGATTTTCTCACTGGACCCGTCTTTCAGGTCTGTTTCTATTCACGGGGAGTTGGGTCTAGGCCCCCCTGTTTCATGTTGTTCGAGAATGAATCGCATGACGCCTGGTCCGAACTGTGTGATGGAAGTTTAAACTTGGACCCCCAATTGTCAAATACAGGCCCGCGTCAAACTGCTTTTTAGAAGAGAAGCTCGTCTTGTGTGAAAACTCACGATCGAATATGGATACCTAAGTAGGCAGATCCCATCGTACAATTCGCAGAATATCCCATTCCGCCTGCTATCAAGGCTTTTCAGCCCTGCTAGTGATGAGATGGGACTTGACTTCTGCCTTTGCGAATGAACGCCTTGCAATAGATTACTGAAATCATTCGCAATCCCAGCATAAAATTTCGTATTGATAAGAACATAGTGGCCATTCGGTCCTCTTGATGTTGTCGCTGGGGCTGCGCGATAACTTCAGTAAGTTAGAACCAGGTTCTCGTGTGATTAAGAGGAAGGCATCTATCCCATAAACGACTTGACACAAGATCTATGTGGCTAACTGCGAATTAGGTATTATGAGCATACAGGCATCTTTGACTGCTGTCTTCAGATTATGTGAGATGTGTTCCAGTTCACAGGGTCTAAACATTGAAGTACAAGCTGGCTGAGAGCACCATTGGTGCCGACCGATAGACACTGGTCACCAACGACGCAAATGACGATACAAAATCTAACCAATGTGGCGAGTTTGAGGACGACTGGCACCGATACAAGGTAGCGCCTGGGGAAAGAGGTCAGCAATGCGTAGTGACCTTGGCTGGCGAGATGACCGACCCGAAGCTGCATCGCGCTTGTATCATCGAGCGCATACCCGTTTTGGGACCAAGCGTGGCAAGCAAGGCCGGAGCCAACGTTAACAGCAACGTGAAGAAGAGAACAACTAGATACGAGTCGCGGAGATTGAGGCCAAAGCGCGAAGGACACAGCATACCGAACGTGATCCTTGAGTGCTGTTAAGAGGCGACATTCGCACCCTTGATAGTTAGTCTAAGCATGACTTACGGAATAATGTTGGCATTTATAGAGCACCAAACAGTAAACGCATTGAAGTATCGAGTTGATGTGTGCTCTCCTAGCGGAATTGGCTTAATGCCTTGTTCTATGACTCGACCTTGGCGCAGAAGTTTGTGAAGTAAGCCATCGCGCTTATTGTGTCCATATTGTGATTTGGCTATGACTAATTGAGAGCTATTCCCTTCAAGTTATGCGTGTAGTTGCTGATTCGCGAATGACGGCGGTGGCGCTTTAACATCCATCATGTTACTGACTTGCCGTGGTCTCTGATCTCGTACGAAGCTCTCGTGATGATGAACGCGAGGGAGACGAGAGTGATTGCACATAATCGCAAAAAGATGATGAGACTCTCAGAGAGCGGTACGCGGATGTAACAAGCAAGTTCAAGTCGCAGATCCGCTGCTGCTCGATCTTGTCCTACCTCAGACCCGACTGTGTGGTACAGGAGGGTGGCAATTGGGTATGCGTGGACGCACAAAGGATGACGGACGATCAACCTAGTTTAGCTGATGCTGAGGAACCACCGCAATGTCTCTGCGTTAGTTGGGTAGCGTGACAAGTCGGGGAAGGTAGACGAAAGGAACTTGGATTACCAGATGGTGCACTATGAGATGTTTGCAGTAAAAATAGAACCACTTGTTGCGAGGATGCAAACCACCATGAGATCATGGCCGGCTGTGGTTCACACGACTCTCAAGTACCGCTTTCGCGATCAATGACAACTTGAACTCAGTCAGGCCAATGTGGTTGTCATCGGCAGGTTTTTGCCCGCGGGCAAACAAAATGGATGTAGCTAGACTTGGTCCTTGACTTCAAGGACCCCTCGAGTGCTTCGGGCTGTCATCCGAGTGGCTGGAGGCTTTGCTGACTTTTTGATTTGTGGAAGACGTCTATTGTCGTCGAAGTCACTTAGCTCCTCTCGTTCCGCCCGTCCCAGAGAATTTCGTCGACGATCAAGAAAAAAGGACTGCGGCCAAAAAAAGAACATGAAAAGAGAGAGACAGAGAGAGATGGTGTCCAGCCTCCCTCTGTTTCTCTCAGAATTAAATCACCACTAAGGTTCAAAATCTACAGATTTGGTTGGATTGGCATGTTCTCGATGGGTGAACTTCGCTTGCTTGAGCTCCTGGTTGGGAAACGCTAGGGTCTCTGCACCGAGTCACCCAACACCCCAGCACGCCGGCTACATACAGTCGGGCGCCAAGAGATGACGAGGATTAGTGAGAATTGATCTGCTATCGGAGTCATCTCCGGCATGAGCAACGTCCAACACGGTGACTTTGCGGTGAGCTTCATTGACAACTTACGGCACCGATGCCGGAATCGTCAACTTACTCAAACCGTGAGAGTAAAATGCAATTTGCTGGTCAAGCAATCGCCATCCAACCAAGAATGGTCTCGTTCTGTTCCAGCGTTCCGGGCCAGCGGCTAGTTGCGCCACCTCCAAGCTTAACAAGATGATCACCGTAGATAGCGGCTAGTAAACGTCTGATTCACACGCTGCACAGCACATCATTGACTTTTCCCGACTTAAGTTGATATGCCCAACCAAATTTGACTGTACAAAACAGCGCAGATTCTATGCTTCAAACAATCAAGGTCCATTGGCGTTTTCTTTTTCTCTTCTTCTTTTTCAAAGGGGGTTTCCCTCCTCGTCCCTTCCCTTTTGGCATGCAGCTGCTTCACATTCTTACCAAGTATCTACTAAAAACGCGCTGCCTTACCGAACTTTAACTAAGTCGCAGTCGCAACCTCTGAAGTCTGCCTCCTCCCGATCATTTCCCGGTAGTGTTCGCCCAAAATACCTGTACAAAAGCTGATCTCAACGAAGTTTCGCCACTACTTTTGACAGCTTCCGTCAGATGGTTGCGAACTGAGAGTGCAAGGGATCTTCCAAGGGTGTTGGTGGGGAGAGACTGCCTGTTCCCTTGGAAGAGCGCTGGAAGATCATGGCCTGCACTTCTAGGCACGTAAGGTGTTTGAAAAGGAGACATCAAGAGCTGTCGTCCTGATGCTCTTAGCTTGTTGCTAGTAACAAACCCCAAGGATTTGCAAGCCGAAGCCAGGGTACCATAACCTGATAACTTCGAGTTATCTGCGAGGCGGGGATTCAGGACGGAATAGTTAAGCCCGGATGAGGCCCGGCGCCAAACATGGAGAAAGTATCGGCCCCGAACTGAACTCCACCTGACCGGTACGGACCACCCCTTACCCCTGATTTGAACCCCATTTCTTTTCTGAAGGCTCGCATTGCTGGTTGCACTACTCCGTATGCCCCCCAAAACGCTTAAACCTTGAGAGCCACCACGGTCACTTTCGTCTCAAGGGACCCAGCTCAACGCGCTACGTGGCGGCTCCTGAGACACAATGTCCCCTCGGTTACATGCTTTGTCTGAAGCTGACATTGAGCAGCTGTGGCCCTACACCATGGCCTTCCGTCGCGAACTCTTCAGTCAAAGCTCCCTTGGAGTATCCTAAACAACTATACGAATAGTCGACAACCCCCCGTTCGACATGACAATATGGCCAATCGACGACAACGGCGTGCCATAATCATCGCCGTAATCCTTTTCGGTCTCTTTGCTTTCCACAGCCTTCATTCCAGCAGGGAACCGCCTCCCGTCGTCCGCGAACATGTCAACATTCGCCTCGTTAAGAGCAGCTTCGACTGGGCCAACCATCGTCACAAGTACCCCGTATCCCCGTCACGAATGCACCATCTGCCTACGCAACGGCCAAAGACTCTTCCGCGAGTCCAATTCAAATTTGGCGCGAAGCGAATGCGCAAGAACGATGCGAAATCTGAATCGCGACGAATGGCGGTCCGAGAAGTCTTTGTCAAGAGCTGGAATAGTTACAAGGAGTACGCGTGGGGCTTTGACGAGCTGACGCCGGTTACGGCCAAGGGGAAAGATACCTTTGGCGGTTATGCGGCAACTCTGGTTGACGCGCTCGACTCCCTGTGGATAATGGACTTGCGCGATGACTTTGATGCTGCCTTATCCGTCATTGGAGCCATGGATTGGGATGATACAAAGGAGACGGCTGTCAATGTCTTTGAAACCACTATCCGTCATCTTGGAGGATTATTGAGCGCGTACGACCTTAGCGGGGAACCCGTGTTGTTGCTCAAGGCCATTGAGCTCGGCGACATGCTATATGCGGCCTTTGACACACCGAATAGGATGCCTCCTTTCTGGTTGGATTTTCAGCTTGCTAAGGAGGGAAAGCTCGTGGCTGGTACATCAGATCCTTCAGCATCGCCATGTTCGCTATCGCTTGAGTTCACAAGACTCTCGCAAGTGACCGGGGACCACAAGTACTTTGACGCAATCGAGAGAGTCAAGCTTTTTCTCGAGAGCACGCAGCGGGAGACTCAACTTCCAGGTATGTGGCCGGCGCTCATCAACTTCCGGGACGAGAGTGTTTTGCAACACAACGAGTTCACATTGGGAGCACTTGCCGACTCTCTGTACGAGTATTTGCCCAAGATGCATGCTCTGCTCGGAGGGACGGACCCAGCCTACGAGAAGATGTATCGACATGCGATGCACGTTGTTGAGCAGTACCTCCTGTTCCGTCCAATGCTCCCCGACAACGAGGATATCCTATTCTCTGGGACAGCGTTTGCCGAAGGCGATGTGCGGCGCAACCCCGAGAGCCAGCACTTGTCGTGCTTCGTTGGCGGGATGTTTGGGCTGGGCGGCAAGCTTTTCGGTATCAAAGAGCACATGGGTCTCGCCGAAAGGCTGGCCCGCGGCTGCGGGTGGGCGTACAACTCATTCCCAACAGGTCTGATGCCGGAGATCTTTGGCATGGTTCCTTGCGAGACACTGGATGGCTGTCAATGGGACGAGGGGCGGTGGAAGCGCGAAGGCGCATCAGGGTTGAAAAAGGGGTTCTCACACGCGCGGGACCCCCGCTACATTCTGCGTCCAGAGGCGATTGAAAGTATCTTCCTGATGTATAGGATGACTGGAAACCCGGAGTACCAGGAAATAGCATGGACAATGTTTCAGTCTATTGTGAATGCGACAGAAACTGAGATTGCCAACTCGGCTATTGAGGACGTCACTGTCAGAGGAGAAACGAAGAAGCTTGATTCAATGGAAGTAAGTCACAACATCTGCGAGGAGCCAAAGGCAAGTATAGGACACAGACTGACGGTTCTACAGAGTTTCTGGATGGCGGAAACGCTGAAGTATTTCTATCTCATCTTCTCGCCTCCTAGCCTAGTTAATCTTGACGAGTATGTCTTGAACACAGAGGCACATCCGCTTAAACGACGGTTGTTATAAGAAGAAAATACAACATCTTTTCATTTTAGAGTAGGCCATTTTCACTACGCTACCTCAAGTTGAGGCACCTTTGCATCAATTGGAGCTGTCTGTTTGGTCCGATATATACAGATAAGCGCAAATGTATGCAGTGGTACCTCGTGATGCTGGACCTGCCAGCCCACCTCCCTTGCGGGCCTCGAGTCTGCTATGATGACGTATCATATCTCATCATGCGCAAGTTCCCTTCCAAATGGTATCATGTGAGGAGCTACGCCTCATTTCCCACTGACCGTCTTCTTCAAGGTTGCCCTTCTAGTGCTTCCATCTCAACAGGGTGACTGAGGCCTTGGAGAATTCGTAAGGGTCCTTGCCATCCCATTTGCTCTCAGCAATACCGACAGGGTTCTTGTCGCCGGTGTTCACGACCTTGACATTCTCGCCAGTGACGGTGTAGACCTGAATATCGGCACCCTCCTTGACACCCTCGAGATCGACAGAAAATCCCTTGGTCTCGTGGACGTTGACGACGGCCAAGTTGACAAAGCCGTTGTCGTCGATGGTGGCACTGACGTCGAGGTAAGGAGTCTCGATGGCGCCGCGGATCCAGACGGGCTCGGTGGCGCCCTCGTACTCGGGAGCGCGCACGTGGGTGGCGATGGTAGATCCTCTCATGTACTTGCTGAATAACAACAGAGGCCACCAAGTAGTTTGCTTGGTGATGCCTTCCTTCGTGGTCATCAAGGGAGAGATGACGTTAACAGATTGAGCAATGTTGGCCATGCCAACGTACTTTGCCTGACGAACAAATACGTTGAGCCAAACACCGACGGCTAAAGCGTCAGACAGTGTGTATCTGCGGCTCATTATTAGTATTGCTGGCATGAATCACAAAGGTCGGAATAGAGGAAGTGTCCACTTACGCCTCCTCAGCACCCTCTTCACCAGGTGCTCTGACGGGATCCCAAACATTCCACTCGTCGAAGCAAATCTTTTGTCTCTTGCATGTGGGCGGCACCTTATTCTCAATGCGGGCCAGATCGATAAGGCTGCCAGTGATTTCAATGGCGCGCTCGGCGGCTCTGGGTGCTGTGCAGGGGAGGGGAGGCAATGTCAGTCGTCTATCTTATGACTGGCATCTAGCCATGTGACAAGTAAACAGGCGGAGATAACTTACCGGTGGCATTCTTCAGATGGTCTTCCGATGCAGTGTAAAGGTGGATGCTGTGCATGTCGATCAACGACGCAGTGGTGCTTCCACCAAGACCATGCAAACTCCATGTGATGCACTCCTTAATCACATATGTGTCCCAGCTGCTGAAGCCAGTCTCACCGCAGAGGATCAGTTCCAAAGAGGGATCGAGAAGCTTGAGCGCCTTGGCCCATTGGTAAGCCTGCTTGGCGTAGTCCTCCTTGGTCATTTGCATGACCTGCCAGGGGCCCCAACACTCATTGCCCAAGGCCCAGTATTTGACCTGTTGTTGAAAGATGAGCGAAATGACCCTGTGCACGCACTCTGGCAGTTTTGGAACGGGTCTGACTTACGTTGTAAGGCTTCTCACGTCCGTTCTTACGGCGAAGGTTGGCATAGTAGGTGTCCTTATCAGAGTTACAGTACTCGACCCAAGCAAGAGCTGAACGTGTCAGTATTAGTCAACCGTACCCATCGACCAGATCTTAGTAGGATCGAGTCCCGGCCGGTGCTACTGGAAGATCAACTTACCCTCATCAAGCGTGCCAGTGCCAAAGTTGAGGGCCAGGTAAGGCTCAGCGCCAACAACCTCACACCACTTCATGAACTCGTCTGTTCCGAATTCATTACTCTCGACGCCGATCCAAGCCAGCTCAGGCCTAAATGGTGGATGCATGTTAGCCACTCGCTGCACTCCAAACGCGGGCCGCTTACGCAGGGGTCTAGACCCCCGAAGGATTCGGCGTCGAGGGGTCTCGATTTGCATGCTGGCGACCGGAATCTCAAATTGGGAGTTTCCTCGTACCTCTTGGGACGGTTTTCCTTGGGACCGACGCCGTCAATCCAGTGGTAGGTAGCAACAAAGTTACCACCTGGATACCTCACAACGGGGCAGTTGAGTTCCTTGAAAGCCTCAATAACGTCCTTTCGGAAACCGTTCTCATCAGAAAGAGGGTTGCCAGGGTCGTAGATGCCACCGTAGATACATCTTCCCATGTGCCTACGAGATGCGTGTTAGTGGGTTTGCATGTTTAGACGCGAGAAGCCCGGGACGAGAAGCAGGCGGCGTAGGCGGCGCAGCACAAGCTTACTCTGTGAAGCCACCATAGACATTGTCATCGATTTTGGAGACGACATGGGAGGGGTTCAGCGTGATGCTGGGGCGAGCATCCTCTGCGATCTTGGTGAAGGTCGCCATGGCTGGAACTGGTTTTGCGGTGCAGTAAGGTGTGGTGAGAGCACTCTTTTCCTGTCCGAGCGTGAGTGCGGCGATGGTGGTCCGATCAACCGGTAGCTGGTAATTTTATGCAAAAAGAACAGCTAGTCGATGAGTGGTGGAAAATGGACAGGACGTGTGTACCGTGGCCGCAAATGCACGGGATTGAGGCCGGAATTTGAACTCGTCAGGGGCGGGGGCAAGCGGTGAAACAACGGAGACGGGCTGAAGAGTGGCAGAAAGGCAATGGAGGAGGATATTGGGCCGGCAGAGGAGGGATCGCATACCAGGGACCTGACTACTCGGTTTTGGGCATCAGTTTCCGTCACAATCGCCTTCACAGAGATGGGATACCCGGGCCAAGACATGGGACTGGGGCTATGTGAGGAGGGGTGGGTGGCCCCCGATTCGCCTTGGTTATTGACACCAACGGCACACTCGATATTGACCAGTTGTCAGTCATGTTGGAGCGGAGAGAAAGTGCGGCTCTCAAATCTCGACTCCAACAGCGACAAGTGAAAGGCAGGTGGTGCAACAGGCGCGCGAATCATAGAGGATACCATGCGGAGAAAGTCGACGATAATGCGGGTGCCAGGGCATCGGAGTGGGGTAGTCGGCTCCGACTGGCCACAGGATTGGGCATGCGGCATGACTGTGTGGGATGGTCTGCTGAGGGATGAGGGATGAGGATGGGAGGGGATGCTAGCTTAGGATGGGATGGTGGGGTTGGAGCAGGGACTCTTGGGGATAATGGGGAAATAGTTGGAGATATTGATGGATGGGGAATCATGAGCTGGCCCTTTTGTTACTTGGGGCTGCATGTTGCTGATGTTGGCATCATGTGTATTGTATGGTTGGCTCTTGGGGAAGCATACGATATCTACATGTACGACTGGATGTACGGGCACGCATCGAAGGCAAGGGCTTTCATGCAAATGTCTCCGTTGTCTCTTTCAACATGGACTTTCGTCTAGCCATATCCATAGTATGGATCAGTACGGATAGTAGCCGAGGTATGAAGATGGAGAGCATTTCAGGTGGGTTGCCTTGATCCGTACTTTTGCTTCGACATTGGTTGTCACAGTCAGGCCAGAACCCATTTCAGGCCTGACTAACAGCTTGGCACGCAGGTAACAGCCAGGGTGACGGACAATGGGTATGGACTTGGAACATGGCGATGGAGGCGCGTACTGAAGGCTGCCAAGATTATCAGATGCGAAGATTATCGCCTAGTTGTCCCCGGTATCCGTACCTTTGCAAGGACAAGCGGTTGAAGAATGTATGAAGGCTGAAGCGAAGCCGGAGAGCAACGAGGAGTAAATGAGTGCTGGTTGGGCCGGCTGCCGAAGAACGGAAACGCAGGCCGAACTATCTATGTGCGAAGCGCGACAACGGTCGAGACGGGCCCGAGCAAGAACTAAGCATGGACAACAAAGAGTAGACTCAGAAGAAGGACTGTCTATGGACCTGGAGGCTGGAGTGACCCGAGTGAGTTTGCGGAGAGGACCGAGAGAATGCGGAACATTTTCCAGCCATTTCTTTTGCTTTTGGGAGGCCAAGTCCCGAGGTGAAGTGGTCGAGGTACGTACCTGAGAGTAAAGGTGAACAAGAAATAGCGGGGCCATAACCTGTCAATGTGGAGTTTCTATTCTCCAGAATCGCTTCTCATTGGAGCGCATAGGCCAAACGCTAAAGCTTGATTCTCCTCCAATCTTGTGCCAGTTCCGCCAGTGACGACATTGGCTGCGATAAGCGGGGCACGGTTGTCTGGTGATCCAATCACAATGGTCTTTTCTGGGCACGTATCGTTATAAGGTACCTTACTAAGGGCACCGTACCTATGTTTGCATCCGAGAGTACGTACTCTAGCCATATCGTCAGGTAAAGTACGGGGGTACGGGGGTACGGAATACTTGATGGAGGAAAGTTGCCGGGCTAACAATATTGGAGCAGACGGGTTATCACGGAATCAAAGAAAAAAGACCAAGAAGGAATGGATACCCATGCTGGAGAAATAAAGTAGAAACTAGAGGATTACAAAGTCATGCTAGGGCGGAGATGAAGCGCAATTGACATATTTTTTCCAAGCGCGTTGCCTAGCTTCGGTGGACAATAACACGCCAATGTGGCTAATGTTCGAGAGCGTCCAGTCACTTCCCGCCAAATGAGTTTCATGAATCGTTCTTTTCCATGCGGTTGAAGGAAGTGGAAGTTCAGAGGCCACACCTGCGTTCTCGACAAGGCTAGGTATCCAACCTTCAGACAATACTGCCCGAGTTGCCATGTGACTGATTCTTGTCAGCATGGCTGGGGTCTTCCTCCCTCGCCGCCAGTTCCAGCAGCTCGGATCGCCAAAAGAATTCAGCCAACAACCTGATCATCATGGAATGGCGCAGCATGTAGTGTACGCCCTTGGCGTCCCCATTCATTGCCGTGTCGCTCGTCGGTGTTGTTGAGCCGAACACCCACAGTCTTCCACACACACACACAACGCACCCGCAAACTCCGCCTTGAAACTCCCAATCCTAGCAACTTTCCCCGCGTGCCCACGTTGCTCAAAATTATGGAGATTGGAGAAGGTCCTGGCCGTGAACCTTAACGGGCGCTTCTCGAAGTCGACCTCAACTTTGTTACCTCTGCCTCACTGCCTACCAGTACCTCGTCTTTGACACGCGCAGTACTTGGCACACACACACACACGCGCACCTGCATACACCAAACAAACACCTCCAGCCTTCACCAACACCTGGCAAACTAGCGCGACATCTCCGCATCCCAGCGTAACCTGGGGCAAGGGGGCAGTCTGGGGCCGGGGCAACCGTCACCGATGCCGTCTTTCAACGGGCTGAGTGGCCCCGGAAATGGCAAGCCAGGGATTCGAATGCCTCTCCACTCTCGCATATCCTCCCCGGTAACTTTACCACCAACCGAACGCACCACGGCAACATTGCTTGGTGTTTCGCCTGCGCTAGCCTGTTGTATCCAAAATGGCACACGCTTCTGGGAGAGCATGAGGGAGAGACTCAGAGAGGCAGACCGGCTTGATCTCTTCGATGCTCCCACGCTCCCATCCGATGCGACCTTCGGGCCAAAGTGGATACGGGGAAACATGGGGTCGCTCAAACATTCTATAAAGACGCGACGATCCCTTCGTGCTGATGCAACACGCGAGACCGTTCCATTGCAGCTCGACGAGTCGGTTTGACCCTGAACCCTCGAATCGTTAGATTCTGCAGCTCAGGCTTGGACGTTGCCTACTTCCTGACGAGCCCGCGACGACTACCTACCCAACACCTTGCTGGAGAGTCCTTCACCAACAACCCCCCAAAAAAAACCAAGCCCACCATGGCGCTCCCTCCCAAGTGGTACCAGTTCCTTGTGAGCGTCTTCGCCTCACTCGGTTCCTTCAACTACGGTTATGATTTGGGTGTCATTGCCTCTGCCATTGCCTCGGCTTCGTTCAAGACCAAGTTTGGCGAAGACCCTAATGAGATGTAAGTCACCGCCTAGCGCAGAGTTACTACCGACTAGAATCTGTGGTCAACCATCAACCTGCACGAATCTAGAGCCATCACGACTGACGCTTTCTCCCTCTCAGTGGCGCTGTCGTCTCCGTCTTCACTGGAGGTGGCTTCATCGGCGCTGGTGTCGCCGGTCCCACCGGTGACAGACTCGGCCGTAAGAAAACCATTCTCATCGGTGCTTCCATCTTCGTTCTCGGTGGTGCTCTCCAGGCCGCCGCCCAGTCTCTGGCTTTCCTCTACGCCGGTCGTGCGCTCGCTGGTATCGGGTACGTCAATTCCTCAACCCAAACCTGCCAACCTGATGGGGACAATACATGTGCTGACTGATATCCTTCCAGTGTCGGTATGTTGACAATGATCATTCCCATGTACCAGGCCGAACTCTGCCACCCTAGCATTCGTGGACGAGTCACTGCTCTGCAACAATTCATGCTCGGTGTCGGTGCTTTGGCTGCTGCTTGGATCTCATACGGAACATATATTGGGTTTGCCGAGAACGATAACAACCAATGGCGCGTCAGTTTGGGTATCCAGTGTATTCCTGGTGGCATTCTGGCTCTGCTTATTCTCCTCTTCCCCGAGTCTCCTCGTTGGCTCATCGACCATGGCCGTCTTGACGAGGGTCTTGCCACTTTGGCCAAGCTCCACGCTCACGGCGATATCAACGATGCCTGGGTCCGCGCCGAGTTCGACCAGATCCAAGATTCCATCGCCGCTGAGCACGAGGGCTCGGCAAAGTCTTACAAGGAGCTCTTCACCGACAAGTCCTGCTTCCGTCGTCTCTTCCTCGCTTGCGCTCTCCAGGCTTCCATTCAGATGACCGGCGTCAGTGCCATCCAGTACTACTCCGTCGCAATCTACGAGAAGATCGGCATCGCCGGTGATGAGACCCTTCGCTACCAGGCCATCTCCTCCGTCATTGCCCTCGTCGCCCAGTTCCTCTGCATGATGCTCATCGACAAGACTGGTCGCCGCTGGCCCTTGATCTTCGGTAACCTTGGCAACTGCGTTACCTTCATCATTGCCACCATCCTTCTGGCCAAGTTCCCTCCTGGCTCTCCTCATGCTAGTGGAGCCACCGCCTGGGGCTTCATTGCCATGACATGGCTCTACAACTTCAGCTTCAGCGCCACCTGCGGTCCTCTATCGTGGATTATCCCTGCCGAGATCTTTGACATGAAGACTCGTTCCAAGGGTGTGTCCATCGCTACCATGACTTCATACGCCTTCAACACTCTCATCGGTCAGACCACCTCTGTGGCTCTCGATGACAAGCACGGCATTGGCTGGCGCTGGTATATTCTGTTCATTGTAAGTTACCACAAAGGCCGGCGCAAGGTTGAACACATGAAATTGTCTAACACGTATTCTCATAGGTGTGCAACTTTACCAACGCCCTCTTCTTCTGGGCATTCCTCCCCGAGACTGCTAAGCGTCCTCTGGAAGAGATGAGATATCTCTTCACTGAGGCTCCTCTCTTCATCCCGACCTTGGACATGTCGACTGTTGAGTCTCACGACCTCGAGCGCAGGGTTGAAGCGGTTGAGCAGAAACGCGAGGAGCACGGAAGCGAGCACATTTGATTCGTCAATAGATCTCACTTACACAGACACACAAACACTCCCATAATACCCAGGCACACATAGTACTTAATGTAACATTCAACGCACTGGTCTGACTCTAGATCCAGTGTGACGCGTCATCGAAAACTAAAACGAGTTGATCCTTCGCACATTGGGTATACTTGTACACAATCATGGTTCCTAACACCATGCCCACCTCGTAGCCAACAACCGACCTTCTCAACCTCGTTCTAAGTGATGGTACTCCATATTGTTTGACGTCCACCCGCGGTCGTCTGCCCTTTATCTGTAACCATGTGTTGGTGCTGGTCTCGCCACGCCGTGGTGACCCTGATGACCATGTCCGTGACCGGGCCCGTGTCCGTAGCCGGACTCCATCATTGCCGGGCCGCCGCGGCGCTGGCGACCGAAGCGAGAGAACATGCCTCCACCTCCGCCGCCGACTGGATGCGGCTGACGACCGCGCTGCTTACGTTTGTTTCGGAAGCAGCAGCAGTAGCAGCATAGGACCCAGAAAGCAATAAAGATAAAGCCGGCAATAGCAATGCCGATGATGGCGCCAGTGGCAAGGCGTCTTCCACGTCCAGCCTGGTTCCTTAGTCAATATATTGTCATCAAGAACTGGACTTCAATGGAGGCCAACCATTGCTTAGGTAGACGGATGCGGTATCAATAGTAAAACCACTGAGTCGTCTGAATCTCTGCTGGTGGGTGATGTGGGCGAATTGGCTGACAAACGGAGAGTCTGTGTAGATCGTCTGCGTAGAGAAGTATTATGAGCTGGGTGCACGGTACTTAGTGTTCCATCACGATGGTGGGCAGCCTTTTATCAATCCTATCCATTACGACTTCTGGGCACACGACATACTTGGCTTGCCCCAATTCCTGGCCATTTTAAATAGTGTCACGTCACGAACATGGCTGAGAGCGCTATGGTGGTCAAAACACGTCAGCAGGGGAGCTCGGTGTGGCGCATTCCAAGAAAAGTCGTTGTTTGGTAGCTCAAGGAGCAAGGTTCTCACCGTCCCCGTAGCCCCAAAGTTGCACTCAGTAAGTCATATCCTAAGCCAGTGAACGGCAGACGTGCCGTATGGTGCTACGCCTAGCTCCACGGTGACTTCATCGTCCAACTTGGCTCGCGGTCGACGCGTGGCTGGTGCCTCGGTGGGGCCGGCCCGAACGGCACATTGACGCGGCGCCAAGGTGGGCCGGCAATCCGGCACTGCCGACATATTTTTGGTGTCTCCTCGGCAGCACCGACCCGGCTCGAGTGAAGCCATCGAAATTCTGTTCCTCAGTTCGATTTGTCTGATTCTTCTACTTCAGCTACCTAATGGATTGACCCAGATTGAATGCTTGGGACATCTCATGGAAGTAAAGAATCGCGTGATATATAAAGGGTCTCGAGCAATTTGGGTATTACCATCTGCCGGTAGAAAACTGGAAGACACAAGGGGAGTGTATCATAGTCTTGTGTAAAACCTCCAGAGTAGAGGCGCTAGTCCTTGGTTTGGCACCTGCAATCCACGTGAATTTGATCAGCGATCAGGTAGCATTCTCCCTACCTAATTTACTGGTAGTGAGTGGGCTGTGATGCCCGGTACATGACAGGTGATTTTTTGTACACGACCTCAAATAATCGTGATGCCCCGCTACTACCTTACATTCCACCGGGAGCGGCCCACTGTAGAAGGGCTGATGGAACGCACATGGGTCCAAGCCTCCAGCAAGTTGGTGGCTTCTACATGAAAGTTCAATCTTGAGTGTGGCTTTGGATTAGTACCGACCTTGTCCGGAAAACATTATCGGCAATCCTGAGTCAAGTCTAGTAACCTCAATTAGGTATTTCTTGGACGAACACGTTATTTCCTGGGCAATTGCCTACAGCTCGGGCCTTCGAGCCGACGCCAGGCTGTGACTACGGCTATACACGATCCGCTGCATAGTTGCACATTTGCATCAACGACCGCGAAGAAAGCTGTCAATAAACAGTGCTGCAATCAACGTGACTTTACCATGTGATGATTCATACCATCAACAAGACCGACCGTCTTCGTACCACAGAATCGAAACCAGGACAGCGACGCCTCGAGCATCTTCCCTCTCAATGATCAACCGCCACCTTCATGACTCGTGAGGCGAATCTTGTAGAACGTCCTGCCTTTAATGCCTACTAAAAGCTTGATTCAACTCTATTTTCACCAACGTTTGTTGAGTGTTTTCCTCAGGCTCTACTACGTCTAAATCTTACTGTGATCAGTGACTTGACGATCACGGTTGCTATACAATGTAGGGTTGGATTCCGGATAGCCGGCGAAGAATCCCGACCAGTTATATCCGCCAACATCGCAGAAGAGCTTTCATTCATCTTCCATCTCGCAGGCCCTCGGAGTTAAAGCATTTGCTAATTGAGTGTGGGGGTTAACAATCCAAGTGTGCTTTTTTGATTTGTGCTGGCACAGTCCCATTCCAGAACTTTTGGTGTTCGCCTATGAAATCATTCAAGAAGCAGTTTGGCCATTTTTCTTGAGCCTTTCCCGGACGTTCAACATCTACAGAATCACCAACAAACTATTGCCGCTGTCCTACTCCAAAATTTTAAATAAATCTTATGATCAGATATGGTCTTCTATCTGTGTATAGTTCACAAAGTTGCTGAACTCGTCAAGCTGCTAAGGGTGCTCTGGCCCGACTGATAGTCTCCTGCTGCCAATTGACAAGCCCTTAGGTTGATGAGCACCAGTCAAAGCCTTGCTCGCCATTACCCACTCACCTCATTCTGAGTGTCAGTTACCTCGCTGAAGTGTGGGCATTGCCGCTCAGGTGTACATGATAGGTCAGATGCCTGATGGGTAGTTTATAAGGGACGGCCCGCATACATTCGTGATAAATTCACGTCAAGTTTTTTGATCCTCTAAAAGACACTCAATGAGGCATAGGGGTATACTTAAACGTTCCCATTTCAGACTGCATCACACGGCTTTCCTGCCCAAAGAAGAAAACCCAGCTCTTGGCAGTCAGCACAGTACACCAGTTTACATGGGGTTCGCACTGGAGCAAGAGCCTGATTTGCAAAAATTGTGATGTATACTGGTCGCAACCAACGAGCAAACAGAGCAACTACTAGGATCACCAGCAAATAGGAAATAGGCGCCGAGAAATAAGGATTTCTATACGGTGGAGAAGAAATTTCGAAGACTCTTCCTGATTCGGCGTTCCAACAACCACCTTGTTGCGACGACATTGAGCTGAAGGTAATTGCATCCTACTTATGGAGTCCGATGTACATCTCACAGCCACTCCACGCCGCACAGCTACATACGGCAATATGGGTCTCTAATTTCAGCCTGGAATTTTCATTCTCATCCGTTTTTCTCACTCTTTCTTCATACTCTACACAGAAGAAATTGCCATACGCCCCATTGTCAGTCACCATGCTTCATGTCCTCGCAGCTATCCTCACGACTCTAATCGGGACGGTTGCCAGCCAAGGGGCATGTTTCGTTCCCAACGGTACTAACAGACATGATTTGACCAACGCCAACATCCAAAAGTATGCGTCTTGCGAAAGTTCTGGACACGGTATGTGTTGCAATATCGCAGGAGACAAGTGTCAGGCGGATGGCCTGTGTTGGAATGAGGAGCACAAGCAGCTCTGGCGGGAAAGCTGTACAGACCCTACCTGGGAATCACCCAAATGTTTGAAATTGTGTGTCACGGATGATTACGGTAAGCTTCCTTCCTTGAGAAATCAAGCATAGTAACACGCAATTTCAATTGTCAGAAACTGGCTGTCTGAGAAAGCAACTGACTAGTGAGAGCGACGTGAGTGCTAACAACCACCAAGAATCAGACGACGGTATACCAGGAAGTGGAATGGATGTTGTTATCACCAAATGTAGCGATGGTAGCTATTGCTGCGGCGAGGGCCAGAATGCCTCAATCTGCTGCATGGCTGGGAGAGGAGTGTACATCGTCGATGGCAGAATAATCACCTCTTCTGCCGCTTCTTCGTCCAGCACGATTGCCCTCGCAACCTCTCTGGCGACACTTGGAATCTCATCCGCGATCACTTCTGCGATCACTTCTGCGATCACCTCTGCGTCTCTTTCTGCCGATGCAAGCGCAACATCTCCAATTTCATCATCAAATCCTCTCGAATCCACAACAAGCAAAACCAACTCAACTTGGGACAATCGAAATGGGATCATTGGTGGCGCTGTGGGTGGAGGTGTCGGCCTGGCGATAGTTGGCATCGTGGCTGCGTTCTTTTGGTACAAGAAAAAGAGGAGGTACGCAGAAACAGCGAAGTTTGAAGCAAGTCTCGAGAAGCAAACCGCCAAGAATTGGCCGGCTTCATCGGCTCAACTCCAGGACCTCCACGAGCTCCCAGTCAAGCCAAACCCGGTCGAGCTGGCAACCGAATCTCCACCAGCCGAGTTAGAATCAGAACCACTGTCAAGAAGATGATTCTTTATATACACATCGATCAGATAGCATGAGCTCGAGCCGCACAAAGTAGTAAGGAAGGCATCTGAGTCTAGATGTCTTTATAATTGGCGCCCTTGAGCCCAGTTGCGCGGCCGATAGTTGAACAACTTGCTTGTGAGGAAGATGGGAAATAGTGCTTAGAGGACGATCCGTTGGTTCTATATTAATCCTTGTACACTCTAACCTTGTAATCGTCCCTCCATTTGTCCTCGATTATGACAAGTTGAGCCTTCTGCACCTTGTCTAGGTATCGGTCTTCTGCAACATCCTTATAGTCGTCTCGGTCAATATCCATATAGCCCTCTTTCGCAACAGTTCTTGGTGTGATCATCAATGAGCGTCCTGTAAGATAGATTTAATTAGAGGTTAAACTTGCAAACGATTTGGTTTCTGAGACTGACCATTGATAGACTTGTCGCAAGCAACTCTCATCATGCAGTTGGCAACATCCTCTTGCTCCCCAAATTCGACCCCGTGATCAATCAACCATTTTTCATACTCGGCAGTACGAATCGCACTCTTGATCCAGCACGGAGCTACGTAGACGATCCGGATGCCTTGCTCCCAACTAGAGCGTCTGGCAGTTCTCATGAACCCATGGAGACCGTACTTGGTAGAGGTGTACTCCCAGTTCCCGGGGGAGTCAATCCATCCAACCATGCTTCCTGTAATAATGAAGCATCTGTCCCTGTCGTCGGCTTCTGGCTGTTGTCTGAAGTAGTGCACTGCGAGTTTCCATGTGTAGAAGGAGCCCTTGAGGTTGACATCGACGATGTTGAGATTAGGCTTGACCGGCTCTCCATTTGGATCATCCAGATTCCATAGGCTGTCTCCCGAACTTCGACTAATGCCAGCGTTCGCAATGACGACGTCTACGCTTTTAGAAGGACTTTGACTTTTGGCTGTCTCAAACATTGCCTTCTGCTGATTCCAGTCCCTGATATCGCACTCCACGAACGTACAACACACGCCGTTTGCATTCAGCTCTTTCTCGATGTCTTTGCCCCTAGCATTGACATCGCCGAACGTAACAAAAGCACCAGCTGCGACGAAGGCTCGCACACATGTCTCGCCCATGCCATTGGCACCGCCTGTGATAATGACTGATTTTCCTTTGACGTTGTTGCGATCGGGGATGATAGTGTGGTCGATTGGACCATTGTATGTGTACTGTGGGAGGGGCATGGCTGCGATGTGTCTTGATCTAAGAGCGTAGCTTAGATCGACTCGTCAGGGACGAAACTAGCGAGGGAGAGACAAGAAGAGTTTGAACGTTTAGTATGAAATCGAATATACTTCAAACTTTCGAGTATTCTGATGATGTGCAGAAGCCCAAGCTCTTAATCAATCTCTTGTCTCTTTCAAATGTACCTCCCGATGTTACCTGATGTTCCCGGCTCTACACAACCGGGACCGAGACAGGAGGGAGGGGAAAATTGGAGTAAGCATTAGACCCGTGAACGCCCCCAAGCTCCCGGCCATTGTCCCAGCCCCCCTGGATTCCCCGCTGGGAAACCATTTTGGGATAGCCGATGGCAATTCTCAAGATGGTTGATTTGGCGTGTAGGCTTCGGCAACCTTAGACAAGGCAACCCAAAGACGACGGTTAGGCCTAATGAGTCCATAGCGCGACTGGCACAATCGTTTAGATGAGAATCATGTTAATCCGATGAGGCCATTCTCCGTTGGGATTGCCATAGTATGTGCCGGGTCCAATAAAGATAATGCGGACTGGGCTATCTCGGAGATCACTGGAGCGGAGCGTGTGTCTCTAAACAACATCTCTCAACCATAAAGACGAAGAAGAGGATTGCTCATCCAAGACTTCACCTTTCCGCTCAACCACTTGACATCGTGTGCTCGTGTTCTTCAAAAGCCGGCTGGGTCAACCTTAGCTTTCAGATCCCCTTGAAGCCTTACAGCATCTTTTAACATTGTACTCTTATCAACATGACTGCTTCCGTCGAAGCACCCGCCACCGCACCGGTCGACCCTGGCCCAGTTGCAACATCTCGCGTTACCAATGATGTGCCACGAATGCCGGCACCAGAACTACCAGAGGTTGTCCAGGGCAATACGAAATTTCCACAACAACCTTCAGTAAGCAATCACAATGGCGTTTGCGACGATCCTTTCAAGCTCGACACCAAATTCGCCTACACCCCACGGAAGGTCAAAGTATTCACCATTGGTGCTGGCTTCTCCGGACTCCTCATGGCCCACAAGTTCCAGCACAGATTTCCAGAGATGCGAGATATCGTTGAACACACAATATTTGAGGCGCATAGCGAAGTCGGTGGTACCTGGCTTGTCAACAACTATCCCGGCGTGCAGTGCGATGTTCCAGCGCACATTTATGTGAGTACCCTGCGTCAAGCATCCAATTGAGCCTGAGCGGGCTAATCATGTCTTTAGGCATTTCCATTTGACCCCAACCCAAACTGGAGTCGTTTTTACGCCAGTGGAGCTGAAATCCTCCAATACATGAAAGACACAGTCAAGAAGTGGAATCTTGATCGTGATCTTCAGTTGAACACCAAGGTTGTTGGCGCTACATGGCAGGAAGAGCTTGGCCAGTGGAAAGTTACGGTAGAACACCAGGGTGAACAGCGTGATGAATTCTGTCACGTCCTGATCTCTGCCCAAGGTGTACTTGTTCACGAATCCTGGCCAGACGTCCCGGGTCTACGAGATTTTGAGGGTCACATCACTCACTCCGCTCGCTGGGATCACGATTTTGACTACTCCAACAAACGAATTGCTGTCATTGGGAACGGCTCTTCTGGCATTCAGATCGTTCCTCAAATGGCCAAGCTACCTGGTACGGATGTGCTGAACTTCATCCGAGGACCTGCATGGGTATACTATCGCGCTCCTCCATCCAAGCACCTTGGGAGGGATGACCCGGACCCCAACCCACGATACACTGACGAGGAGAGAAAGAGGTTCCATGATCCTGAGTACCACCTCGAGCACAGGAAGGGAATCATTTCACGCACCAACAAGTCCTTCTACATCTTCATGAAGGGCGAGAACAACAAAGAGGGCATGAGATTGGCAGCAGCGCAAATGGCGGAAAAGCTAGGCCACGACCCCGAGCTGTGCGAGAAGCTCATTCCAAAATGGGAGTTGGGGTGCCGGCGCATCACGCCTGGGCCTGGCTACCTCGAGTCATTCTTGCGACCAAACTGCAACATCACCAACAGTGCCATCACCAGTGTTTCGAAGAATGGTGTTCACACAGCCGATGGCAAGTTCTATGAGTGTGACGTCAGTAAGTAAAAAGACCATCTACTATGACCTGAAGTGTCTATTTTGCGGCGTATCTGACAGGTCTCTAGTTGTCTGTGCAACTGGGTTTGACGTCTCCCATCGTCCAAGATACCCAATTGTTGGAAAGGAGAACATCGACCTCGCCACGAGATGGGCTGAGGACCCTGACTCCTATGTCTCAGTTGCTGTCCCAGACTACCCCAACTACTTCATGATGATGGGACCCAACTGCCTAGGTGGTCATGGGTCCTTAGTGGAGTCTCTGAACTGGACAGGAGACTACTTTGTGAAGTGGGTTAAAAAGATGGCCACAGAGGACATCAAATACGTTGAGCCCAAGCAAGAGGTTGTTGATGCCTTTATCAAGTACAGCGACCAAGTACACAAGACACTTGTATGGAGCGGTGGCTGCAAGAGCTGGTACAAGAGGAACCGTGTCGATGGCAGGGTTACAGCTCTATTCGGTGGCAGTGCTCACCTTTTCAACCGGATGCTCAGCAACATCCGCGGTGAAGATTTCAACATTTGCTATCGTACATCAAATCCTTTCAGGTTCATGGGCAACGGGTTCACGGAATGGGAAATGGATTCAAAGAGCGACTTGTCTTGGTATGTAGAGAAAGCCGAGGTTTTGGGCAAGGTTTGAGTCCATGCTCTGAGCCGAAGTCGAATCGATAGATTGGTACTAGCATTTTCAGTAACAGAGTGTTTAATTGTTCAGTCCGATGCGCTGGCAGTATTGATTCATTTCTATTGTCAGACTACTAGTACCTTAGCTTACTCCAGTCACCATGTGCAAAGCCTGTATGGACCCGCCTTCGTGGCTTTCATCCAGGGACCATAAAGTCCAGACGGTAATCTACAAAAGGTTCGAACAAATCCTCAAACTGATTAACGAGCGTCTCATGGAATAGCGCATTATCCGGAGACGGGAAACCTCTTGTTGCTGTGCCATGGGCCCGACCAGTCAACAGACTGTCAGCGATTCCTCCAGTATGTTGTGTAGCGAATGGGAACAGGGCAGTCCAATCAAAATCATCGAAACCTCCTCTGTCCAATGGGACTGCCTCGACATTTGGTGGATCGGAAATGACAACGCCAGTTTCACCATGGATGGGCTCAATGTTCTCTGCCCCCGGCCTTGTAACTCGTATCGCACCTGAGTTGGTACCCCTCAGACGTGAGAAGCCCTGCCTGATGACGTTCGCGGAACCCCACATGATCTGAAGCTGGTCTGCTGCCCTCACGAGGATGTCAAGACAGTCATTGGCATCTTTCGCTAAGTGCGGGATTTGACAGGCCTGAAGTAGTGGTATGAATGCCGTTCCAGTGTACCAGCAGGTAATTGCCATCAAAAAGCGAGTGTTGCCTCGAGATAGAATATCGCGCAATATTCTGGCAATACAGGATGCTGCTAATATGGCCGGAGGAAGTGCTTCTGGCAGAGTGTTGGCTGAGCGTTTGAGGTGAAGGACAATGATGGTGGTGAGATATGGAAGATGTAACTGATGCACGTCTTTGTCAAAGTTCTGAGTGCGAGCTGAGCCGATGGGAAGTTGCAGGTGAGGAGGAAGAGAGTTGACCCAGTCCACCAACTCCTGTCTGTGGTGGTCTGGTGATATTTCTGCCGTAGGCAGCGTCGAACGTGAGAGTGTTTTTGCAATCCTCCCGATGATGACACAAAGGCGAACCCAGTATATAAATATCTCTCCTTTCCTCTGAGATCTGAGATCGCTTGGAAAGTCGGATAGGGTGGGTTCTTGTATATTGCAGTCATCGAGATCGATGATGGCTGGCTTACTCTGACACAACGCAGTCAAACGTTCCCGAGCCTAGCACATTTCTTAGCAAAAGGCTTGACGAGGGAGACGGTTATTTCCAAGCCACTTACAAATGCCGTCCACCAAATTCTCCTTCGTAATCCTAGGTTCAAGTTGCCCGAAACGATTTGACTCGCTGTTGGCTCACGGTGTAGATTCATTTGCTGCGCATGACGAATGAGGACGGACGTCCACCACCATGATGAATGCCGATGAACTGTGCTTGGGGGCCGTGGAGCCCACCAGTAGAATAGAGAAACGGCCATGAGTGTAGTCAAACCATCTGCCTCTTCGTCTTCGTAAAATATTGTGCGTGCCTTCTTGTAATACTCGGCCGGTCCTTCATAAGGCACCAGTGGAGGCTGCACGTTGCTTGCGGCAGTTGCTAACGCATTTGCAAGGAGAGGGGATCGCGCAATATCGCTGGCAAGGGTGTCTGAATCCAGAACTGGACACCAGGCATAACAGTATTCGAAATAGGTCTCGGCAAAGCTTTCCTGGAGATCCTGCTCATGTGGATTTGAGAGACTGTACTTGTGGTCTAGGCACGCCTTCAATGCCTGTTTCTCAGCGTCAGACTGATTCTCAGGTGCATAGACCTGTAAGAATCCAGTGTCTATATCCCCAGTGTGGCTCTCAGCAACACCTTCGGTGCGTGCATCACTGCTCTGTGACCTCTGTGATGGTGATGGTGCGAGGTGGTTTTCTTGAGATCGGACAGCCGGAGCAGCTGAATGCGGGGATGAGGCACGTCTATGCTGCTCTGATATTGAGTGGCGAGAGCGGGAAGGCGGAGGCGGCGGAACAAAATCATTGAAGCCTGTGGATAGAACATGAATGGCATCGGCAACCGCGTCTGTTTGTGATACGATTCCTTCATCACCAGAAGCCGATGTCGCTGGTGGTGTCGGGACACGACTTGAATGGCCTGGCCGTACAAGACGTCGCCGTTTTGTACGCTTCGAAGGGCGAAGATGGCATTCCTTCTCCCAGACGTCACAATTCGTGCAGCTCTCGTAGCCTTCAGAGGTCCTGGCCTGAGTATGGTCAGAGCAATTCGAAAATATTGCGCGTCTCTCAGACAAACCTGAAGGTCGCACTTGACCTTTTTGCCGTGGCAAACCACACAGACGAGCTCAGCTCGCCGACGCTTGGGCTGCGAGGCATCGAAAGGGAGCCATTCACTGATCGTCTCCGGCATGGCAAATCGTGGGACTTGGACAGATCTTTCGGGCAAGGTTGTTGACGAAAGACAAAGTCTAATCCTGACACTCCCTTGAACGGATTTGAGATGAGGTTACAGTGAGATGAGGAAAGTCTGCGTCTGAGCCTGGGCCCAGAACCCGAGAGGGCGGAGATGGAGGCCGGCTGCGGAGAAATGCGGGGAACGGGGTAGTCACTAGGTTCTCAGGCCAGGCTCCAGCACCCTGTCACGCTTGTGTGCTATTAATTAGTGAAGGATCTTGGATTTTTAGGGGGGAAGTTAGACCAAGACAAGGGAGGGGAGGGGGGCAGGAAGGAGGGACACTTGGGGGGACCCCAGGCTAATATTTTAGGGGACTTACTAGGTCGATGGGGCCTCGAACCATTGGGAAGATGGAGCCTGAGAGCAAAATGTGATTCGTACGTGGCTTTCCATATTGAGGATGGCGTTCCCACGTCGTGGGGTTCAGTTGGGTGGTTGGTGGCTGTGGTTCCAGCAGAGATAATCGCACAGAACCACCGATTCCTAGCCTCTCACTTAAACTGCCACGTGAGTCGTACGAACTGGACACTTCGGAAGCAGACTTTGACTTGAAGCGCGTCTCCTTTTCAAGTACTGTTGATGCTCAACTCTTCTCCAATGCTGAAGTTGAACGCAAGTAGGCTATACGAGAGTCACGAGTGTCTCATCGTTCATGACTGTAGTGACTAGGTTTTTCGAAATCATGATTTTCACAAGGTCTACTCCTGTAAATGGCATTTTACATGGCCGGATATGAACTTGCATAGCTCTTAGAAGAGCGGATGGTGTATTAGGAACTCGGTAACATTCAGGTGTAACTAAACCATTCTGAGTTGACTACGTTCCGTTCCTCCATTACCAAGAGCATCACATTAAAGCAACACAGGCAGCAAAAAGCAATAGTCAAACTCTCCGTGGGAAAAAAGCAGAACCGACGCGATATCCACCTAGAGGATATATCTGAACTGGGGGTTCTGCCACTTAATCAGCATACTTGAGCCCTTTTGAGAGCCAGGAAGTAAACGTACCTTCATGTCGGTGAGATCGTCCTCATAGGCGTGGTCAAAGCCCTCCATGATGCCTGCCTTGTCACGCTTGTTGTTGTACCAAATGCAGACAAATCGATAGACAAGACCGAGAACTCCTGCAGCCAAAGACGTAATCACAACAACGATGAAGCCAGGAGCATAATTAGGCGCATCTTCCTTCCGAAAGACCAAGGGTCCGACAAAGTTACCTGCTCGCAGAATTAGCCATCGTGAAGTTGTAGTCCAGTCGAAGACAGATTTGACATACCAAGGCAGTATCCAATATAAAGGCCGGACGAAGCAATTGACCGTTTGGTGTAGCCCGAAGTGTTGGCGATCTGCAGGCCCATAAGAACGGCATATCCTCCTCCAACTGACGGCAAAATGTAGGCAGCAAAGAGAAGAGCACCTTTGGCTGACCGCGGCAATAGCCACAACAACAGGGCAGCGAGAGTGGTTCCCATCTGAGCACCAAACACAATCCAAGTGCGGCAGTTCTTGAACCTGTATGCCAGGTAAGGCATGAGGAGTTGTACAGTGCCTCCATATGCACCCGCCGGCATAGTAAGCAAGAGGGAATTAAGGGTGCTGAATCCAAACCCGTTGATGATGATGGGAACAAATGTCGAGATGGGTCCATTTGCAATCATGCAGAGGAATGCAATGGCGAAAACCAACCAAAACTTGATGTCAAGACCAAGCTCGCCGACCTGCTCCATCTTGTAATGGGTGTTGCGCACGCCCGAGTTATTGCTTCGCAACCGGGCAACCAAGATGTATCTTTCTCTGTCGTTGAAGCCCTTTGCGCGAATGGGGTCGGGAGGAAGGACAAAGTACAGGAGAAGACCCCAGACAATTGTCAGCGACCCGGCAAAGTAGAACATATATCTCCACGAAGAGACTCCGCCATTGAGCTTGCCGAAACCATAGTTGATCAGTGGAGAGAAGATCGAAACATAGCCCGTGCAGCTGTACCAAATACTGTGTATGAATGTTAGTATACTCTCAAACTCTCCTCGAACCTCTCAGACCTAGACATCGTAGGTGATTGACGTACCCCATTCGCATGGCTTGCTCGTTCTTCTTATACCAACTTCCAACAATGAGCATAAACATTGGGCTGATGCCGCTCTCCAGTAGTCCGAGGCAGAACCGCTGAGCGTAAAGGTCGCGATAGTTTCTGCATACAGTCGTAAGGATCAAGGTGAGACCCCAAAGAGTGACAATAACCGAGGCGACTCGCTCAATTGGAAATCGTTGGGCCAAAATCATAGTCGGATAGGCACCGACAATGAAACCAAGGTAAAAAATGGCGGCCGACATCGAATATCGATCACCGACCGTCAGGTCCAAGTCGGTTCGCAATCCGAAGAGAGCCTGTGTAACAGCAAATTAGCGGCACGATGGGACATAAGGTCGAGGACCTAACTGGATTTGCACGAGTCTTTACTTACCGCCTGCGAAAGCATGGCCTTGTCATAATACTGGAGACCGTATGTCATGCATAGCACTGGCATCAATCTCCAGTCTATCTTTCTTCTGAGTTTCTTCTCTTCTTTCTCTGTCCATTCATAGTCGCCGGTGTAGCCTTCGAGCACCTTGAGTGCCTCGTCATTGTGAACTGTGTCAACAGCGGCGCTCGGCTTCATCTCTGCAACACCTTCAGGGCGCTCCACTTGCTGAACACTCTCTGCAGACTTGGCGGGATCAGACATGTTTGCTGAAACTTGAAATCGGATGTCAACTTGTAGGATCCCGAACAGATGGCAACATCGTACGAGGGAAACCAAGGCAATGTTATAAAAGAAGCAGGTCTGCCTTAGCGCGACCTGTAATCCGGGGAACCGCGAGCTAACGAGACTTCTCCATTGACAAACTTCAATGCAGACAGGAGTAGTTGACTGGGGGAGGGCGCTGGATCAGTCGGCTTGCATCGAGAACGTGGCCCCTAATCCCGGGGGTCTGGATCACAGCGTGGCACTCGGTGAATTGGGTGGCTGTCTCACTCACACGGCATCTCGGTAATTCAAGACGGGTTACCGGCCACAAGAAACCTTGCGATGTTGGGGAACAACTACACCGCTTAGGGGTAACCGACCGCCGAAAGCGCCCGTAAACAAGTTGGAAATTCTCCCCCGCAAGGCCATAGCTCGGCGCTACTGAGGGGCCGGCAGATCTTTCTGTGGTTCTTCTCAAGCCCCTTGTTGACGGCTTTCTTTCTCATGACCGAAGCCAATAACCCGAACAAACGATTGCATAGGTACTTGAGACCTGCTTGAAGTCAGACAAAGTTGGCTTGTCATTGACTAGTATTCTAGCAGCACCTCACATTTCATATCTGTAACTTCACAAGCGAAGCGCCAACATGTCACTGAAAGCTCCTGTTGTTTCGTTGCCAGGAGGAAGGGAGACGGTGGTTGTCAAGATGATCAACCCTGTTAACTTTGGGCCGGCTATCCTCAAGCGTTTCATGGCTCCAGATGTTCCGGGTCTGGAAACTTTCAAGACGTCTCCTTCTCTCTGCTTCCTCCTGGAGCATCCTTCAGGTCGGAAACTTGTGTGGGATCTAGGGATCAGGAAAGACTACAACAACTATGCGCCTTCGATAACCAATTACTTGCCAACGACAAATTACGACATACAGGTGAAGAAAAATGTTACGGACATTTTGGAAGAGAATGGTGTTGCTACGGAGGATGTCGAAGCAGTAATCTGGAGGTACGTAGAGAAAAAGTCTTGTTTCTCCTTCAAAACATTCTTTACATGAGGTTTATTACAGTCCTCTAACCTACTATGTAGCCACTGGCATTGGGATCATATTGGCGACCCATCCACATTCCCGAAAACAACCGACTTGATTGTTGGGCCAGGGTTCAAGGCGGCGATGCTTCCGGGCGCACCTGCAAATCCCGAATCTCCTATCCTCGAGAAGGACTATGCGTAAGTTGTTGTAGCACCCCTTGACATGATCGATCAGAACTTGTGGCTAATCGAAATGTCCACATTCAAGTGACCGAAACTTGAGAGAAATCTCATTTGAAGAAGGGCCTCAGACCATTCGCATCGGGCGGTTTCCGGCATTCGACTACTTTGGAGACGGCTCATTCTACCTGCTAGACAGCCCAGGTCATGCCGTGGGTCATCTTTGCGGACTAGCCCGGACAACACAGAGTCCGGACACATTCATTCTTCTTGGAGGCGATGTCTGTCACTACGCAGGAATCTTCCGACCTTCGAAGCATCTGCCTGTTCCCGCGTCAATCTCGCCCCATCCCTGCCGGCCACACGGAGATACCGCACTTTGTCCAGGTAGCGCTTGGGACGAGCTCCAGCAGTCTCGAGGCAGAGCCTCCACAGATACGCTCTTCGATGCAACGTTTGGTTTGGACCTTCCTATGGTGGGAAGGACAGTGGGATGTCTCCAAGAATTGGATTGTGACGAGAATATCTTTGTCATTATAGCACATGACTCGACAGTCAGAGACGGTGTGCCTCATTTTCCAAGTGACCTTAACGACTGGAAATCAAACGGCTGGGGGGAGAAAGTCAAATGGTCATTCTTTCGCGACCTAGAGTCGTACTGGGACTCGAAGGGGCTGCTGTAGATATCGGGCCTAATTTATAGAATACGCATCGTCCTGCAGTTACCCACCAGACTGTCCTGAAAACTTACTAAGGCACCTGCAGAGTCAACGTTTATTAACTTTCGCTTAGCTCCAGTACTCTATTAATCCGCGACTTGGTGCCCCGAAGTCATGTGAATCCTCGCATCCCAATTGTGTAATTGAATACCCATTACTCAGTAAGTAGGCACCAAAAGTTTCAGTCACTTGACGACAGCTCGCTGCAGAAAAGCCTCTTCGGCAGCTTCATTCTGTGCCGTAACTAGTACCGTAGTGGCTGAAGAATCGGGGAGGCGATATTTACATGGTCTGGATACACAAAAGCCGCCTGCTAGTCCCTTCGACTACGGCAGGCAATTCACCTGAGGACTGCATTGCGGTATTACAACTTGGGCATTTCGGCACTTTCCTGATTGGGGTAGCCGAACCCACCGAGCGCGCCGAGCCGAAGTTTGTTTGTCTTCCGCGGTAAGGTTGGGTGACATTCTACCGCCGGCATCCCCGCGAATCCCCTCTTCCGTCTCCACCTAATTCCAAGCCTCAGATCTCTGTAGACCAGCTGCGTTACTCACTGTTCATTATAATTGTGCAAACACCCTAATCCACAATTGCCCACAGAGCATCGAGTCATACTTTTATATCGATAGTACTTCAAGCCCAGATCCGGAACTGTCGTGAACACAGTCGCGCGTCAGAGTTCAAGTCAAGCCAGGACTTCGCACAACGTATTACACCAACCATGGCACAGGGGTCCGAATCGAAGCCCAACGGCACATCGCCATCAAGCTTCCAATCTGCTAATCAAGACCTCGATTACGATGTCTTGATAGTGGGCGGCGGCCTCAGCGGAATCTTTTCACTTTATCGAGTGCGGGAACTGGGGTTGAGAGTAAAAGTCCTTGAAGCCGGTTCTGCTGAAGGAGGCACTTGGTTCTGGTATGACCACTTCGCAGTGACAATTTGCGAAAGTTGAGCTAACTTAGCTGTAGGAACCGATATCCTGGAGCTCGATTTGATTCTGAGAGCTATTCCTACATATTTTCCTTCTCTCAAGAAGTGTTGGATGAGTGGGACTGGACTGAGCATTTCTCGCCTCAGACGGAGACTCTACGCTACATTCAGTACCTCACCAAGAAGTTCGACCTGAAAAAGGACATGCAATTCAATACGCGTATCCGGTCAGCCTGCTTCCAGGAAGACTCAAGGTCTTGGCTTTTGACCGATGGAAACGGTGCCACTTACACATGTCGTTACCTGGTGACAGCGATGGGTATTCTCAACGAACCCACTCTGCCAAATATTCCCGGAGTTCACGACTACAAGGGAGAAGCATGGCATACGGCCCGCTGGCCTGGAGACGGCGCCAGTCTTGACGGCAAGCGCGTGGCCATCATCGGCACAGGCGCAACTGCCATCCAGACGATCCAGGAAATCGTCAAGACAGTTGGCTCTTTGACTGTGTTCCAAAGGACGCCCAATTGGACTGCACCACTGCGGAATACCAAGATTAGTCCAGAGGAGATGGCCGACATTCGAAGGCGGTATCCTGAGATCTTCCGTCAGTGCTTGGACTCTTACTCGTGTTTCATACATGTCGGTGACACAAGAAGTGTCTTTGACATGGAAGAAAAAGAGCGCCTGGACCATTGGGAGAAACTTTATGCACAGCCTGGGTTCGCCAAGGTGCTCGGCATCTCAGGCGACATTTATACCAATCGCGAAGCGAATAAACTCTACAGTGATTTCCACGCGAACAAAATTCGCCAACGCGTCAACGACCCCAAGGTTGCAGAGAAACTTATCCCGAAGAACCACGGTTTCGGTACTCGTCGAGTCCCGCTTGAAAGCGGCTACTATGAGGCATTCAACAGACCGAATGTCCGCTTGGTCGACATCACAGAAACCCCTATCGATCACATCACGGAAAAGGGAATTAAGACGAGCGAGGAAGACTTTGAATTTGATGCCATCATCTACGCAACAGGGTTTGACGCCATCACTGGATCGTTCCGGGCTGTAGACTTCCAAGGTATCGGGGGCAAACAACTCACAGATGTTTGGAGCGAGGGCATCCAAACTTTCCTTGGCTTAACTGTCAAGGGATTCCCTAACATGTTCATGGTAATGGGACCGCACCAGATGTTTGGAAACATCCCCCGAAGCATCGAGTACGCCGTAGAGTGGGTTGCAGACTTCATCCGGTATGCTCGAGATAATAACATCACATCTGTTGAGGCTACAGATGAAGGCGTGCGCATGTGGACGGATCATGTGTGGAAATGCGGAGAAGGTCTTTTGGCTAACGAGGTGGACTCTTGGATGACGGGTGTCAACAAGAACCTCGCTCATAAGCAGAAGAGGTCTATGACACGGTATAATGGGCCTGCACCTGGCTATAGAAAGCGGTGCGACGAGGTGAAGGCCAGGAATTATTCTGATTTTGTGCTTGGATGATTTGGATGTAAGAGAAAGTTGCCTGTAGTAGCATTTACTTGAGGTTTAATCAAACACATGAGATCACTTTACAAGTACCAAGGCGTTCGTACAATGAGGCTTTGCTATGCGACCTGAGGCTGATATCTTATCCTTGATCAAATCATCAAGCCCTCTGAGTGAAGAGGTCTAGATGTTGAAAGGGGAATCCCTGACATCGCAACAGAAGATGCACATGAGCTGGCAGGTAATACGCTTTCCTTCAAGCTTTTCACGTCTAGATGTATGGGAGTCCCCCATGCCTTGAGCTTAAACAGTGCTAGTCCTTCAGATTATTTCAAGTAACGGTGCCTATCTAATGTTCATGAATCTTGAACTCTCCCGTGGCCGTTGGGTTAGTCAATGCCCAAGTAATCCCACTGTCCGTAGTCTCGTCCCAGTGTTTCGACGCTGATAACTTGTCTCCAAACCGCCTAAATCCGTGAGGAACACCCTTGTAGACATGAATATCCGTGGGAACACTGTGCTATATTTCAGCAATCACTTGTCCGGGGTCCCAAGTGTGAGAGCCACTTACCCAGCCTCTGTAAGCATCTTGGCGTAAGTCAAACCCCCCACTTCCCGGCACCCCCCTGTTTCTGGCACCCACAAAAACGCGAAAATCCACCACAACGCAATGCCCACCCCCAACCTCCTTTTATCACAACATTTTCAATTCGAGTCCAAATGGGCTCATTTTTTGCACATACCTTCTTCTATATCTAATGCCTCAATATACCGAAGATCAGCTTCGTCAGGCTCTCGAGGACATCTCAAACGGCAAGAGTCAAAAGAGAGCCTCATTGGAGTATGGGATACCACGATCAACCCTCCAACTACGTCTCCAAGGTGGTCAGACTAGGAAAGTGGCTTTTGCTGACTGGCAGAGGCTGTCTCCTGACCAGAGAGTAAGCTGGCACAATGGGTTCGCATTCAGGCTTCGCTGGGCCTCGCACCAACGCACCAACAGGTGAAGGAATTCGCAGAGCGAGTTCTGGCTGCTGCTGGGGATACCAAACCATTAGGAAAGGCTGGATCTATGCCTTCGAGAAGGAACCCTATCATTAAGGTTCAGAGAAGTCGTTCCATCGATTCTAGACGCGTTAATGGGGCATCTACTGAGGTCATTAGGAACTGGTTTAAGTTCCTTGCTATCCCTGAGATCAAGGACATCAAACCAGCCAACAGATATAATATGGATGAGACTGGCATCCTCGAGGGTCAGGGAGCTAATGGGTTAGTGGGGCATGGCTGAGACGACGTCTGTTCGCAAGAAACAACCTGGGTCGAGGGCATGGGTCTCTATCATTGAGTGTATCTCAGCCTTGGGTAGGGCACTTCGTCCTCTTATCATTTTCAAGGGAAGACGGTCCAACAACAGTGGTTTCCATTACATCTGGTTCCATACGATGGGTGGGAGTTTACAGCAACAGATAATGGCTGGACTACAGACTTAACTGCCATTGAATGGTTAGAGAAGGTGTTTATCCCACAGACTATGCCCGAGGCTGAGGGCGAGGCTCGACTGTTGATTGTGGATGGGCATGGGAGTCATACGACAGACTTCATGTGGAATTGCTATATTAACAATATCCATTTACTGTTCTTACCACCACACTCTCATGTCCTCCAGCCACTTGACCAGTCTGTCTTCAGCCCTGTTAAGTCAGCCTATCGGAAGGAGCTCGGTTACTTGTCTCAATGGAACGACTCTACCATTATAGGTAAAAGGAACTTCCTGGACTGTTACCAGAAGGCTCGACTTGCTGGTCTATCAGTCTCGAACATCAGAAGTGGTTGGAAGTGGACTGGTCTACACCCTGTAGCGATGGTTAAGCCCTGATGAACCCTATGGTATTACCTGAGCCTTCTGCTAAGCCCACCACACCCAAACCAACCAGTCGGGGCAAAAAGCGATGCCATAATGGTCAACAAACTACCCCTGTTGAGCCATGGATTCTGCTTCCTCTGCAGTGGTCTGGTCGACACCAGGAAGCTGGCAGAGCTCAGCGGTCAACTGCACTTATACACCCAACTCGACAATGATACCAGCACTCAACGGCTGCTGTTCAGGAAGGTGAAAAAAGGCTTCACAGAGCAGGCCTGGCAACTGGCAGCTGCCCAGCAGCAGCTGGCTCACCTGAGGCTCAAGTTACCAACGCTGCAGTTAGGAAGAGGAAGACTGTTCAGATCGATCCCAACACGAAGTTTGCGAACATCAGGGATATCCATCGGGCTCAAATCGAAGCGGGTGAAAAGGAGGTTATTACGGCTGAATCCAGCGACTCTGAATGCCCTAGTGAGGCTGGCAGTTGTATTGTAGTGGGTGTGGTTGAGGATCAATAGTTAATAGTAATGAGGAGGTTGGGTTGTGATCCCATCGTTTTTGTGGGTGCCAGAAACAGGGGGGTGCCGGGAAGTGGGGGGTTTGACTTATAGCAAACCCTCATCTCTCAATGCATCCAAGCCGCAAATTCCAAACGTCGTCGGGGGTAGTCCTTTCACCTGGTCTGGTGTTGCATTGCCAGGGTTAAGTCTCAGGTCGTTGGGGTCTGGGTTCTCAACCTTCAGAAGGCCAACGAAAAGGTCGATCATGGGTCGCGGCAAGATTGGAGCGCTTTCGTTCTCGGGGTATGATGAGACCGAAGGACTTTTCATCTTCTTCAACAAGCCATCGTAACAATCAACATGCGCCAGACAAGGGATCATCAAAACCTGGCCTGCGATAGAGGGCAACCCCGAGGGGAGCTTTCCAAGGTGCTGAGCGAGTGTGAGTGAAGCTGTCAACTGTCCACCAGCCGATATACCTCCAACGACAACTTTGGCCGCGTCGCCATCGATCTCCTTGATGTTGGCATGCAACCAGATGAAGGCATCTTCGGCATCATTCCATGCTGTTGGGTAGACGTATTCAGGCGTATGGCGATAGTTTACGTTAACAACAAGCGCATTTGTGCTGATGGCAATGCGAGAACAAGTTGCATCTTCGGAGGTCAAGGTACCGAACAGAAATCCACCTCCATGGAAATAGAGGTAGACTGGCAGAGCCCCATCACCCGCCGCCTTGGGTCGATAGGTTCGGGCTTCGAGTGTTGCCCCATCACGTGTAGGGATTGTCCAGTCGCGTACTTGGACTCTGTCTGCCATAGGCTTCATGGCTTCCACTGCCAACTCATCGCGGACTTTATTCATGACATTCTTGCGTTCCGATGGAGAGAGGTCGGTTTGGGGAGGAGGAAGACCGGCTTCCACCGCTAGCCACTCTCCGCTGGGGCCGCCGTATCTCGAAAAGTCACACATACTTTCTTGCGTCCGTCCGTGGGAGGCTTCAAAAGAGCTATCTAATGATGTTTGAATCGAAAATGGCTAAATGAGAGTTTTCCTCCCAGTCCTCTATGTCTGATCGCGAGCGACCAGGTTCTCAAAAGCAGAGCATAGGCCGAGGTTCGGCCATTAGTAATGATGAGGAGGGGTAATAAGCCTCAAGACTAATTTAGCCTCATGGCAAGGACAGCGTGCCGAGGTTCTGCGGGGAAATCAGCCTAACCATGCGCCTCATGTTTGCTGGTTAGGGTCTCGTCATGCCCAGGTTCGGCTTTGGGTGACACCGGCAATGCACTATGTCTCCTGCCAGCGGCTCAGCGAACAATACCTAATTACCGGGCAGGGCTTGCCGTTCTGGAATTCACGCCGTGCTTGGTGCTCATCTGCCTGGTGGCCGCAGATTACCACAACCCACGGGCCATTGTCACGCTGAGGGAACCTTTCGGCAACATGCCCACCCTCTAATGCAGTCATAACATGGGCCCTTGTTATCCTAGTGCAACCCCGCCCAAATTGTGCTGCCCGGTTTTCCCCAAACGAGTTATCCGTGTTGCCGGCCCAGCTACTGTCATGTAATACTACTTGACATGGGAAACTAGATGTCAAACTTATGTTGAGCTGTTTTATATGACATCTATGATGTTGAGTAGATGTAGTAAAATCGCGAGTCACGCGATAGTTCATTATACCCAATAGTCACTCAATTCTTTGCCGCATTACGCATCATACACCACAGCCATGTCAGAAATTCCTAGCGAACCACCATCCCGATCCCTCAAGGGCAAGGTGGCCATTGTCACTGGAGCTGGGTGTGCAGGGGATGGCATTGGAAACGGGCGTGCCATTTCTATTCTCCTGGCTGATGACGGCTGCCATGTTGTTTGCGTCGACAGAGACCTGTCATGGGCGCGCAAAACCTGCGATTTGGTAGCTGCGAAACCTGGTAGAGGCAAAGCTCTGGCTGTCCAAGGGGATGTGACTTCTTCCACAGATTGCGAAAACATCGTTCAAATGGCATTGGAGAAATTCGGTCGGGTTGATATTCTAGTCAACAACGTTGGAATTGCTGGAGCCGCAGGTACCGCAGTCGAGGTGGATATGGAACAATGGGCAAAGGGTCTCGATGTCAACGTTTCCAGCATGGTTCTCATGGCGAAGTATGCCATCCCCGCCATGCTCAAGAATGAGGGAGAAAGCAAAGGTGCGATTGTCAACATGGGCAGCGTCGCTGGCCTGAAGGGAGGCACTCCACACCTTTTATATCCGACGAGCAAGGGCGCAATTGTCAACATGACGCGAGCAATGGCGGCGCACCATGCGAAAGATGGTATTCGCGTGAACTGCGTCTGCCCCGGGGTAAGCCTTTGTCTTCATACCTTATTCTCTCAACCAAGAAAATGACAAGCTAACGATGTGGCGTCTTCTATTGGGTGCACAGATGTTGTATACACCAATGATGTACGCTGGTGGAATGAGTGAGGAAGCGAGAGCTGCAAGGAAGGGAAGGAGCCTTCTAGGAACGGAAGGGAACGGCTGGGATGCTGCTTGTGCGGTTGTCTTCCTAGCAAGTAATCATGCAAGATGGATGACTGGTGTGATTCTGCCAGTCGACGCCGGCACTACTGCAGCTGTTGGAATAGGGATGACCAAGGCTGCCAGTGTGAACGGCTAGTAAATGTGTACTTCTCAATACTTGAATGAAGTTTAGAAGTCCAATTCAATCACTGAAGCTTTGGGGAATGTATAAGGTATTAATATTTGACTCGACTCCCAAAAGTTGAAAGATGCAATTCATATGGTGGATCATTCGTGCATCAGAGCAACTCTGGCTTTGATTTCGCCTCTTTCCAAGCGGTCCAAGACATCGGGAAAGTCACTCAATTTCGCCGTCTCAACCCTAGGCCTGATTTTGCCTTTGGCAATGAGTTGCAAAACTTCCCTCAGGTCCTTTACCTGACCTCCATAAGAGAAGATGTAGCTGAGTCGCTTTCTGGTTCCAATCTTCATATGTATGGTATTTTCGGTGTCGAGACTACCAATGCATAACAGCTTCCCACCTCGACGAACTAAATCTTCGTGTGAGATAGGTTTTCCGATTCAGATGAATCGTTGAGATGTGGTCTCTCTTACCTATCTGCTGAGCGTCCTCAAAGGTCTGATGAGTGCCGACAAAATCAAGGACGGTGTCGATTTTACCGGTCAATCCTTGTTCAATGACAAATTCTTGAACCTTCTTCCCTGGCGAAACTAAGTCTGCCCGAGGAACCCCAATCGCGGCAGCCTCGTCGAGCAGACTTTCTCTGATATCAGAGACAATAACTCTTGCCCCAATGTTCAGGACAATTTGAAGAGCATTGAATCCCAGGCCTCCCAGGCCGAATAGAAAAACGGTTTCGTCTGCTTTGACTTCGCCTCTTCGATGAACAGCGTGGTAAGCGGTTGTAACGGCGTCAGTGGCCACCGCAGCCTCAGCGGGCGAGACTCCTTGAGGAACATGTGCAAGTCCACGGATATCGATAGCCGCGTACGGAGCATAGAATCCGTCTTGACCTATACCGGAATGATGGCCAACTTCGCATATCTGAGCCAAGTCCCGCGAGCATTCATCGCAGTGGGAAGCGCCACATCCTGGAACAGCGTTCAAAGCCACGATGTCGCCCTAGCAATATTGAGTGTTGGGATACAATGATTCTCAAGAACTTTCATGAATGCTTACCACTTTGAATTCCGAGTCAAGAACCTCATCTCCAAGCTTGATGATTTGACCGCACCCCTCGTGGCCCTGGTATATAATTAGAAAGGCGTAGAGTTAAGCGTCAAGTTACTCGAACCGTCGTACAAGAATGAATTTATCCTGAAACCAGCCGGGCTGTTTTTCGATGGTGAGAAGCGAGTGATCACTACGGCAGACTATGGTTGTTATGGAGTGAGTCACCATGATCAACAGCTATCCGATTTGATAAGCTTACCCCCGGAGGCGAGCATCTTGCACAATACGCCCGTCGGCGAGGGCATGGGTACGGGTACCTCTTCCCAGACCTAATTTTGCACGTTCGAATCATTAGCTTTGAGGCCTCGATCCAGGGTTTCCAGTACACGCACAGGATTTGGATTGCCCTTGTGCTTTCTCCAAGCAAACATGGTCGCGGGGATCTGCATGGCTATGGGCTTGCTTGTTGTGAATATCGAAAGATAATGCTGTGATTTGATACTTGAGACCCTTCTGCAACGATGATGTCGAATTAAGTATTTGAGTATGACATGTTTGCACTCTGGCAGGGTTCGTCTAGGTTACTCTCCACACAGACCACCAACGCTGAGACCGGCTTACTCATATAGGCATACCCGAAGTTTGCCGACAGACTACCTTTGGTAATTAACCAAGTGCCTAAGCAGCAAGCTAGTGAGTGAAAACGAAAGAATTTGAAATGTGGATGAGAAGTTCACATGTTCCTAATGTCTTGAAGGTACTCTATTCATCACAGTTCCGACACTGACGAACCTTGTCATCTAATCTGAAACCCTCAGCAAGATGTTTCTCAAACAAACCTGACCCTTTGATTCACTCATAGCTTTGCTGCACGCCGCTGCTTCTCACGGTCTCTCAACAGTCGTCTTAAAATCTTGCCCGAAGGAGACTTTGGAATCGCATCCACAAACTCGATGCCTCCCTTGATCCATTTGTGGGGAGCTTTCCTGGCCTGCACGTACTCCTGGATATCCTTCTCGGAACATGGCCCCGACCTGACAATGTAAGCCTTTGGGACTTCGCCGGCACGATCATCTGGCACAGAAATGACGGCACAATCCGCCACGCTTGAGTGGCCCAATAGGCACGCCTCTAGTTCAGCCGGAGCAACTTGATGGCCCTAGATGGCTTTAGTCAGTCACCGCGAATACTGATTGAATGCTCGAAGCCCTACCTTGACTTTGATGAGTTCTTTGATTCGGTCCACGATCCAGAGGTGCTCCTTTCCGCTGGGTGCCTTCCGCATCTCCCCAACGTCTCCTGTTTTGATGAACCGACCGTCCTCCGTGTCGACAAAAGTGTCGCGATTTGCAGACTCGTTATTCAGATAGCCGAGCACAACACTCGGCGATTTCACCCACACCTCGCCCGGCTCATTGTACGTGTCCACCCGCTTGCCGTCCGTGTCAACGAGCATAATCTCAAAGCCTGGCAAAACCAAGCCGGAACTGCCAACAACAATGTCCCTGGGCGTGCCGGAAGTGACAACGACGCATGTTTCTGTCATTCCATATCCGAGAGTTATCTTCCAAGAGGGATACGCGGAGAGCAGTGCATTTGTTGCCTCCAGCCCCAACGGTGCCGCCCCGACCCACACTCGCTTGACGGATGATAGATCGTATTTCTTTAGTGTTTCAAGATTGTTAATCATTGCGATAACCAACGGCGGAACCAGATAGAGGGTGTTGATCTTAAACTGCTCTATCGTGCGGAGGTATGTGTTCAAGTCGAACTTTGGGAGCACGATTACCGAGTCGCCCCGATATGTTGAGGCGTGACATATGATGATGAGGCTGTAGATGTGGGATTGAGGTAAAAGGCCAAGTCCAATGTCGCGATACGCCGGAGCAATGGCGTCTCGGTCTGCCTGATCAAAAAGTGACAATTGGATAATGTTGGCGATGACATTTCTGTGTGAAATCATGACCGCTTTCTTGTATGTAGCATCAGTACACAAGTTCAACAAAGGATACAGATCTTCGGAGACATCACTTACCGGTAGACCAGAGGTGCCACTGGAGTAGCAGAGAAATGCTGTCTGTCTTTGTCCTTGACCACGATTCCACTTGATCGGCTCAAGTCGTGGCAGAGTTTGGCCTTGAAGAGTAAGTTCAGCGACCGTTTTGTACTGTCCGAACCTCGCCTCCTGCTGGCCAGGCATGTCGCAGAGGTAGATGTAGCACTCTGGAATACCGGCAGCTTTGGCAGCTTTCAGTGCGACGGGCAGAAGAGACTGAACGGTGAAGAGCGCTTTGCACTTTGATGTCACGAGCTGATGTGTGAGCTCTTCCGCATTGTACATCGCGTTTGCAGGTGAAGAGATGCCATTCAAGCGATGGACGGCCCAGGATAATCCCATTACGTCCACCTGTTTTGCAAAACAACGTCAGCACACGCGTCATCTTTGGAAATCTTGAACTCTCAATAGTCATAGAACTTACAGTGTTGAGGGCAAATATGCCGACCACCTTGTCGAACTCGCTGCCCTGATTGACACTCCATCCGAACTCCAGGGCCAATGATCGCGCAAGGGCCTCAACACGACTTTTCTGTTCCTGGGCCGAGATACTGCTCCCACTCAGTCCACAAGTATATGAATCAAGAGATGTCGCAACTGGGTGCCGTCCATACTGCTCATCAAACATGAACTCGCAGAGGGGCACTGTGTCGGGAATGCTTGGGAGCCGGGGTAGAGATTGGTCAGGGACGAACAACATCGTGGCGGCGGGCTTCTTGGGCGTTTCTGAACCAATTCACCGGGCCACTGAGAGCTTACAAACTGATTCACGAAAGCTTCGAATTTTTGAGATACCTTCGTTTATTGATAAGCAGTCGTTCATCCGGTAAGAGCTATCCCTGACATGGAAGTTGGAGATTGACCGCGAGGTTCGACTCTCTGCTAATCCCAATCGGGATTGCCGATAATCCACGACGCGCAGTATCCCCGCGGGCCGTCTTGGGGTTGGTAAACAGTACTTGGCTCGGGAGCCCATCCTTTCCAATAGCCCCACTAGAGTAGGCTCGGCTCTAGGCAAACAGGCACGGGTCACCCAGCTCATGCACGCTGACTTTGAGCCTGGAACAATACCGGTTGTCCTGGCTACTTTCCGACATTGCGATCTTGCCCGCCACGTGGAGGCACGAGATCTAGCCCCAAGATCTAGGTAATCTTATTTTCATAATGAAGTTCGCAACCTACACCGGGCCAACAACCGGCTCCGACGTCGGGGTCGACTAGCACTGATTTCTATACCCACCTCTATCCGGATCATTTACCGGTTTCGAGAGACATTATCTTAGTCGATCGTTGCTGAAGTCGAATTTTCGGATTCTTCTTTTGTCAGGAAAGTGTGCACATTGTTACACACCAGTGCCGCTTCGAAAGTCCATTGGATGAACGATTCATCTGTATCTAGAGTACTTCACGACGGCTAACACTATCCAAATAGATTCTGACCAGCAGATTTGTTCACCATGGCAGTACGAACGACTTCACATTTAACAAGAAAAAATGACATGCATTGAGGCCCCAAACGCCTTGAGGTTCTTTACATTCTGTGGCCTCTCGACCATGTTCCAGTGTAAGGTAAGGTGGCAGGGACTGTTCCCGGTTCCGGGCATAGTCAAGAACGTTATCAATGTGGAAATTGTCATTGGTATGTAGTAGTATTATCAGCAGAATGACAGCCACCCTGCAAGCGTCTCGCAAGCCATTCAGGAGTGTTGCCTGTTGGCAGAGATGTAAATTCGTTACAAAGACATCAAGATAAGGGGATAAGTGCCAGAGTGACAGACTGGAAGGGCTCGGTGCCTAGTCTCAGAAAGGTTAGATTCTTGGCCAAGCTTCCAGGCGGGTCTGCACCAAGCCGAGAACGGCTAGTTTTATGGCCAAGACTTTAGACGAGAGCGCTAGCACTTGGCATCTGGGGAACTTCGAATTTATTCATCCACTTCCCGAATCCCCGCCCATTGGTATGCTTGCCCATTCATGTGAGTTTGAAATGCACCTCTGCTTATCACCCCGATAGATGCAAACGAGAACCTCGTCAATGAATACTCTTGTCAGTGAGTCTCCGCCTTTTTGCCAAGTACTTGCGTTGGCAGACCGGTGTAGAAGTAGCACATGGGGGTTGAGGACAGCTTGAAGTGAGTTGGATAAGCTTGATTTGCTTCTCTTGATTCGCAACTAATTCAATGTGTTCTCAGATAACAGCATAAGTACAAAGTTTCAGTCTCTCTTTGAGTTGGACTCAACCGTGACTTCGGGCTGATGCTCAGCTGTGCCATATATGACTCGTCCAGCAATGTCTTCAACTTGCAAATACGTTTGCCTTCCTTTGATGAACCAAAAGCCAATGCTGAATAAGAGGATAATTCCAAATACAGCGATAGCATAGTTCATGTCAGCGACCGCTGGGTTAGGCTCAGCGGGGAAAAAGAAGAAAACAGTCGTGACCAAGCAATAAACAATCGAAACCCAATTGATGACTGCCCCATATCGACCAAGACGGAATTCCGCTGGGGGCAGTTTATTTCTCCCAACCAGAAGAAGCGTGAGTATGGGTATAGCGTAGGATATCGTAAGGGCAATGGTACTGACGCCGACGATGGCCTCCAGAACTGTGTTAGAAAAGGTGTAAAGTAGACCGACGAGACCGATGATGATTCCTTGTAGCCAAAGCGCACGAACTGGTGCCTTCCAACTTTCGTCCACATGGGAGAAGTAGGGACTCCACGGGATTCCTCCGTCGCGCGCAAAACTCCATGTGAGTCTGGACGCTGTCGTCACTACAGTGACTCCCTGGCCCAAGCCATTGATGATGAAAAGAGCAATAAGGACGGCTGCTCCTTGCAGCCCAACTGTGCTTTTGACAAGATCCATGAAGGGGAGGCCTGTTATCGGGTCGAGGACCTGTTCGAGGTCTTGAATGGAAAAGAGACAGACGACCATGAATAAGAATCCAGTACCTGCACCACAAATAATAGACAACCAAATGACCCGGGGGATGTTCTTTCGTGGTGCCGGTATCTCCTCCACGAGATGGATGGCGGCGTCGAAAGCCGTGAGTCCGTAGGCGCTCTGGACGAGGCCCATAAACCACACAATACCATCGCTCCATCCCGTGCGATTGATCCACGCTCCGAATACAAACGATGCGGGTTGATAATGGAGTCCGTCCCTAGTCCCAACTGATATGAGTAGGGCAAGTCCGAAAACAAAAAACAACCCGGCAAACGTGATCCCAACAAAGTTGTTAAAAATGGGGAGAATTTTGTCCCTTCGACAAGAAATGATATTCAAGAGAGTCAGGAGTATTGTCGTGCCAAGGTAGACCAGAAACTGGACCCAGCCAGTTTGAGGTGCCGTCGAAGTTTCGTCGAAAAGCAAGTTCATTCCCAAGATAAACTCGGTCATAAACGCTACGGTGGAAGCTGACAAAGTCCACCATCCAAAGGTGTTGATCCAGGCGCAGAGGTACGACAGAAAGCGACCAGCTGAGGTAGGCCATAACCGTGAGACCCAGTATGCCTGACCCATAGCCGTTGGCATACTGCTGCACATCTCCCCTAGGGAAACGCCGATGCAAGTGTTGCAAAAAGTGACCAAACACAGGCCCCAGAGGATGGTTATCGGACCACCGTTGGTGAGGCCGCTGGCCAGGCTTTGTGCAAAGACTGACCAGGTGCCTAGAACGACAAAGGCGAGCGACAACATGCTCCACGTGTCGAACTTGCGACTGAGAGCTTGCGAATGACCAAGTTCGGCGAGATCTACTGCATCTTGGGCTGCCTGGTGCGACATCATTGAGGGCTTCAACGTGGGACCTTGCTCAGCATCCATTATGATCGCGTGGACTGGGACGCTCTTGAGGCTTCGAACAATAGGGGTAGAAGCAGGGGAAAAATTTGATTGAATAGTCGAGATTGTGACATTCTCTTGTGGTGGTTGGTTGGTACGTCTCGGCCAATGCCCTCTTTCACGGCAGCACACTACTTCTTATAATGTTTCCCCTCATCTTGATGTCGGATCTTCCCCTTTTTGGAGTCGATAACACTTGGAGTGAGTGATTAGTGTTGGCATAGAATAACAATCTTTTTGGGACCAGAGATACGCATCATGCGGGTAGATTCATCTACTGAGGGGTGGTCGACTCGTTATGCCGGTAACTCATGGCTCTCTTGCCCCCCCCACTAGCCGGGCCGGTCCCACTAGTAACGACGACGAGTCTAACAACATCCCTTGTCCCGGCCGTCCTCGTGTGCGTCAGAGATCTTGATCGTAAAGCTGATACCCATTTGACCAAAGCTTGAACGGGCTGGCGAGCAAAAGCCCCAGCGGACTTCGGAGATGGCATGATATTTTACGTAAATGCCCTTCGTCAGTCGAGCGATCATAAGTATAAGTATAGTCGTTGTCTCTCAATTCTCAGACGGCATTAGAAGCCCGAATTTTCCCCTTGTGCTTTTATACGATATCTCCGTCAACATGATCAAAGACACAACTTCTCTTCCTGGTTACACAATCTTTCATCATGAAGAAGGCGACCAAGCTCCTGACTTGTCTAAGCAAGCGGTGATGCATCCTCTCGGTATGTCAGAGTCTTGATTTCTGACGTGCAACAATGCCTGCGTACCTGAGACGGCTGCTGGCAGGTTCAATTGCGACATTGTAAAGCTAATGGAATATTTCAGATCCGCTGTCAATCGATGAACTACGAGTTGCTGCCAAGCTCATACGTGAGCATAGATACGCCGGTTCGGTCAAGTTCAACTGTCTGACTCTGCGTGAACCTACCAAGAGCGAGTATGCAGAGTTCCGCGCAGGGCGAGGGCCGCGACCCGAACGGCGTGCCTTTGCTATCATACTGGCAGAGCGTGGTTCAAGCAAGGTTGCCGAGGTCATTGTCAATCTGGCCAAAGGAGAGGTTGAGACCTGGAAAGCAGTATCGGAGGTCGCGCCGACCTTGACTCTTGAAGACCTCGACGTTACGGAACGAGTTGCTCGGAAGAACCCAAAAGTCATTGAGGTTTGCCGTGAGATTGGCATTACCGATATGTCCAAAGTGTTCTTCGACGCCTGGGCTATTGGGTTCGACCACCGCTGGGGGTTTGAACGGCGTCTGCAGCAAGGTTTGCCCTACTACCGAACGTCATCAATGGACAACCAGTACGCACACCCCTTGGACTTTTCCGTGGTTGTGGACACCGAGACGGAAGAGCTCCTCGCTATTGACGTGCGACATGTCAACGGAGAACGAACCAAGGTCCCGCTGGACAAACACAACTACCTACCGGACTTCATTCAAGAGTCATACGATGGCACTAGGCTCAAGCCTATGGATATCACCCAGCCGCAAGGCGTTTCGTTTCGCATGCAGGGCAACGAGCTTTCCTGGGCAGGCTACAAGATGCATATCGGTTTCAATTACCGGGAAGGCATCGTGATCTCAGACGTGCGCATCCACGACCAACAACAACAACGAGATCGGACGCTTTTCAACCGCATTAGCGTTGTCGAAATGGTTGTCCCGTACGGCAACCCTGATCCACCACACCAGCGGAAGCACGCCTTTGACGTTGGTGAATACGGCAGCGGCCTTATGACGAACTCGCTCAAACTTGGCTGCGATTGCAAGGGCGAGATCCATTATCTCGACGCGGTGATGACGACATCTAAAGGCGAACCAGCAATGATCAAAAACGCGATTTGCATCCACGAGGAGGATAATGGGCTTCTCTACAAGCATACGGACTTTCGTGATGGCAGTGTTATTTCAGCCCGTGATCGGAAGCTCATCATTTCCCAGATCATCACGGCGGCCAATTACGAGTATGCTTTCTACCACACCTTTACCCTCGACGGCACATATAAACTCGAGATCAAGCTCACGGGCATGTTAAACACGTATTGCATGCACCCATCCGAGTCGGCAGCTCCGTACGGCACTGAAGTTGCGTCCCGACTGAATGCCCATAATCACCAGCATATCTTCTCGTTGAGAATCGATCCCGAGATTGATGGGCGAAACAATTCTGTGCTGCAAAGCGACGCGGTACCATCGGAGGCGCCCGTGGGATCACAAGAAAACCCCTTTGGCAACGGTTTCTACTGCAAAAAGACACCTTTGCGTACTTCGGAGGAGGGCGCTTCGGTGTACTGCCACGAGACGAGTCGGGCGTGGGATATCATCAACCCAAACAGCATCAACCCTTCAGCCAAAAAGCCGGTTGGGTACAAAATCATCAATCCCAATTGCCCGCCTCTTCTGGCCAAACCCGGGAGCATGGTGTACAAACGGGCGGCGTTTGCTCGTAAGAGTCTTTGGGTGGTGCCGTACAAAGACTATGAGCTCTTCCCGGCTGGGGACTACGTCTGCCAGTCGACGGGAGAGAAACATCCGCATAACCAGACAATCGTGGATTGGGTGGCACGGAACGAGTCCATCGAAAATACGGATATTGTGTGCTACATTCAATTTGGTCTCACGCACTTTCCTCGGACGGAGGACTTCCCAATTATGCCAGCAGAGCCGGTGAGCGTGATGCTGCGGGCGTCCAACTTTTTTGAGAAGAACCCGGGACTTTGGGTACCGCCGTCGTCGGTGTGTGTCGATCGGACGTCCAAGGATGCGTTCTGCGCCAATGAGGGGAAGCGTGGTTGCGCTCGGTTGTGAGGAATGGTATCTGTAGGTAAGGTATCCATACACGGCTGTACAGTATGTGAGGACTGATGGGAGATACCTTAGACAAGGTGGAAGAAATATGATTGAAATTGCCGTATTTGGATGTGTAGAAGAGCGCAGTGTGGATGAATGTCATTTGCTCACCCGAAATTTGGTGTTTGGCGACGCTTCTAATGAGAGTCCGGTGAATCGCACAGACGGTGGTGGATGAGAAGGGCGAGACGGAGATTGTGACAAGGGTTGCGTGATGTGACCGACAGTATCCGTAAGGTATCCGTATCCATGCCTCGGCCCTCATGTCGACATGGGGTCCGTCATCCAGGCGGTCTGCGGAAGATGCACAATCTTGGTACCTGTGAAGTAGCCTACCTAGGCACCTTACCTCAGTAGGTACCACCTTAGTATGGTAGCCATGGTCCAATTGGCACCTTTGGCTTTAGATTTACAAGTGAACAAGGCGGATGACGATGCTCGAGTAAAGCGATGCCGTGACGAGTTGACGTGCTTATCTTCAATGAGTTGGCATCTCAGGGGTGTATCCGTTGCTGTACTTGTATGGTTGGATCGTGACGTCCAACCCGGCGGTTGCTTGGGTGTCAATGAGTCTCAAGTAAGATCTGAACATGTGGATCCAGTGGGATGTTCCGCAGGAGCAGCCGCAGCCTTTGCTGAGGTATCGACGATGGGAGATTGCATGAGATGATGATGAGGGGGACGACTCAATTGCTTTACATGTGCTTGAACTTCTCTTGGGTACCTAGCACGGTAGGTAAGTGGTAAGCTCCTAGGTAAGGCACCATGCGATTGTACGGAGGGGAGACCCCTCATGCCCAAGACAAGGGGAAATAGCTTCATACCTGAGGCAGCAGATATTTCCCCTCTTCTCCATTAGATTCTGCCATCTTCTTCCCTCCGAGGCAGGAGCATTGAGGGAAGGTAGTCACCCAAGCACCTTCCCAAGCTGTACAGAGTAAGTACGGATTCAGACACAATGTGTTTGTTTACATCCAATGGGTGGTATCCATACGGGACACACATTGTTTCTCTTTGCCGCCGCCATGTGCCAGTACCACCTGGAGAAAAAAAAAAAAAAAAAGAACTTTGCGCCCAACGGTAAAGAAACAGCAGTACGGAGTAGCAGCCATTGAGAGGCCCCCACGTCTTTGGCAGGAAAATCCTTGACGGGCCCGTTGGTCAATGGTCACACAATGACAGGTCCCTGAGCGCCCAAAGTGTGACCTCAGGCTATTTAGAGGTATCTTTGCGGACTGTGGCCTGCAAGATAGTACATCCATGAGGATGCCGCCACTACACCCAATTAGAGTAGCTTGAGTGGGCCCAACGGCCGGTCTGCCAATAATTTGGAGGGTCCAAAGCAGGGGTCCAGCCACTTAGAAAGCAGGTCGCTCATTTCCATTTCCATCACCACATGAACGAGTGAAGCAGCAGGTGCAAAACCAGTGACCCACGATAACGCCCAAAAAAAAAAAAAAAACAGAAAGAGCGATTGCCATGTAGAAAAAAAAAAAAAAAGAGCACCCTGGCCAGGCAGGTGCTATGCTGTGCAGAAAATCCCCTTGACCGCCTTTCTTTGTTTACCTTGCCTCACCTTTTACCGACAATTCCCTCCCGGTCCTACTATCCCGTACTCCTCCTCCTCCTCCTACTCCTCACCGTTACCTCACTCCCCAAGGAAACCTCAAGGAAAGTCGACTCACCGACGTTCATGGGTCTTGCCTGCATTGCGCCTTTCCCCCAAATCTTTAACCATTAACCAATCTTATCCCATCAACTGCCTGTCTCTCTACCTTCCCTCGACTGAACCGACAACAGGCCCCCCTTCCCCTTAGTTCAGTCTGACGAGAATTCTCCATCATGGGCAACGTTGTCTCAGTCTTCTCACCCAGCAACGGTAACCAGCTTGAGGGCTCTGCTGCAGAGCTCGAGCAGAAGCTTGCCGACCGTGAGGAGACCATCACTGTCCTCGAGGAGGATCTTTCCAAGAAGGAGAAGCAGTACACCTCTCTTTCCGAGGAGGCCGAAGACTTGCGCAAAAAGATCCAGGATCTCGATGCCCAATTGACATCAACCAAGCAAGAGAACAAATCTCGCATCGCCACTCTAGAGTCCGAACTCGCTACCAGCAACGACAAGATCAACCACCACCTTCAGGCCAACGGCGACGCCAACACCCAGCGCGCCCAAGAGCTCGACAACGCAAACAAGAAGCTCGCCGCTCTCCAGGAGCAGCTTGATAAGGTTCAGCAGGAGAAGAAGGCTCTTGAGGATGATCTTGCCGCCGTGAAGGAGCAGCTGGCCGAGGCTAAGAAGGAGCGCGAGACCCTCGAAGTCTCCCTCCGCGACGAGCTCAAGGCCCTCCAGGAGCGCCTGACCGATGCCGACCAGGCCCGATTCACCCTGCAGGAGACCCTCGACAAGATCAAGGCCGAGGCTGAGTCCGCGAACAAGTCCCTCGGCGAAAAGGTTGCTGCCGTTACCACCCTCGAGGGCAAACTTTCCGACCTCGAAGGCCAGCACTCCAAGCTCAAGTCCGACACCGAAGCCGAGCTCGCCGCCGCCGGCAGCAAATACACCGCCCTTCAGGAGGCTCTCGACAAGCTCAAGGCCGACACCGATTCCGATCTCGCCGCTGCCAAGAAGGAGTTGAGCGATGCCCAAGAAAAGTTCACTGCTCTACAGAAAACCCACGACGATCTCCAGAGCGGTTCCAGCGCCAACGTATCTGCCGCCCAGAAGGACCTCACGGATGCCCAAGAAAAGCTTGCCGCTCTCCAGCTGACGCTTGATCAACGTAAGACGGAAGCTGATGCGGACCTCGAGGCCGCCAAGAAGGAGCTGCTCGACGCCCAGACAAAGTTTGTCGAGCTCGAGGATAACCACAACAAGCTCAAGATCGGATCCGAGGAGCAGGTCGCTGCCACCAAGAAGGAGCTTGCCGAAGCGCAGGACAAGGTTGCCAGCCTTCAACAGACCCTCGATGGCCTCAAGTCCGACTCCGCATCTGTCTTGTCGTCCACCCAGAAGGAGCTCGCCGATGCGCAGGAGAAGCTTACTGCTCTCCAGCAAACCAACGACAAGATCAAGGCTGAGGCAGATGCAGATCTGGCGACTGCTAAGAGCTCCCTCGCTCAGAGCGAAGACAAATACGCGAAGCTGCAGGAGTCGAGTGCGGCGGAGCTCGAGTCTGCCAAGAAGAGTGTTGCCGAATGGGAGGACAAATACAACAAGCTGGAGCAGTCGCACAAGGATGCTCAGTCTGCCTCTGGTACCGAGCTTGAGTCTGCAAAGAAGTCTCTTGCCGAGTCCGAAGAGAAGTACACCAAGTTGCAGGAGACTCACGACGCCGAACTGGCGGCTGCCAAGAAGGGCGTTTCCGAATGGGAGGAGAAGTACAATGGCCTGGAAAAGACTCAGAAGGAATCGCAATCCGCTGCCACCGCAGAGTTGGAATCCGTGAAGAAGAGCTTGGCCGAGTCCGAGGAAAAGTACAAGACACTGCAGGAGGCGCAAGCACAGACCCAGTCGGAATCCAGCGCAGAGTTGGAGGCTGCCAAGAAAAGTGTTGCAGAGTGGGAGGAGAAGTTCAACGCTCTCAAGCAGACACAGGAGAAAGCCCAGTCTGAAAGCAGCGCCGAGGTTGACGCCGCCAAGAAGACTGCTGCCGAGTGGGAGGAAAAGTACACCGCCTTGCAGCAGGCCCAGGAGAAGGCTGCGTCTGACTCCAGTGCCGAGATTGATGCCGCAAAGAAGAGCGTGACAGAGTGGGAGGAAAAGTTCAACGTCCTCAAGCAAGCACAGGAGAAGGCCCAAGCCGATTCTAGCGCTGAAGTCGAGTCCGCGAAGAAGAGCGTTGCGGAGTGGGAGGAGAAGTACAAGGCCCTCCAGGAGTCGCACAATAAGGCACAAGCCGATGCTGGATCCGAGCTTGCCTCCATCAAGCAGAGCCTGGCCGATGCCGAGACCAAGCACAAGTCAGAGCAGGAGTCCCACGAGAAGGCCAAGGCCGATATTGAGGCGGAGCACACTACCACAAAGAAGTCTCTGTCCGATCTTGAGGGGCAGCATGCCGCCCTGCAGCAAACTCACGACAAGACGAAGACCGAGTCAGCCGAGGAGTCCTCGCGTCTGAGCAAGGAGCTGGCGGACTTGCAGAGCAAGTATGCCGACCTTGAGAAGTCCAGCGAGAGCGTCAAGAAGGACGCAACTATTGAGTTGGAGAGCGCTAAGAAGGACGCTGCCAGCTGGCAGGAGAAGGCCGAGAAGTCGGCCTCTGCTGTTGACTCATTGACCAAGGACCTCGAGGACTCCAAGAAGGATCTGGCTGCCGCCGAGGCGAAGCACGCCGCCGAACTGCAGAAGCTGCGTGAGGAGCTCACAAAGGCTGCCAGCGTTAATGGCGACAAGCCCGCCGCCGAGCCTGCAGTGGAGGAGACCAAGCCCAAGGAGGAGGCTGTTGCTGCCTAAGTGTGACTGGGATTCCATTGATGACTGGGAAGATCTGTGTACAAAGGTGAAGGGCGAAGTCGACCAGGCCCCAGGGGAAGGACATACACCAAACCGAGATACCAAACAAGAGTGCCACGAAGTTGTACTTAATAAACTAATCCCCCATGAACTAGATACGAATCATGACACGTGAATTGACTTACTTTGCCTCTTCAATGGCCATAAGATCCTGATGTGCCAAAGACCCGCGATATTCTTGACAGTGTGCCTGACTTATCTTCACCGTGCTCATGTGTCCTGAACACATTTCCACCTCAGACTGCCTCGCAAACAACTTAGCAGATGATAAGATCTACTGTTCAATTCCACCTTTCATCCAAGTCGGTCTCAAGCATCACATTCGTAGTCATTGAAAGTATGGAGACGGACATTTGGCATCGTTTCCGTCACTCGTCTGCGCCGAATAGGCACTGGCTGTCGCTGCCACATGTTTTCTAGACCGAGAGGTTCGATTCCATCCGATAGCCTCCTCCTAGGCGTTTCAATCGGTGCTTGTAGGCTTACGGCAGCTCGAATACCCCCAAGTCGGAAGGAACAGAACTTCGGCCCTCCTTGTCCCGATTGGCCATGAAAGACGGCTCATCAATGAAGTCTCTCTGATTATTTGGATGTTGATAGCTGGCGAGTTGATGTAAGCTTGGAATCGAACCCAGCATCTCGAAAACTTGAACTTGCTCAGACTCTTGCGGGGGTACTACATTATCCTGGGATTGTGATATGTGGCTACCTCGCAGAGAACTTAGAGAAGTAGCCTGCGAAAGCGGATGAGGAGCCCTCTCCTGGGCGACACAAGCAAGATGAGTCGGTGATCGCAAAAGTTGCTGTTCGTGCGTGAAATCTGTCATGAATGCTTGGTCTTGTAGCAGACGAGGTTGAGGTGGAGAGTTGAGATGACTGGTGACATCCTCGTTGCGATATATGGGACTATACGCGCGAAAACGGCCATTTGACATGGCATTTTGACCATACTTAACATCCAGAGGAACGAAACCAGGATATACAACCTTAGGGTCCTTTGCTACATTCGGCGATGGTGATGCATCCGGAGGGTTGGACTGGTGGGAGTCCTTACGTCTGTGACGACCTAGTAGTGAAAACGACGGCGACGACCACGAGCGAAACTGACGTGCCGAAGATGTGATAGGTGTGGAAACCAGAGAGGGAGATGAAGTGCTTCGTGGTGATGTTGAGTCCTGAATCATGCCTGGAACAGGCGGACTGTCGAGGTTACGATGATCGAACTCCTCTGATTGATGTTGCTTGCAGAATGACGACGTTCGTTGCTTCTGGGCTAGATTTTCCGAAGACATTGCCGAGGTGAATCGAACCCCTGATGTGGTCTCCGAGTTGGAAAGCCCGGGCGTTTCACGCAAAGACGACAAGGAAGACACCACAGAGGCTGGTCGATGGAGATGCTGGGCACCAGTAGACCACGGTGACATGGATGTAGATGCGCTCGACACAGATGGCGTTGATGTTAATAGTGGTGTCATGTTCGCATAATCCCCGAACAGAAGTGAAATTCCGTCTCCATCAGACGAATCTAGGACTTCGTCTCCTGTTTCCTCATATTCGAGGATACTCGGTGCATCTTGATTTTGATCGAGGAGGTGCTCGGGTATATCAATCTTGGACAAAGAGGAGAAGAGGAAATCGGAAGGGAGTTTAGGGCAATCTGTAGATATAGACGGCGGAGATAGAGCCGGGTATACGTTACAAGGCCCTGAGGATAAAGCAAAGAGGGCTTGACTGATTATTGAATCGGCTGGTTGACACTGCTCTGGGGGGTTGATATCGCTTGAGTAGGCTGGTAATGAGGTCACGGATCCTGAGCCAACGTCAACATACAAGGTGGGTTCACAAAGATAGTGGGTACAGTACCTGAGGTATTGGCCTTCCCGATCAAGTCCTCCAAGAGTGCAACGTTGTCAAACAACATCGTCGGTTTCTTGGAGGCATCATCATCGCCATCACCGCGGTCAGGGGTCGGCGCAAGCAGCGCAATCTGTCGCAGGAAATTCAATTCCGCAAGAACGGAAGCGTGATGCCGACTGATAACCGGTCTCTGTGCTTTGAATTGTGCGGAGTCGAGAAGAATCCATGACAACCTACTCCTGAAGGGGGTCCTTCCATTGTTCAGTCGAGGGCGACTCTTTTCCACAAGCTCACAGACTTCGACCAAGCCCTTGTGTGTTGTTTCGACGATGCTGTTGACACGTTCGAGGACTTTGGAACGTCTCTGAAGAAGGGGCAGCAGCTCATTGCGGATTTCGATAAGATACTGCAAGTCGGTGTGGCAGGTACGCACAAGTTCTAGGCTGTTTCTAACTTCTTGTGGGACTTGATCCAGTTCGATACCAAAGAGAACAATGTAGTAAGTTGCACGTAGAGCGCTGAGGGGATCCATAGAGAAATGCCAGTGCTCAACTTTGCATGCGCTCAACCGAATGTCAAATCAGCAAGCTGTTGAAGATGTAGCAAATCATGATCGAAAAGGACGCTTTAGAAACGCTAACACGAGAGAAACAAGACCAGGAGGGTCACCATAGACTGTGTTTCTTGCCAGTTCGACACCACATCAGCGAGACAATATGCATAATTGAGATAACAGAAGGAGCCCTGCAGCGAGCTCGACTGTGGTCATGGACGTAGCGGACGCGACCCAGGTCTTGTTGTCTAGCAGCACAAGAGTAGGCACATGCATGATGCATGTCTTAATTCTGGAGGGGGCGTATTGATTGTTGGGGCCAAGCTTTCGCCATAGCAAGCAGGCTGCGGTGTGAACCTGCCGCCTTCAAGCACATGGCACGATGCTTCTCGCGTGGATCTTCTGCGTTTGAGGGGACTCGGTGATGTTACCCAAAAGGCTTCCATATGAATCATCAGGCTGGGGCTGAATACGGAGTTCAAGGCTAGCTAAGCTATTTGAGCCGTGGTGAAGGGGGTGGGGTGGGTAGATGCACTCACGGAGAGCCAACATGCATGTGGCACAGTGGCGGCTGGGCTTTCTCTTTTGAGAATGTGATGAGCAGCCTGATTGGTGCTTGAACGAAAAGAAGCACAAATCTTGAACCAACAGCACAGTCTTAGCGCCTAACAGTCCATGGGGGTTTACCAGGGTCTGCGTGACGGCACGACTTTTCTAGGGGGTAGAGCAGGCTGAGCTGAAGATAGCTCACGCAGTCAATATCCACATCTTCATCTTACAACTTGCCACCCTACAGGGTCCTTTTGTCATTTTCCCCGCCTGCATGTTGGTTTGAGCCATGTTATTGACATGAAATGAGGAGCTCGCTTGTGTCGATACAGTCTGCAGCCAGCCGGATCAAACATCTAACTGCCTAAACTTGTGTTACCACAGGTGCCACGACCTGATGAGGTGACCGATACAACTTTCCATCCTTGCCACTTAACTTATCAAGACCAGGGAAAACGACGAGCATCCGGACCCCCGAGTTTCCTCCACCCTGGCTATACTTGAAGTGCCAGTCGCTGGGTTGCGACATGACCAACCAACCAAACTTTGCACATTCCAGAATGACTGCCTGGAGGTGTTCCGTTTGCTCCTCTAGTCTGGTCTGGTCTGCAGGAACGAAAGGCCTAAGGAAGACCTGAAGAGCCGTGGTGAGATCAGCAGCATGCTGAGCTGCCGCCGAGTCTGCCATTGGAAGTGGAGTCCGTTGGTTGCGACTTGGGTGCAGTAGAAACGCCGATAATTTGCGCCATTGTGACAACGCGAGCATTTTCGCTAGTTGCTAAAGTTAGCTTTGCGAATCTGAGTGATCTGGGAGGCCTGGAGCTATTAAATTCTCACCACTAGACTTGTCGTATTGGGTATCCCTTGGGACGGAGCGGAGAAAGTTTGTCACTGGTTCGGGAAGCAGAGCAAATCGGCCCCCTGAGGGGAAGTCGATACTGTTGAGAATGGCCGTAGAAATAACGTGCTGAAGCCCGACTTGTCGACTGACCGGATTGGCACAGATAGCGGCCACGCTTTCGGGAGTTGACCCTGGGGTCTGAGGCAATTCCAAGTCGCGAATGCTCGGAACTAGTGAAGCCGAAGAGTGCAATGGTTGTAGATGGTAATGGTTCTCAATGTGAGACCGTATTAGTTCGCTTAGTGAACGGAATTCGTCGCCGATTTCCTTGTCGGGAGTTGCATCTAGGAGGAATTGGCTGAGGTTGACATCCCTACTTGACTGGCCAGAACCAGGCTCTCCGTAAATTTTCGACTCCGTTGTTAGCACGAAATTCTCCTTCTTGATATCCTTTCCATCTTTCTGGTGCTTTCGACGCAAAATCGCTAGTGCCACAATTGCCCCGATCAGAAGGCCGCCCAGCAGACAACCTACTGATGCCCCGGCGATAGTCCCAGTAGATATACCGGTCGAAGATGGACGAGGACAATGCGTCGAAGCACTTGAGTTGGTCGCTGGCTTGATGCTAGTAGTATGAGCTAAAGGATACTCAAAGATAGTAACCGCCACTGCGATGGGTGCTTGTGCAGCTGCATTTGTGTATGGGGTAGCCGTGAAAATTGTGTTGGCTACTTCGGTAGGCGTGCCTCTGTCAATACCAGGCTGGGCCCCAGGTAGTGTTAAGGTGATTTCTGCAAGTGGCAGAGAAGGTGTGCTGAGAGTCGAGGTTGAAAGCTGGCTTGATCCAACTGAGGTTGGAAAGGTTGATGAGGTAGCAGATGCTATACTCCCTGTAAGGCTGCCAGCCGCCGCAGCTGAGTTTTGCGTGGCGGAAGAACCAGACATCTTGACTGCTGAGAACAGACTGTCCCCGTATTGAGAGAAGGGAGGAGGTTAAGAGTAGTTTGACGTGCGACGGCGGTGAAGTGAAGTGGGCTTTGCAAGCTCAAATACGGTCTGAAATCAACACACAGTATTGCTTCATCGTTACGCTTAAAATGAGATGGAACCCCCCCCCCCCCCCCACACACACACGCAGAGTCACAAAAGGCCTCGTCTTACACTAAGACCGCAATACTTGCCATTTCAGGTGAACCGTCCACTCGGTGGTTGGGTGTGAAGATAGAGAAGTTGGGAGGCAGGCTGAGACGCAAAAGCTGGCAGGGTGGTAGGAGGCGGAATTGCCTTATCTGCATCCCTTGCAAACCACTTATTTCCTGGTTGTCAATCATCAAGCTCAGCCAACTGGAGGAGCCTCACGGTACCAAGAGACGGACGGTAGGGTCATTAAATCGCCACGTCTCTGTGGCCTCGAGATAGCGCGGCCGTCCGCAGCAGAATTCAACGCTTGTGCAATCTGACCGCATTAAATTGGTTTCAGGCAGACTTCGGAAGCTGTTTCCTCGGACGTTGTGTCTGGGTTGCCCGAAGGCATCGAAGGTGCAAGTTGGTTAGGCCACCTACATGCAGCCAGCCTTCCACTTCCTACCTGGGCCAGGGATGGATACAAGCCAAGTGGGGAGAATATCAGGCAGTGGATAAGGACACCCAACACGCGCTTTCCTGGTTTCCGGCTACTAGCCCCGCGCCATCCCCCTTGGACCATGAAAGGAATAAACCATGAGTTTCAATCAAAGAGGGCTTTCGCCGTGAGACTTGCCTCCCCATTCTCCCTCGAGAGAGGGGTTCCAACGCAGTAATTAGAGATCAGCTTGGCCTACGTATCTTACCTTACCTATGCACATCGAACAGGTTCTGCTCTTACGATGGACGGCAAACCCGACATTCTTGTGTCTATTGACCTCGGCACCACTTACACTGGCAAGTTACTCATAATTTGGTCTCATAGAATATGCTAACTGATATCCAAGGGGTTGCCTGGATGACACCCAGGACACCCATCCAAGTCATTAACGACTGGCCAGGAAGCGGTGATCGGGGAGAAAGAAAAGTCCCGACAACCATCATCTACAATGCTGATGGCAATATTTCTTCGTGGGGTTTCATGTGCGCAGACGATGATGAAAATGTTCCCGGCAAGACTCGGCGGGAATTCTTCAAGATCTTTCTCGACGATGATACGTTGGCGGCAGCGCAGAAACAAGGCCTGGAACATGTCCCACGCAGCACTTCTGACGCGCAAAGATACGTTACGGACTACTTGAAACAAGTATATGGACACATCAAAGAGAGCATAGAAACTCAGTGCGGTCGACGTCATTTTGGTGGTTGGGCAGGTATGGCAGTTACCTTCTTGTTTAGCGCTCCGACTACATGGACTAAAATGGGAGTCGTGAACGCATTCAAGAATGCAATAAGCGATGCGGGATTTGGCATTGAAGGACCACGCCATATGGCACAGCTTGATTTAACGGAGGCAGAAGCAGCTGCAGTCGCAACTCTAAAGACGAGCCCCGTGGAGTTTCAATTGGGAAATCTCTTTCTAACGGTTGACGCAGGCGGTGGAACTACTGACCTAGCCTTGATGCAAATTACATCGACTGATGGTAATTTCCCACAAATGTCGCAAATGGCAGCTGTGAGAGGAGTCGGCATTGGTTCATCCCTCATTGATAGGGCATTCGTTCGATTAGTAGCTCAGCGACTATCTACCTGCCCTGATGCCCACGATCGACTGCCCACCGATTGCGCCAATAGAATGGCAAGGAGCCACCATTTCCGGACAGTGAAACACAAGTTCGGAGAGAGAGCCTACATGCAATCCGTCTACAGAATCCAGATGGATGGTGTTTCGCATGACTTTAGCCATCCTGGATTGCGAGTTGAAAACGGGAGAATGGCCTTCACAAAGTAGCTTGGTTTACTAGCTGGCAGATTTTCATCTTGACTGACAGAATTCAGGGAAGAGATCACCTCCTTGTTTGAGGTTCAAATCGAAGGCATAATGAGGAGAATTAAGGAGCAGTTGGATTGGTTGGGCGTAAATGGCCAGCCTCAGCAAGTCGTATGTCCCACATGACTATGATACTGAACAAGATGTGAATTCTGACATGAATAGGATCATATGATTCTGTCTGGTGGCCTCGGGAGTTCGGCATATGTTCGAGATAGGCTCCAGCAACAGTTCACCAGCTACCCACATCCGAACGCGAGCCAGATCGCAGTCATCCCTTGCCAGGACCCACAACTCGTTGTCGTGCGCGGCCTACTGCTTGATCACCAGCAGAAGATGGAGTCTGGCAATCTGGCGGTGTTGGCGACTCGAATAGCGCGAGCTAGCTACGGGATCATTGTTCGAGAGATCTACTCGCCAGCCAAGCACTTCAACGAGGACGTTGTTGACGACCAGTTTGAACACAAGCAAAAGTGGGCCATCAACCAAATAGAATGGCTCATTCGAAAGGTCAGACCCTCGACCCCATGATAATACCGGAAAGCTCACTGGCACGACCACAGGGCGATGTCATCAATCCAGCGAAGCCGTTAGTGAAGTCATTCGATATTCGTCTCAAAGCAGCGGAGACAACCAGGTCATGGGACGCTAAGATCGTGACCTCCCATAACGAAGTGTCCTTTTTGCCAAGCAGTATGAAGCATGGTAAGTCTGAAAACTGTACAACGCAACGCAGCATTGTCAACATTTAGAGGAGAGGACATGACTGATTTTATGCATACTTAGCTGGAGCATTCAAGCTTTGCGAAGTCAAGAGCAACCTCACGGGCGTACAGCAGGAGCAACTCATACTCAAAGAGAAGCGAGGCACGTGTTTCTCCCGAGGCTTCAAGTTCTATATATGCCAATTCGATATATGAGTCATTGTTGCGCCTGCCGATTTGCGATTCGAGCTTTGGTTTGCAGGCCAGAAGTTCTCGGGAAACCACGAACCAATAGCAGTGACGTGGGAGGACGAGGGTGCTAGCACGACTAGTGAAAAATAAATGAAGATGTGTCGCGGTATCTTGGTGCCTGTTACTAGCTGAAATCCAATCGAGAGCATGAGCATTTCTTGCCGTTCGGGTTTTTTCATGAGGTCTAGGACGATTCCGTTGATCCGAGCGGAGGCAGAACTTGGGAGACGTGCTGCTGCGTGATAATGCGAATGTCGAATCGAGTACCAAATATCGTTAAACATGGAGCCGTGTGCCTCATGTGAGGCACAGCGCTAAATACGTATCATTTCCGCGCGTTCTATTTCAAAGCCGACTTGTTTCTTCTCCTACAGCCAATGGAAAAGCCCCAATCGAGGTCAGTGGTAAAGAATACTCAAGCTGTACACCTTGATGTTACCTAACGCTTGACGGGATAGATAAGCTAGAAGCAAGTGATGATAGCAAAAGTAGGTAGTGCCCGCCTGTAGAAAGTTGTTTGAGCAAAAGTGAGTAGTGTCCCGCCGTTGAAAGGTGTTTGGTCAACTCTGCAGTTCGCACGCTCTTTGCAAATGACAATCTCGAGGAATGGTCCTAATAGAGTATGGTCGATGACTGATCGTCGGGAAGGGGTCGAGTTTAGTGGGGATCCTTAGTGCCTCGAGGATTGCGCCATATCTAGTAATTGATCGGCAGCCATGGCGAAAGATATCGAAGAATGGTGGTCCTCTGCATCACACTGTTGGCGCCTTTCCGACCGTTTAGCATACGAAAATGGTATCTGGAGCAGCTGAAAATCTAAACAGAGACAGTCGCCATCTCGAGGAATGAACCGAATTAGGTATCGTTTACTATAATCTTCCGTCTGTTACTTATGGCCTTCCGAAACTTCTTTCACCACCTCCTCCTGTCGTGAGGTTATAAATTCCTCAGGCCCACCACTGGAAGTCCTCGTATCATGTTCTCTAGGCAGACACATCATTTAATCCGACAAGGCGCGAAAGTCAGTCACACTCGCTTACATCGACGTCAAAAATGGGCGAAACACAGCCAGGCTCAAGTGATTTCCCCACAATGAACGCCGTTCATGGTACTGCACCCCCTCCTTATTCTGTCGTTGAATCAGAAAATGTCCGGAAACTGTCCGCAAACTCGTCATCCACTGACTCCGTATCTTCTGGCTCGGGGTCGTCGGCAGCACTTTCTATGGATATGGTATCTTTGCACTCCTCTCTTCGAGACGAGGAGTATGGGATTGAGCCCAAAACAAGCTGGATACCTCAAGAGCCCAGAAATCCGAGGCGCTCGCAGTGCCTGCTCGAAGTCAGCAAAGTTCCTCTTCCTATCAGATTGCTGGGTCCTGCCTGATACTGACGACTTAAAGAAACCAGTAGTCATCCCTAGAGTAGACTTTGCTGGTCCTCTCAAAGTCCCCCTGCCTTTCACGAGATCATATAGCCCTGTTCTGCAGGCTCATGGAATTTACAAAGAAGACTTCGTCGCATTCCTTGACAATTTGACCGTGGCTCAAGGCCCGCCTGCTCCTTTGGCAATGTTAAACACAGCAGGTAGTATTGCAGGGCTCGTGTAAGCGATTTCCACGATTCTCACACGACGCTCTGAATGAAGCTGACTTTTTCCTAGACCCTATCACTGGGCACAATTGGCAGGAGGCATAGCAAATGTGACTGCCGGACTAGGGACAGCTGCTACACGAATTGTTCGGACGAAGCTGTTTCTAGATAAGGTTAATCGTGACTATTTCGAGCCTCGAGGCCTCAAAGCGTCGATATGTAGATCCAAAACTCTGGCCGCCAGATTGGGATGCGGTGAGCAACTTCCAGAGCTCTTGTAAGAGTCACTGTATCTAGAACAAAAGTTGCAACCTTCTGACCGTCTCCATACACAGGCCGACCACACCAGAGACATGTGAGATGAGTTTGCAAGATCGCCGAATGCGGACTCTTGCTCCATATGTCGCCCCTCTCAGCTTTGAAGTCCCGCCACCCAGCAAAGAACGAAACATTGTTGACAGAATGACTGAAAAACAGATCGAGCGGGCTGTTAAGAAGAAAGAAAAGCAGAGAGAAAGGAAAAGAAGCAAAATCAGGAACAGCAACCAGGATCAGCTGCACGATGAATCTAAATATGTTCAATGTTCAGATGGCAGCCTTACCGACAAAAAGGTGCTGAAATTCGAGAAGCGGTACGAGAGGAACCAACGAAAGATGGAAAAGGCCGAAAGGAAAGCCGCCGAGAAGTTGGACAAGAAAGAGCCACTTGAATCCAAAAAGATCAAGAGGAAAGAAGAAAAGAAAATTAGGAAAGCTGAGAAGAAATGTCAGAGATTGGACGAACAAGGGGAAGAAGCCAATTCAAGGCGTGCAGACAAAATGATCAAGAGTCAGGCGAAAGACCGGAAGAAGTCAGAGAAGATGGAGTTTCTATTGATAGAGCCTTGGAGAGACTAGAAGCACCGTGGCAGCAGCAAGTAGTCCCCACAATACCTATATAATGGATGTCATCAGGGGTCTTATTTTGAGTAGTCATGTATGAGTCTATCTGACGTGATGTTCGAGACAGGGTTCAAGCGTAGCACATGTCGAGCCATGGCCCATCTACCGCTAGAGCTAGACGAAATGTGTCTGAGTTGGAACCTTAGCCATAGCCCAAGGACTTCGTCCGACTTGCCTACGGCCTCGTACGCCATTCTTATTGGAAATAGAATCGATGAACTCGCAATATTTCGCAGTTTATCAAGATGGTAGTGCACACTGCGGCATATTAGAATGCCAGATTCATGTATCCTGATCGGCGCAGGCCCAGGTTCGGTACTATGACCTTCTGAATCTCGTAGCGCAAGCCGCAAACCATGAATCAGGATTAATAGTAAGATCAAAGTTCCGTGAAACAGAGTGGAGGTAGTGGCATGATAAAGACTGTGAAATTCAAGAACGGTGTCCCAAACTGGCTCACTGGACCTGCCGTATCCGGAGCGCATTGGTGTAGTAGCGGCCGGCGCTGGGACTAGATCATATTGATCCAACTCAGTGGATGACCAGCAGTTCTCCCATATCTCGAGATCGTTTAGAACCTTTTGTGCCATTTCAAGCAGAGATATCATTGCTGAACTGCGAGGAAGCCCTTCAGCTTTACCGAAGATATCCTCTCGCAAAACAAATAGCTCAGGGCAATCTGCAACAATATCAACAAGCAGTTGGAATGGATTCTTTCGTTCGGGGTACTGCAACCACGGGAGACCTTTCCACAGAGCACTCGAAAGAATGGTAGTTTTGCGGGTGACAAGAGCAGCGAAAATCATTGACGGCCGCGCCTTCTCCAACAGTGCCAAACATGGCAAAGGCTGCATCGATGTCGGTCCTCGGAAGTCAAGAAGCCTTTCCAGGCCTCGCGCGTGTTCTATCCATCCGTCTTCACGGTTTCCAGCAATCATCTTGAGCATTTGAGGTTAGCTCCAACACCCACAACCATTGATTTGAGCCATGCTCTTGCGTATAGCCTCGTAGGGCCACTCACTTCGAAAACGGCCATCACTATGATGGCCTCTAGGACGTCGAAAGATCGACTTTCCTGGGGGTCACTTAACGCCTTGTTGAGGGCCTTGAGCGCAGTACCGTATTTGTAAAGACCATGTTGCAAAACGTGCGGCTCTTGTTTGTCGATGCCAAAAATGGTCGTGGAAAGCGCGACAAAGCACTTGTTGGTTAATGTTCGATTTATGTCGGGGTTTACCACGACCTCCTCGCTCTCGTGCAGCAGATGATTCATCGCGTAAGAGGCGTAAACCTCATCCATGGAACCTAGCGTCAAGTATTGTTTTCCAATCTGCGTTGGAATGATCTCGTTTCTCCGGGGCACTACAACTGAGTGCGCCGTGGTCTTTGATCCTATGATCGGGGCTGCCTGAGAGATGCCGCTGACATCGGTGCCGGGTGGCACGGCCCTGTGCCCGTTGTATTGGATGAAGCTGAGGCCGCGAGAACCCCCGCATTTCAATTGCGCCTTGATGCATCTTGCGCACTCGGGCGCGGCAAGATCTGTATCACTTGGATTAGAGAAGAGACATCTACAGGAAAGCGGGCGGCCTTACCACACTTGACACGCCGGCGCCGACAATGGTCGCAGGCTTTACTTCTTCCTCCTACTCCGACCATTTCGTCTTGTGGTGGAAAGAAGAGCACTGTGTCGCATGCCAATTCAGCTAAGATTCCCTCGCACCCGGGCCATGGAGCTGAGTGATGTGACATACGCGGGCCAACGCGCAGCTTGAATCACGTCTTACGGCCAAGCCTGTTCCCGAGCCTCGCGCTATGACAAAAGCGGTCAAGACACCAAGAAAGCCTGTCTAGGTGTAAACCATCAACCCCCAATTATAAGCCCCATAGAAACCATCGCGCTCTCGAAACGGCTGGCATTGTTTGTTGAACAGGCTGTCAAGGTGAAGAAAACCTCAATCGTCTGCGCGGGACAGATATTGGCGGCGAACGCTTTTTACTCCAAATTTGGCTGACCGCTGTCCCAATGTTTGAGGACTTCAGAGACTAAACCATCACGAAGTGGCACGGGGTCCCTGTTTGAAGCCTGCTGTGTTTGTCCTGACGTTGCTCTTCACGAAATTGATTTTCAAGCATACACTCAGCTATTTCTGGAAGCTAAGTCTGAGATACGATTAGCATACTCAGTGTTTGACAAGAGGTATTCAAAATATAACAAAACGGGCAAGGCCAAGTTTTGTTCTTGCTGGCGGCTTGGCTGCCTTGCACTTGAAGTTGGTTCAGTGTTCTCTGCAAGCCGGCAATCCTGAGACGGCTACCATCTTGCCAGTTTCGCCCTCGCAAATTTCTACTCATGCGCAATGCCAAGCCACCCAATTGATAGGCAAAATGATGGTGGTGTTGAAGTCTAACTGTTGCCTTCGGGGCAATCTTCGCGGAAATTTCTAGCAAAAGTTTGACCTAGCAGGCGTGCTGCCTATCTGACGTTGCCGCCGGCAGTGGTGGGCAGCAAAACCACCTGGAATCCCCCCCTCATAAGAGCATCGTCTAATTTACTCGGCTCAATTGCCGCTGGCCAAGCTTTGTCCTCTCATTCCTTCACCTTACCTCGACTTCCATCTACGCTGGTCAGTTCTCTCATTCGTTAGATCTTTAAACTGCCCTACTATGGAGAAGCGGAGGACTCGCACCGCAAACCCATGCGATGGCTGCTCTCTAAGGCGGGTACGATGCCGCATGCAAGGTAATCCGCCTTGTCTCGAGTGCCAGAAACACTCTGTCGAGTGTACCTTTCTGAGAGTTCCACGAAAGCGAGGTCCCAAAGGGCCTCGCCAATGTACATCTGAGAAGGTGGCACACTACCAAAACGAAATCCGTCAATCGCAAAGTCATCGTTCTATCTCACAAGGACTTGTAAGCCCCATTGCTGATAACGAGAGCGGCCAGATGCCAATGCATCTATACATCGAGTATTTAGACAAGTTCCGAGAATCTCTTACCTGCGTCTGGCCCATTCTAAATGTTGAAGATTTGAAGTCCAGACTCGTCCATAATCCTGCCGGTGATCGAAGTGCCTGGGCACTAGCTGGCGCTGTCTGTGCGACGGTCATCGCCCAGTTGCGACTTTCTCAGATACGCTCAGCAAAGCAAGACACGGCAACTACAGACCTCAGCTCCGTTGCCGAAAGCTTTGCCCGTCATGCCCAGCGCCTGCGAGATCAGTTTTTTTACCGGGAAGATTTCTCGACCGAGTCTTTGTTGACGGCATTTTTCCTGCATATCTACTTCACTATTACTGGAAGAATAAGAACCGCGATTCTATACTTGCATGAGACAATTGCACAGCTACACCTCCAAGATTTGCACCTCACCGAAACCCTGGCCAGCCTGGCCGATGAGCAGAAGGAATTGGTCCTCCGCATCTACTGGCTAGTCTTCGTGTCTGAGAAGTAAGTCAAACATTTGCTTGTGGTCATTAGTGTCCCCAATGATGGCAAAGTCTGACATTCTATCAAGGACTTTTTGTGTACAGAATTGCTTTCCGACGTCACTTTCGCCGATTCAGGCTTGGCCGTCTTCAGAATTCCACATTCCGGGGGTTGGGGATCTTGACCAATCTTTTCAACTCCTTGCACAGCTCTTCACGCTACTTGATAACAATATCATCATGGCAGGGGATAGAAGAGGGGCCTACATGGATGCTAAAAGTGTAGACCACCTTCAATATGCCCTGTCAGCCATGGACAACATTGCAGCTGTGGCGCCTAGACTCCCGGAAACACAACGTGTTAACGTTTTAATGACGGGCAATTGGATTCAAATCCTTTGGTGGCAATACGCACTTCGCCATGTCCAGATGTCCAGCCGCGGAGAAAGTGACACCACATTCTCAATATTGGAACCCGCATTAGTGGCCCAGAAGGCTATGCGACTTTTCGCGTCAGTCTCCAGAGACTCAATTACGACCCACGGGTTTGGTATGGTATGTCAAGTGCGAAAAAGCTGATAACATTGGTTCGAACTAGACTCTAACGCGGTGGGCGGAGGTTTTAGGAGCTCAAAGTGTTCCGTATCACGGACGCGCTGGTTGATCTATTGGCCTGCAATAGACATCTGCTTGATTCCACTCGGGTTAAGAATGGAAGGATGGTAATGGGCCCGAGAGATGTGCTTTACGCCCTTCAAAACACGTTGCATCTTATCGGTGGCCCAGAATCCCCCTTATACAAAAGGCTTTTGGGGATGATGGCAGAGGTTTCGCTTCCTGTCCCGCAAGTCCCGGAGATTGTCTTTCGCTACAAAAAGGCAGATTTGCGAAATGAGAGAGATCACGACAAGGAATTCAAATAGATGTCGACGAGCGTAATGATTGGAACAGTCGACCTTGCTCTCGTGGAAGAAATGATCAGACGTAGTTGAATTTGTCAGGTTGAAAATCTAGTTCCATGCTCGGGGCAAGTCATGAGCGGCTAGGAATGCCCCAAGGGTCGGCCTTTGTTTCTTCCCCGCAAGTCGGGCGTAAAGGACCAGCTATCTTTTGATCACCCACTACCTTAGCATCCGCCAACTCGTTCGCCTTCAATAGTTCTGAATTCCAAATGAACTTGTAGATGTCTTACTGATAATACCGGTAGACTATTGAACGTAGACTTAGAAATCTTGCGTCATGCCAGAATGAGCACCTGATATTGCCATCAGTTGCCGCACAAGGACTTTGTCTTGGATAGAACGGCGCAAATGGAAATAAGGTACGCGACCAATTGATGATGCTACTGCTTCTACCATCATGATCTGATCTATTCGCTGAGAGTGTGTATCCAGTTGATTTTCTGTGGGACCTCAATCTGCCAGGCAACCTTTGACGACAGTGCGTCTTTCCCAACCAAGATGTCAAACTCGGACCCAGCATCAATCACCCAGCCCTTCTTGATTGGATCAAAGACACCCAAGGAATACGCATCAATCTCAACCTGTAAAAGCTGCTCCTCGCCAGTCTTCAGGTGGGAAGATTTAGCAAAACCGCAAATCTGCTTCTCGGGCATTACCAATCGCCTGGTCGAGGTTTTTCTGCTCCATAGTATGACTGTCTCTCTTCCAGAAACATCAAAACCACCCGTATTCTTCACTAGCACATTCGAAACCAGAGGACAGTCCCTGGTAAGTACGTTGGAGCTAATGGCGCCCGCGTGCATGGAGAAGCTGTTATACGACAAGCCGAAGCCGATTGGGTACTGTGGCGTGACTCCAGTGAGATCCCACCATCGGTAGCCGACGAAGAGACCTTCGGAGTAGTATGTTTCGTTCTGCTCGCCAGGAAACGAGGAGTATGCTGGACAGTCTTTGATATCACGAGGAAAGGTGACCGGCAGTCTGCCTGATGGGTTGATCTTACCACTGATTACCTGCGCCGCCGCGTTGCCAAGCTCTTGGCCTTGATACCATGTATAGAGCACTGCTTGTACCTCATCAACCCAGGGTTCCATTCGAACGGGTGTACCCGCCTGTACAATGACAATAGTCCGCTCGCACTTGGCCGCGACTTGATGGATCAATCGCACCTGGTCGCCAGGTAGCTCGAATGTAGGGATATCCTGTCCTTCAGTCTCCCACTCCTTGTCTCGTCCAACCACCACGATGGCAGCTTCACATTCTTCTGCCAAATTCCCGGCCTCAGTGGGTAGGTCGGTCGCGTCACATTCGTCGTATCCGAACCGAAAGCCCTGAAATTTGTCTTCCATGGGTTCCATGAGTGGTGCAAGAAGAGGATCAAGCTGTCTGTCATGTGATAGACAGTCGATTTGGACCTGATACTCGTGATCTGCTTCCATGTACATAGCGGCTTGCACTTATCCGCTGCCGTATGTGAAGAAAAGCGTCGATTTCTCCTCAAAGGCTCCAGACTGTTGGAGAATCTCCTTCGTATCAATGAAAAGCTTTGCTGGACCGATGGATGCCAGTGACAGCTGGTGAATGCCCGAGGTGAGCGGCTTGAGACAGGCTCTGACTCGAAAAGAAAAGTCGGCGGGCCTACCGACAGCGGTTGGCACATCACCAAAACTCATGAAGTAGAGATCGTCCCTATTTAAAAGGTCTATCAGCAATCAGAAGTCCCAGTCATCCAAGTTTTACTGGACGTATAACTCACACGTGTGTTCTGGCCACTACCTCGCTAGAAAGATCATGACCTAGATGCTAATCAATGCAAGCGCCGGGCTTTGTCGTGTCTGGATTTGTTATGACCGTAGGCGCTGGCGTTGGTAAGTACCTATTGACTTTGGCTCCCTCGTGGAAGAGAACCTGGGTCCCGTATTGGCCAAATTCCTGCTCTACCGAGCCTAGAACCGAAGTCCAGTAAGGTGCCTTGATGTAGCTGCTTCCACCACCTCCAGCAATGATTCGTTTAGCATTAGGTCCAATGACTGCCAGCTTAGATAACTTTTCTTGAAGCGGTGATAAAGGCAATGCGCAATGCTCATTCTTCAAGAGCGTGATGCCAGAATATGCGGCTCGTAGCAGGAGTTCCTTCGTTGCTGGGTCGTCACGACAATATTCTGGGCCATCCACGGCGTCTTCGAACCGCCTCGTCTTGGCTAGAAGCTCTAACACGCGACGTGCCGACTCATCTACTCTCTGTAGATTGATTCTTCCTTCTTCCAAAGGCCTTTTGAGCGCTTCCCATGACCGCCTGATCGTTTGCTAGAATTGTTTGCAAAAGAATCAGTGGCCGCAAATTCGTTGCCAATATGAAAATAACGGACCGACGAAGTGCTTTGGGGTAGCTCCCACGCCGTGAGACTGTACCCCCCTAATATGGGCAGTGGCTAGCTTTCCCGAGAGAAAAGGATCTTCGCTGAAAGACTCAAAGTTGCGGCCCCCGAGAGAGTGGCGATGTATACACATCGTGGGTGCCAGTGATACGGATGCGAACTTGGATTTGCACTAGACGAAAGGTCAGAGAAATTATCCCCATAAGAGAAATAGTCGGGGGATGCCAACCTCCTCTGCAAGAAGCTCGCCAATCTCTCGCAACAGATCGATATCCCAAGTGGCTCCTAGGCTTACGCCGCAAGGCAAGAAAGCTGCGGGAACGTTCTCTCCAAAGATTTCTCCACGAGCGCCCGATGGACCATCGCTGACCTAAGAGCACAGACGAATGAGTGAATTGCTGATCTCGGTCACATCGTGTCTTTCATAAAACACATGACTTACCTTGAGCTCTGGCACACCTAGCCGATCGATAGCCGTAGTGCGCCACTGGGACGCACCAGCAAGCAGTGAAACTTTCTCCTCGAGCGAAAGGGAAGCCAGGATATCCAGGATCTTTTTCTAGGCGCCATCTTCGAAAGAGCTTTTTCGCAATGCTATTGTCTGAGCTAAGCTTTGATAGTCCACACTATTGAAGACGCTCACATTTTATTCCAGGCTCAAGGGTCAAATTACACAAAGGTGTTCAAGGTATTTCAAGCAGCCGACGGTTCGCAGGAGACAGGCTGAGGCATGGATTCACCATTCTAACCGCCGAGCCTTCAATGAATCGAGGAAAGTGTACACGAGATGCGGAAACTAGTTTCCTATCGGGAGAGACCCATAGTATCCTCGTGTCTAATTAGATCTCATAACCTGCCAATAGGGGAAACAGGCATGTAACAAGTGGCTTAAGGGATCGCCGAAGTATTAAGGGAATCCATTTTCCGCTTTTACGCGGGGCTCGATATCAACACGAAGTGGATACATAAAGCATCCGGTCAGTCAGGGAGACTAACAAACGGTCTAGTTACATTTTATCACAACGCCACACGTAGCAATACGTACTTACTACCATACAAGACCACATGTCACAAAATAATTGCCCTCTTTATGTAGTATTGAAACATATTCCTGAAAGGTCCTTTTTTAAAAAAGAGGAAAATGAATTATTGATTAAATATATTTTCTACTCAGGACCTCGCTTTATAATGTCTCATAAGCATAGTCTTGCTGTGACTGAACTGAGAGCCCCTGAGGTTAGATTGAAACCTTTAATTAGATGACGATAGTTTAGCCTCTCAACTATTTCTCAAACGCCTTGAATCTCGCTGCAATCCACTCAGTCGACATTCATGTGAGAAATAAGATATTTTGATGTTTGCCTGCCTAAAGTTAGGGCATTATGAATAAAAGCTAGAAATATCGTAATCGGCATCATCCCAGGAGAGAGCTTCAAATGCCCGAAAGTCCATGTATCCATACCCAATATCCAACAGCAGTTGTTCCGAGGGTTGGAGACTCGAAGGACCAGCCCCTTCTATATCCGTTCCAAGTGTACTGAAAGCGCCCGAGACATCCTTTGACTGAAAATCATGACATGATACTGCAGAGCCCCCCGGTTGCTTGACAATGCGCTTGTTCAAGGTCCCTGTTCCAAGTTCATGTTGATGAGCTCTTTGAGACAATCCGTTCTGGGAAACGTCCATTCCAAGACAGCTAGCACACGAGGCTTTGGCTACATCACATGCTGCACGGCTTTGTTGCTCTGACAGAATCTTGTTCAACGTTCGTAGGTACCTCAGTGGTGGGCTCCACGAAATAGAAAGCTCTCGCAAAGTCTGTAGGCAGCCGTCGAGGTCATTCTTGCTCAACTTGGAAACATCGTCCTTCACCGCAGGTTGAACGAAAAGAATAACGAGAGCAGCGCTAAGAGTGCAATGGGTTGCTGTCAAGGGACTTAGACGAAAGCTCCCGAAAGCTGCTCGGTACTTTGCGCCCAACGAGCAGATCTCGACGGCGGCTTCGCAGCACGCGGCAGAGGCCCGTCGGCCTACTTCGGTTTGATCAAAGAGATGCTGAAGTGTGACTATCTCAGTTTTGGGTTTTCTTGAAGATTGAAGGTAAGGCCTTGCAAGGAGAATGACAGAAGTGTAATAGACCATGTTGAGAATGTAAGAGTGTGGAGACTTGGCTCCTTTGTTGGCTTCCTCGCTTCTGCTGACCTTAAGCTCATTTGGAAGCGAATAGTACCATCCTTTGAGAGTAAGGATGCACGAGTCGAAGAAAGTTCGCTTCTCCACGGCCGAAGAAAGTCTCTTTGGCGCATATCTGAGGCCCCTTTATCAGTACCGATGGAATCGATCCTAGATTTCTCAACAACACATTAATACTGCTCTACTTACAGGTTCGTCAGAACCTTCTCCAGTGTCTGACAGTGAGTGATTATGGCTCGTTGAAGGCGGAGGGAGTGGTTTGGTCGGCTATCTGGCTATGTTCCTTGAAGCAAGGTTGTAGACGGAAGAGGGACGGCTCCTTGCGAGTCCTTCATCTCATGGGTTAATGACTCTATCCCGAGAATCTAAAATGCTATGTACTATGCGCACTACTAAAGAGAAACTTACTAGCATTGTGCAGACTCTGCCCGTATAGCTCGCCCACAGCTTATCATGACAGTATAACGCCCAATATATCTGTCGACGAAGCTGCACTTCACTGGATGTCAGGAGGCTGACACCAGTAACTGCCGTACTGTCAACGTTCAGCCCCATATCCAGTAATAGGCGGTTAGCCATGCCATGGTGTAGCCACCCCAAACTGTCGGATCCAACAGCCTTGATGAGTTCCCAATTGTTAGTGGGATCCCATAGAGAGACATGGAGGTCGTTTCTTGGTACTCACAACGTAAGAAATCCCCAGAACTCCCAAGGCCTGAATTGTGGCGACGCCGGGACATTTGACTTCTTCTCTTAACAAGATCTCTGCTCTTTCTGAGAAGATACGGCCAGCGGTATGGGGATCGCCAAAGTCACTTCGGACTCTCCAATCATCGCAATACCTTGAAGCGACGGCAAGCATGCTATGCAGTAATGATGGGCATGAGTAACGCCCGTTACAAAGCATGCTTTGTCGAAATAAGGCCTCATCCACCAATTGCAACCACGGCTGCTCCCATTCAAAGTACAAGTCAATGAGAATGTCTCTCAGTTCCGGGGCTACTAAATCATCAAGGTCCTTCATCTCCACTGAACTATTACCATAAGAGATGCGGCCCACTTGCTGTACACCATCTAGGTTCTGGCTATCCGTGCCTGATGAAGGTTCAATGGCAGGAGACGTAGGAGGAGGCTCATTGGATGACCGCAGCTCAAGGAGACCACTGGTTGCACCAAAGAACCGAGCCTCGCTTGCCTGAGACCGATCATAGATGTTCGGGTCTGGACACAGAGTGCCTTCTAAAGCGGCACCTGCTTGGGCGCTCGCAGCCGACGAAGAATTGACCGCGGCGGTAGGTGATTGTCCGGCGTCCTGATCCATTTCGGCTCTCTGGGCATCGAGCTGAGCAACAGAGGCATCGATATCAATTGAGTGGAGCCACAAAACTAACCTTGACGCTGGTAGGATCCATCATCGCCAATAAGGAGTTCGTAAAAGACTTCGGGATTTTCGAGGAGGATGTTGGCGCCTGGACATTGCCTGCGAATAGACAGCTCATATGGACCATCGTTCAATGCGTTGCCGCCATTCTCAGTGCACTGGGCTCAGGGCAGCTCAACGACCTTCTCGGCCGTCGATTCTGCTTCTTCGTCACGGTTGGGTAATTTAGACCTTTACTCCGATCTCGAGTGACACCAGTAATCGATTATTTGCTAACGATGGAATTGTTTCAGTCTGACAGTTGCTGGTACTGTGGTCGAACTCTTTTCTCCCGACTGGAAGGTATGGCTTGTTGCCAAGTTGCTTATGGGCGCTGCAATGGGGTCGATGCAAGCCAATACGCAGACGTTCGTGTCCGAAGTCACGCCGGCCCAGATCCGCGGATTCACACTTTCCCTTTTTCAGTTCTGGATCATTCTTGGCTCCCTGATAGCCTCGTGCGTTCTGCAAGGTAAGTCAAACCCCCCACTTCCTGGCACCCCCCTGTTTCTGGCACCCACAAAAACGATGGGATCACAACCCAACCTCCTCATTACTATTAACTATTGATCCTCAACCACACCCACTACAATACAACTGCCAGCCTCACTAGGGCATTCAGAGTCGCTGGATTCAGCCGTAATAACCTCCTTTTCACCCGCTTCGATTTGAGCCCGATGGATATCCCTGATGTTCGCAAACTTCGTGTTGGGATCGATCTGAACAGTCTTCCTCTTCCTAACTGCAGCGTTGGTAACTTGGCCCTCAGGTGAGCCAGCTGCTGCTGGGCAACGCTGCCAGTTGCCAGGCCTGCTCTGTGAAGCCTTTTTTCACCTTCCTGAACAGCAGCCGTTGAGTGCTGGTATCATTGTCGAGTTGGGTGTATAAGTGCAGTTGACCGCTGAGCTCTGCCAGCTTCCTGGGTGTCGACCAGACCACTGCAGAGGAAGCAGAATCCCATGGCTCAACAGGGGGTTTGTTGACCATTATGGCATCGCTTTTTGCCCCGACTGGTTGGTTTGGGTGTGGTGGGCTTAGCAGAAGGCTCAGGTAATACCATAGGGTTCATCAGGGGCTTAACCATCGCTACAGGGTGTAGACCAGTCCACTTCCAACCACTTCTGATGTTCGAGACTGATAGACCAGCAAGTCGAGCCTTCTGGTAACAGTCCAGGAAGTTCCTTTTACCTATAATGGTAGAGTCGTTCCATTGAGACAAGTAACCGAGCTCCTTCCGATAGGCTGACTTAACAGGGCTGAAGACAGACTGGTCAAGTGGCTGGAGGACATGAGAAGTGTGGTGGTAAGAACAGTAAATGGATATTGTTAATATAGCAATTCCACATGAAGTCTGTCGTCGTATGACTCCCATGCCCATCCACAATCAACAGTCGAGCCTCGCCCTCAGCCTCGGGCATAGTCTGTGGGATAAACACCTTCTCTAACCATTCAATGGCAGTTAAGTCTGTAGTCCAGCCATTATCTGTTGCTGTAAACTCCCACCCATCGTATGGAACCAGATGTAATGGAAACCACTGTTGTTGGACCGTCTTCCCCTTGAAAATGATAAGAGGACGAAGTGCCCTACCCAAGGCTGAGATACACTCAATGATAGAGACCCATGCCCTCGACCCAGGTTGTTTCTTGCGAACAGACGTCGTCTCAGCCATGCCCAGCACTAACCCATTAGCTCCTGACCCTCGAGGATGCCAGTCTCATCCATATTATATCTGTTGGCTGGTTTGATGTCCTTGATCTCAGGGATAGCAAGGAACTTAAACCAGTTCCTAATGACCTCAGTAGATGCCCCATTAACGCGTCTAGAATCGATGGAACGACTTCTCTGAACCTTAATGATAGGGTTCCTTCTCACGAAGGCATAGATCCAGCCTTTTCCTAATGGTTTGGTATCCCCAGCAGCAGCCAGAACTCGCTCTGCGAATTCCTTCACCTGTTGGTGCGTTGGTGCGAGGCCCAGCGAAGCCTGAATGCGAACCCATTGTGCCAGCTTACTCTCCTGGTCAGGAGACAGCCTCTGCCAGTCAGCAAAAGCCACTTTCCTAGTCTGACCACCTTGGAGACGTAGTTGGAGGGTTGATCGTGGTATCCCATAAGTCAAACCCCCCACTTCCTGGCACCCCCCTGTTTCTGGCACCCACAAAAACGATGGGATCACAACCCAACCTCCTCATTACTATTAACTATTGATCCTCAACCACACCCACTACAATACAACTGCCAGCCTCACTAGGGCATTCAGAGTCGCTGGATTCAGCCGTAATAACCTCCTTTTCACCCGCTTCGATTTGAGCCCGATGGATATCCCTGATGTTCGCAAACTTCGTGTTGGGATCGATCTGAACAGTCTTCCTCTTCCTAACTGCAGCGTTGGTAACTTGAGCCCTCAGGTGAGCCAGCTGCTGCTGGGCAGCTGCCAGTTGCCAGGCCTGCTCTGTGAAGCCTTTTTCACCTTCCTGAACAGCAGCCGTTGAGTGCTGGTATCATTGTCGAGTTGGGTGTATAAGTGCAGTTGACCGCTGAGCTCTGCCAGCTTCCTGGGTGTCGACCAGACCACTGCAGAGGAAGCAGAATCCATGGCTCAGGGGTAGTTTGTTGACCATTATGGCATCGCTTTTTGCCCCGACTGGTTGGTTTGGGTGTGGTGGGCTTAGCAGAAGGCTCAGGTAATACCATAGGGTTCATCAGGGCTTAACCATCGCTACAGGGTGTAGACCAGTCCACTTCCAACCACTTCTGATGTTCGAGACTGATAGACCAGCAAGTCGAGCCTTCTGGTAACAGTCCAGGAAGTTCCTTTTACCTATAATGGTAGAGTCGTTCCATTGAGACAAGTAACCGAGCTCCTTCCGATAGGCTGACTTAACAGGGCTGAAGACAGACTGGTCAAGTGGCTGGAGGACATGAGAGGAGTGTGGTGGTAAGAACAGTAAATGGATATTGTTAATATAGCAATTCCACATGAAGTCTGTCGTCGTATGACTCCATGCCCATCCACAATCAACAGTCGAGCCTCGCCCTCAGCCTCGGGCATAGTCTGTGGGATAAACACCTTCTCTAACCATTCAATGGCAGTTAAGTCTGTAGTCCAGCCATTATCTGTTGCTGTAAACTCCCACCCATCGTATGGAACCAGATGTAATGGAAACCACTGTTGTTGGACCGTCTTCCTTGAAAATGATAAGAGGACGAAGTGCCCTACCCAAGGCTGAGATACACTCAATGATAGAGACCCATGCCCTCGACCCAGGTTGTTTCTTGCGAACAGACGTCGTCTCAGCCATGCCCAGCACTAACCCATTAGCTCCTGACCCTCGAGGATGCCAGTCTCATCCATATTATATCTGTTGGCTGGTTTGATGTCCTTGATCTCAGGGATAGCAAGGAACTTAAACCAGTTCCTAATGACCTCAGTAGATGCCCCATTAACGCGTCTAGAATCGATGGAACGACTTCTCTGAACCTTAATGATAGGGTTCCTTCTCACGAAGGCATAGATCCAGCCTTTTCCTAATGGTTTGGTATCCCCAGCAGCAGCCAGAACTCGCTCTGCGAATTCCTTCACCTGTTGGTGCGTTGGTGCGAGGCCCAGCGAAGCCTGAATGCGAACCCATTGTGCCAGCTTACTCTCCTGGTCAGGAGACAGCCTCTGCCAGTCAGCAAAAGCCACTTTCCTAGTCTGACCACCTTGGAGACGTAGTTGGAGGGTTGATCGTGGTATCCCATACTCCAATGAGGCTCTCTTTTGACTCTTGCCGTTTGAGATGTCCTCGAGAGCCTGACAGAAGCTGATCTTCGGTATATTGAGGCATTAGATATAGAAGAAGGTATGTGCAAAAATGAGCCCATTTGGACTCAATTGAAAATGTTGTGATAAAAGGAGGTTGGGGGTGGGCATTGCGTTGTGGTGGATTTTCGCGTTTTTGTGGGTGCCAGAAACAGGGGGGTGCCGGGAAGTGGGGGGTTTGACTTACTCCAATGAGGCTCTCTTTTGACTCTTGCCGTTTGAGATGTCCTCGAGAGCCTGACGAAGCTGATCTTCGGTATATTGAGGCATTAGATATAGAAGAAGGTATGTGCAAAAAATGAGCCCATTTGGACTCGAATTGAAAATGTTGTGATAAAAGGAGGTTGGGGGTGGGCATTGCGTTGTGGTGGATTTTCGCGTTTTTGTGGGTGCCAGAAACAGGGGGGTGCCGGGAAGTGGGGGGTTTGACTTATGTCAACTTTAGACCAACGGACGAATCGTCTAGTGGTGCCCTCAACTCACTTGTACCGAAATGTCATCATCCTGGATGCTCAAAGGGCGATCCATGACAAGACTGAGCATGCTAGGGCCAAGTTCAATATTAGACGTTCTAAGTTGATCACGAAGACCACCATAGCATACCGGTCAAAAGAGTACACAGCCCAAAACAACCATCGCCGTCTGTTAGCTTCAGTTAACCCTATGCTAGAGTTCATATTTGGCTCTCGGTGCAGGCCGAGCGAGATACAGGTCTTCATAGCCAGACCCAATAGATGCCAGGCAGAGCCACCGGAGGAGTTATAAAGAGAGTAGATGGTAAGCATGATCATGCAGTGTATGTGCTCAAGGGCCGATTCGGTGCGCATGATGGAAGGAAGTTCTCCGAGGGCGGCAGAGTGAAGGCTTGCGCTAAGTAATGAAAGGTGTGTAGAAGTCGGAGAGACCGAAATCCCAATAGCGCAAGCCATGTGGAGATTGAAAACATGTAATGGCGGAGTGTTCTGTGCGGCATGGCAATCAGTTCTACATGCCATAACACCCTCACATTGCCGGAGGAACATGTCCTCGTCGATGTATGGCATAATGATTGGCCATTCCAGGAATTTCCGGACATGCTCAAGCGTTAGATCCCGGCTCTCTGAACTGAGGCGACTGTTCATATCAGGAGTTTGAGGTGCCGGCATAGCTTTGGATGGGTCGCGTCCATCAATAGCCAAGGCCCCTGAGATCACCTCTGCTAATGAAAACTTCCTGGGTAGATCATCGGAATTATCTTGGGGCTCGGCCATTGCATTTCGTGATAAGAAGCCGATTGCCCCCATTGTGGCTCTCACAGAAGAATCTTCGGTGCCATGTCTGTTACTGTTGACAGTGTCGAGCGCACGGCTTGAGGTTATCGAGATAGCATCACGAGGTGTCGCAAGACTATCATCCATTGGAGAAGAGCCATCACATGATTCGGCGCGACCGTTGTGCGTACGCGACCGCTTTCGATGAAGCGATTGTTCTTCCAGATTGGCAATCCGTCTTTTCAATGACGACACGTAACTTAGATGTATCAGCAAGCTTATCATCGGGCAGATGACTAGGCTATACTATTACCCAATGACTGAGGTGTGAGAGAGCTCAGATGCTGTGTTGAAATCTTGGTTCCGTGGGATACACTCGACCCCTAGCCCACTGCACGAGGTGCATGCCGGCAGACGTCGGTCGCACTGATCATTGTCAGCTAATACTGATGTGTATGGGATCTTAACATCGGGATCCTAACTTTTTGTTTCCTCTTCCAACATCTTTCGCAAGCTTGTGGGCGAGTTACCGTGGATGTTAAGGGCGGCTCAGGTGTTCCCCTTAAGTTTAAGTTCGGAGCCTCCTGCGCACCTGCAGACGAAGTCGAACTCATAGCCCCACTTTCTATTCTCTCATATTAAATGGTTCACAGTCCACTATGAGCCAGATAGCGGAGGTAGCCGGCTGGGAACAAATGGCCGTCTTCGAGTTGGCGTGATATGTGAGGTGGAAGCTGCAGGCTCAAAGTCTCGCACCTCCGACGGTTTGCCGACGTTGCGGGGTTTGACCCCCAAGCCTCCGTGGGGAAGACTATGGAGGATCTGATTGGGCCACCCCAGCTTCTCATAGTGATAGACCACAGTTAGAGTCACCAGTGTCAATGAAGAGGCGACCATGCGATCGGATCAGTTATTGCCAGATTCGAAGCATCAATAAGCGACGGTCAGGGTTTCAAGATACAACGTGACAACTAGGAGATCTACCCTCAATTCCATATGTATTCTATGTTTGCCAAACGGCAGTACTTCCTCTCGTAAGAGAGATACTGGTTGTGATGGGACCTATGATTTGCCATTTGTATGGGCAGTTGCCCTGATACTGAGGCTAGACATCTCCGCCGCTCTTTTCGTGGCACCGGCAATAAGCAAGGGGCCATCCGTTGCAGCCATAACCCAGCGCGCACCCATTTGACAAAACTTTTCGACAAGATCCATACGTGAGTGAAGACCTCCCACGCCAACCCACTTTCCGTGCTTATTGCAGGCAGCGATCGTCCGCTCATAGGCTTCTGTGAGTCTAGGGTTTTCGTAGTCGCCAGGGATACCCATCTCAGCCGTCAGATCGTTGGTACCGATAAGTAGAGAGTCCACTCCTTCAACTGCTGCAATCTCGTCGACTAGCTCTAGTGCCTCAAGAGTCTCGATCATTGGTATAACCAAAGTAGCGTCATTTGTGATGGGATTGGAGACCTTGGCAGGAATCGTACGGAACTGATAATGAGGCAATCCGTTGGTTGATGATCGTGTGCCGATAGGTTGGAACTTGGCAGCCGCAACAACGTCTCGTGCGTCTTGCACACTACGAATATGCGGCACGATAACACCAAGGGCACCACCGTCTAGGATCCTTGAGACAAAAAAGGGGTCCTTGCTGGGCGCTCGTACGATTGGCGAGATCCCGGCGTACAGCGCGGCAATGCACAGTTGGGAGGTCGTCTCGAGATCGAATGAGGAATGCTCCATATCGACGAGGATTCCGTCGAATCCTGCTGTCTTGGCCATCATGGGAAGTTCTACCGACTTGACTAGTTTGACGCTCAGAGTCGATGCAACCTCATCGCGGAGGAGTTTCTCCTTGAATGAGTGGGGAATAGAAACGGCCATCTCGGTTGAGAGTGGGAATGTTGAGTGTTGAGGACTATGATCGATTGATTGATTGATTTGCAGCGTGGAAGAATTATTGAAGCACATGTAACAAAGGTATTGTTATATGGCTTTCCATTTCTTGTTCGTGGACGGACGCCCGGAGTCATGCCGAGGATTTCCATAACCTCTTCGGCGCTTCCGCAAACTTTCGGCCCTCCGATCCCATGTTCAAATTCAATCATTACCGAACTTCTCGGCCGGTCGTATGGAAAATGTCCATGGTCGTGTTTCTTCATAAGATTGCAGCTGAGATATGGAGGCACCGGGGGCCGTCCGATACCCTCGGACCACCTCCGGATGGGTGTACAGGGCATTAATGGTGACTGATCTTCGTTGCCACCGTATGGCCATTGACTCCGATACCCTGTTGTGTATTTTATGAATCAAATCGCAGTCCTCCAAATGCTCATACATGCCCATATACAGCGAAATTCAGACAAAGCTCCAAGATCACGAATCGAGGACGTCACAGACAATTTTCAATCACTGCCGACTATTCTTTCTTACTTAGATCAACCAACCCGTCAATATGGCTCCAGGGCTCGTATCTGATCAATCTGAAAGCGTTCTTCTCGATGCCAAGCCAACTGTGTATGTCTTGGATTCATTTCAGCCTGAGATCATTGACTTCTGCAAACAAAACTTCAACGCAATCCTACCTGGACAGTCCGAACATGCCAACTGGAAAGAAAACGCTCGTTTCCTTCTTGTGCGGAACTCGCGTCTCACAGCTGAGGATATCGCTGCTTGCCCGCATCTCCTTGCAATAGGGAAGCAGGGTGTCGGAATTGACAAGATCGATGCTGAGGCCTGCTCTGGACGTGGCATCAAAATCTTCAATACACCCGGCGTCAATGCGCGAGCTGTGGCCGAACTTGTTCTGGCTTTGACGACAGCCGTAGCAAGACAAGTGGGAAGCATTACACGGAAACAAACTTCTGGTATTCTTGTGCCCAAGGAGAAGTGCTCGGGTATCATCTTGCACCGAAAGACGATTGGCATACTCGGCATGGGCAACATTGGAAAAGCTGTTGCCCAGATTTTCCGCGGAGCGTTCGAAGCTGACGTTGTGGCTTACGACCCCTATTTGCCCAATGAGGCCTGGTCTGATATTCCTCATCGCCGAGTCCAGACGGTATCGGATCTCTTATCAGTTTCCGACGTGGTGACGGTCCATATGCCGTTGACATCCACCACTAGAGATCTCATGGGGTACAAGCAGTTCAAAATCATGAAGAGAACGGCCATAGTCATCAACACAGCTCGAGGAGGCATCATCAACGAGGGTGAATTGGAGCAAGCCTTGTCGGAAGGCCTCATCTGGGGCGCTGGTCTAGACTGTCACGAGGAGGAACCCCCTAGCAGGGAGAAATATGGATCGTTGTGGGACGTTGGTGCGGTTAGTACGCCACACATTGGGGCAGCGACGAGAGAGACTCAAGTCCAAACGGGCATGGCAGCAGCTACTAAGCTGTTTGAATACGCGAGGAGTAGGGCGTAGATGGAAAGCAGTGCTGAATCAAACTTGAGGTTCTTTCATTCCTACTAGACTTGAAATATTGGCTAGTCGACAGTCAATACCTTCAGAGCCTCATTACACTATACTGCCATTGCGATATTTGCCTGCCTGTTAAATCATCGCTGAGATTTACTGCAAGCCGTATGTATCATTGAAACTCAAACGCATCCAACGCTCCAATATGCCTCTCTGGATCACCGTACACATATTCCCCCAAGGCGGATTCCATATTCCATAGTGCCTCGTCTCCTAAAAGCGCCCAGTCCATGAAACCGTTTCCCGGGGAAAAGGTGGCTGTGGCTGGTATTGGCCCATCCGTCTCCCTCGAACCGTGGGATAATGTTGTAGGATTGCCCACTGTGGCTCTCTCGACGGCAGGCACAAACGAAAGGTTGCTCGGAATGCTTCCTGGAATGTTTGGTTCTTGAACTCTGGCATCAAGATTCGTACCCAGGGCACTGGGTTCTAAGACGCACTGAGAACCAAGAATCGAAGATCCTGAGGCTACTAGAGGTTCAGAGAATCTTTCTGATGATTGCCGGAACCCGGCTCTCGGGTATTCCAGTGTTTTGCCTTGAGATAGGACGTCAGATTGTAAAGTCTCGAGAACTTTGTCTAGTTTTCGAGTGGTGTTTCGTCGAAGAGCTCCAAAGACGCCAACATATTGTTTGGCACTTGGCAACTGCTCCGCCATGTTCTTTAGTGTCTCTTCACACTGAATCAATCCGGCTGAAGCATCCGAAAGACCTTCCTTCTCTATTCTGGTTGCGGTAGAGACACAAAACAGCACCGAAAGACCAGCAGTAAACATCATGTGAAAATAGCTGCGGGTATGCGTGGTACGTGGTCGCTGTTGGCACAGTTTTGAGTAAGCCCAAATTGTTCGAAGTGCAATTCTGAGGCATAGGACGGAAATATGATGGGGCGTCTTCCCGCCTCGCTTGGGCATAAGATCAATGGCTCGTCGAACTAGGTAGAGTTGCTCCCTAGCTAGCAAAAGATCATACCAATCCTGCGACTCATACAGACACTTGGGCTGCTGGAATGCCGGGCAATTATCTCTCCAGTGCTGTAGGTCTTGCATCAAGCAGCTGAGAGTTTGAAATATATGACCAGGGGCCAGATGGCTCCTGGAAGGTTGGAGGTACTTGCAGGCGAGTCTCGAAAATTCGGAGTGGATTTTGGAAGAGATTTGCCGCAAACGCACGGAGATGAAGAAGACGGTCATCTCGGTCGTGTCAAGGGCGACGTGGGATGATCGAAAAGCCTCAAAATTGCTTGAAATTTGATTAGCAGTGACAATATCCTCGTCATTTGCATCTGCCGGAAAGCCGACTTCAATATCGCGATCATCAATACTAAATGGTTTTCCCAAGACCGTAGAGCTATATCTGTCGATCATGTAGACTTGCCAGAACACTCGTCGCTTCATTTGAACTTGCATGAAGTTCATGGAGTCGTGATCATTGTGGTGCAATCCTTGTTCGATGCACAGGCGACCACACAGCCGAATGACATCCCAAATGGACGTACCTTCTCACAATGAGTATGGCTTGTAATTCATTCGTTGAGGTTGGAACCAAACATACCTATCCGATGATAGATACCAAAGCGGCATATCAAGAGTAGATTTTGGATGGAGGCTAGGCCTCGTGTAAGAAAGTCTGAATCCATACGTTGCAGGGCGGCGAGATAGTATCCTTCGGGGTGCTGGTCGTGGGTGCCATTCAGAAATGGAAGCACTGAACCGATTGCGAGAATCATAAATGCGCGAAACAGATCGTGGTTTGAGGCAGGTTGGTCGGCCGGTCCATGTGAGAAGACCCGGCAAAAGAGACTCTTGACCTCGTCTCGGCGAAGGAAAGGACTTTGCACATGAGACCAACTGAGACTATGAAAAAGTGTCAGAACAATGGTAAGTTGGGTGCTTGACGAGAAATTCGTACTATTTATCGAACAGAGACTCGCCTTCCCCGTTTGAAGGAAGACCACAAGGTTGAATAACAGGTTCAGAGGCGCTAGGCACTCTCGCCAATAGTTGTAATAATTCGGTGTTATTACTTCTCAAGTCTGGATCTGCGAAGAGAGAAGCCATGAATCTAGTTCAATATCAGCAATATTGCTGTGAAGGCACCATAGTCAGTTGCAAACTCACCCGAGTCCCTCTCCATGTGAAACAGTCGAGTTATCGATCGAGGTGACAGTTGGACCAGTCTCTGCGGCAGGCTGGTCCGCACTGTCACATGAATGGACCTCATCGACGGGCAAGGTGTCCAAGTCTTGAGCCAACTGTCTTTCAAGTTGTTCTAACCGATCTATCTCTCTACGTGATTTCGTTAGATTCTCAAGTATCTAAGACTCAAATGCAGCGAGGTACATCAACGCCTACGCTCGTGAGAGTGTTCTGTCTCCAGCAGAATTGAGCACAACACAGTTGCTGCCAGTCTTCGAACACGGAGTACATTTTGGCCTGGTGCTGTCACACTGGGCAAATCACTTAGCCCCCGCTTACGTCCTTGAAGTCGACAGCGGCACATACTTTGATTTTCTTCTGATAGCATAACTGGCAGGCTGGAAGCCGGGGTAGTCGATCTGCTGCGGAGTTCATTCTTCGAGCCAAACTGTCAAGTCATGGAATGCCTTCCAAGAATAATGAGCAGATCGCAGCCGGTGTAATCCTTGTGATAAGCGTTTGATATTGTTTACAACACGAATTTCGGAGCGGCTCCGGTGATGCGCCTGAAGATGGGGAAATCGGCTTGGCTCGGCTAAGGTACTTTGATCACAATTGCATAGTGGGGTTGACCCCTCCTTGTAATGGGTCGGAATCACTCCGAGCAAGTTGCTTTTCGCGGACCTCCGAATCTTACTGACTCCGCCTGCTCGAGCGACTTTCTTTTCCGCAACAAAATTGCTAATTGCACATGTAAACGAAAACAAAAATGTAGCATCATTGTCAAATCTACTATCGCTTAAGGCTTGGCTGCGGTCGTACGCCTCGACAATGCCAGTCGAGCTTTTGAATATTCCCCTCCAAGCTATCTGTGATAAAGAGGGTCTTGTTTTCCGGACCACCAAAGCAGCAGTTCGTCAAGCTGATGCCGGATGTTCCACTCACGATGCGTGCCTTGGGGATCCCATCGGAATCAACCACAAATATGGACCCTAAACTTGGATGACAGATGAAAAGATTGCCTTCTTCATCGATCGCCAAGCCGTCTGGACCAGCGTTTCCAAAAGACTGGAAAAAGACGCCAGCTTTGGTTGTTGTTCCGTCGGGATGAAGAGGAAGCCTCCACACCTGGTTGGATCTCGTCATTGCGACGAATAAGAACCTTTCATCGGGTGAGAGAACCAGTCCGTTGGGTGACACTCCATTTTCCACGATTGTCTCCAGCTTTCCATCAAGTAAAAGCCGGTAGACTTTGCCAGTTGGGTCTGTCATGCCGGTTTGGCCTTGGTCGGTGAAGTAGATGCTTCCTTTCGAATCAATAATCAAGTCATTTGGGCCTTTGAATCGCTCCAAGTGTCGCCGGGTGATCAACGGTTTGATCTTCCAATCAGACGGATCGAAGAAGAGTATTCCCTAGACATGAACGCTTCAGTAAGGCCAAGATGCTGCGTGCAGGACTGTGGTTTATCTACGAACCTGCTTGTAGTCGGCAACGATGAGTCGGCCATCGTCAGTTGCCGCAAGCCCATTAGGCTCGCCGTCCCATTCTGCAACAACAGTAACAGCCTTCTCTGGGTCAATCTTGAGGATTCGCCCATAGGGAATATCCACTACGTAAAGGTTGCCAATATCATCGACGACAGGGCCCTCAAGGAATATGTGATGAAATTGGCGCGCAAAGCCACCACGCCACTCGGTATCTTTACCAATGCAACGAAGCTCATCTGGAATTCGAACATAGAGTTCGGCGTTCATTATCGGAGGTACCGGGTAGAAGTTCATTGTATGCAAAGTAGACGATCATTTGCCTGCGGCGTTACTCAGACTCAACAAGGCGTTAAAATGGTTGAGGGGACAATTCAAGTTTACAAGAGGGTAGCTTTGATCAACGTTTTTCTCATTCATACTTCACGAGGTTGATACAAGCACGCGTTGAACCTGAATGGAAATCATCCGATGATCCTAGCGTCGTCGGACTGAGCCCGGGCCTAGGTTTCGGCGTGTGTCCGGGTCGTATCTTGAAATCTTACGTTAGTGCTCCGCTGCTCTCCACACATCTTCCCCAAATTCTGGGGTCTAGCAGCTTACCGAGTCCGGGGAAGGCTCAGGGAGCATGTCATGTGTAAGAGGGAATATTATTTTAGTCATGACTGTCCTTCTTAGAATTTCTCAAGCGAAAAGCTGTTACATGTAGCGATCAATCTTCACGGGAGTTGAAACTTTGCAAGCTTCCCGCAATGTCTCTCATCAAAGCCACAACTGACGCCATACGGGGCAGTCCCAGGGAGATTTTCAATCCCTATTTGTTTCTATGCACCTGGATATGGAGCTTCTCAGGGGTGGCAAAAGGATTCGACGAGGGTAAATCGCACAATTTGACCACTTTCGTCCTCAGAGAATGGTGGCTAATGATCCTCGTTTCACAGGCAATATTGCGTCTTTAGTCACCATGGCCATCTTCAAAAGGAGATTCGGGATCGACGGCCAATCTGAGAGCGAGTACTCAAACACCAAAGGCTGGATAGTGGCTATCGCGACAGCTGGTGCTGTCTTTGGTTGCTTGGCCTGCGTAAACCTTACCGAGAAGCTGGGCCGCAAGCGAACGATGCAGATCTTCACACTGATTTACATTGCTGGTAGTCTCGGTCAAACTTTCTCTTCTGGTAGTATGGCGGGACTCTACATCTCCAGGATTGTCTCTGGTATGGGAATTGGTGCGACAACGGTGCTCCCTCCAGTGTATATCTCCGAGGTAAGGAGAAAGTTCCTATGAAGAACGACGACCACAAGGACTGACACATACTTCAGATTGCGCCTCGATCAATCCGCGGTCTTTTGACTCTGCAATACACATGTTGTCAACAACTCGGCGTTGTGTTCGGCTTCTTCTTCAACTACGGCATCACAAAACACTACGCAGGGAACCAAATCCAATGGCAACTACCGACTGCCCTTCAGATTGCACCCGCGATTATCTGGGGCCTGGGAACATTCTTCACGCCCGAGTCTCCCCGTTTTCTGCTGTCTCGTGGAAGACCAACAGAGGCTCTCAAGGTTCTTCGTGACTTCCGTTGCCTTCCAGCCGATCACCCATATGTGGACGACGAGTTTCGCGCGATGCAAGCCCAGTTAGAACACGAATTGGAGATTGTTTCAGGCGCTTCGGTTTTCGATCTTGCTAAAGAGACGTGGACCGATATGCCAAACAGACGCCGATTTGTATTGATGTTTCTAGCGCATTTATTTTCCCAATGGAGCGGAGCCAATGCCATGTGAGTACAAAGACCTCTACAGCGACAATGCCCTTCTGACTTGTGTCATCTTTCAGCACGCAGTACAGTCCATCCATCTTTGGATATCTAGGCATACAGGGTGAAGAGGGTCGTCTTCTTGCTACCGGAGTCTATGCCATTGTTAAGTTTGTTTCCGTCTTGATATTCTCGGTCTTCGTTATCGACTTCATTGGCAGAAGGCGCTCTCTTCTCACTGGAATCTGTCTCCAAATTACCACGCTTCTGTTCGTTGGTATTTACCTCAAGGTCACCAATGGACGTGACCCGGAAGACATTTCTGCAGACCCAGCAGCGCGACGAGCAAGCGAAGCTGCCATCGCGGCCATTTACTTGCATGCAATCGCATGGTCTATCGGATGGTTTTCAATCCCATATCTCGTCAGCGCGGAAGTGTTCCCCATCAGAATCAGATCTCTGTGCGTATCTGTTCTGATGGCCTTTCACTGGGCGTTCTACTTTGGCTGCTCGCGAGCTATGCCATCTCTTCTGGCCGCTACAGAACGCTATGGTGCGTTCATATTCTTCGCAAGCATCTGTTCTGTCTCACTCGTGTACGTTTATCTTGCCATGCCGGAAACCTCTGGGAGATCTTTAGAGTCCATGGAGAACCTATTCAACCGGCCTTGGTATACTGTCTACAAGGTTGCTTATCCAAAGGCTGAAGATCTTGCAGCTCGCCCAGTGGTGAGACAAGACAACGGCAAGGAGGAGAGAGGGAAGGAAGAAGAGAATGGTGCGGCTATCCACCTGGCTTAAGACTTGATTGCATATTATTATACTGTAGATTTCATGAGCGATAGTCTGGTATCTGAAGCTCTCGGAATGACTTGACGTGTACGATCCCCGATCTTGCCAAACACGCCTTCAAGTATTGGCACAGACACCACTGGGACGGCGAAAGTTGTTTTGTTTGGGCTTCGAGTTTGTGTACCAAGTAATCAGAAAGTCCAGAACTTCCGGCTGTTGAAAGGGCTCGGCCTCGCCTTTGTTTGTCAAAGCCCTTTTGGGCAATAACTCTGTTCGGGAATCTCACCCGAATTTTCTGCCTTGTCATTCTTTCTGACAAGAGAAGTCTGAGTTTAGCGGATAAAGTGGGATACTTCGGGGATCTCTGAGTTTAAACGCATGGAGCGCCAGGCGTCTTTCCAAGATCTGCGCCTACGTTCTCACCTTCCCAGTCCAGCAGTGACGCACCACACGCTTTTGTCAAAAGTAATTTGAACATAGAAGATGGAACGATCGGAGCTAAGTAACATCAGATCGACTGAAGACTTTCCGCGGCTCTGCGGCTTGCTCCAGACTGTCGCAGCACTGACGGGATTGGAATCCTACGCTGCTTCAACACTCGTCCGACACTCTATGTGACGGACTTTGGCTTTGTCCATTCCTAACTTAGCATAGGGCGGAGTCAGCGGCTTTATTCGTCCCAAATATTGCAGTGCCCATCTTTTTGAGCCATCATCGCGATGATGCTCTTGATCATATAATCCCATCGCATCCTGGACGGGTGCCGACGGACTCCATGTCTGAGCTCCAAACCTTGTAGACCGGACGACTCCAGCTGTTCCCCCGTGGCCCCAGCGTCCTCTTGTACGCCAACCTGAGTGGCTAGGACAATTTCCCAAAGCAACTGTAGAACACGCATCACGCGTCAGTATGGTTTCAAACGCCGTATACGATCAGCTACGGCTGACCAATATCGCTGGTCGGTCAAGTTGGGGGATTCCGACGATCGTTGGCAGAGTCAGTAAACTCCTGCTGCCTGTACTGGTCGTATAAAGTCGATGTGCCCTATGTTCACGCTGAACTGATGAGGAGTTCGTGTTGTTAAGGAACTTGTGTCATTGTCAACAAGATGGATATTCTGAAGACGAATCCCCTTTATCTTGGTGGTGCGCTCGTATGCGTTGCACTGGCTGCGGTACGTTTTCAACTCCCTGGGCTTTTACTGATGTATCTTAGCTACCACTGACAAATGGCTTGCTAGTACGTCTATGCGGGGCTCACAAACCCGTTATCGAACATTCCTGGGCCATGGTACACCAGGTTTACGACACTGCCATCGACGTTCAAGGTCATCACAGCACACCACCCTGATTGGATCCACGACTTACACGCCAAGTACGGGCCGGTGGTGCGGTACAGTCCACATGAGGTCGATATCTCTGACCCGCCAACATGCCAGCGGATTCACAGCGTGAAGACTGGATTCTTCAAGTCGCCATTCTACTCGCTTCTCATCACGGATTCCTCCAGCGTATTCAACGAGATTCGCCCAGAGATCCACCGCAAGTACAAGCGCCTGTTGTCAAATCCCATGTCAGAGACCGGCTTGAAGACGTTCCTCCCTCGCATCGACAGTAAGGTCCGCTTAGCCATTGAGCGCATCCGTGACGAAAACAAGGTTCGAGGTGCAGCCGACATTGCAAAGTGGTTCATGTTCCTCTCGTTTGATGTTATTGGTGATCTAGCCTTTGGAGAGTCCTTTGGTAATCTGGAAAGCGGCAAGGTACGTGGCATCCCCCTCAGAGTTTCAATGAGATATTTGGAGCTTATACTAAAACACATGTTTCTGAGTAGAAAAATCGATCTGTCAATGACTTCGTCAGTCTCGGTTTTGTCGGTGGACTGCGGTCCATGTTCCCAACAATTGCCCAAATTTCCCTCTATCTCCCGATTCCAATCTTCAAAGAAGCAACCGCGATCCAATACCGTACTTTCGACTACGCTCAGGGTGCCCTAGACCGCCACGCTAAGCGCGTCGAAGAGACCGGATCAGACCCCCACCCGACAGTCTTCTCCAAGCTCTACAACGCCGGCGAAGAAGAGACCTGGAACCCGATCGAGATCCGCGACAACGCGCAGGTGTTCATCGTGGGCGGCAGCGACACGACCGCCAACTCGATGATCTATCTCGTCTGGGCAGTGTGCAAGATCCCGGAGATCAAGGCCAAGCTGATGAAGGAGCTAGACGCCCTGCCAGACAATTATTCTTACGAGCAACTCAAAGAGCTGACGTACGTGAACTGGATTGTCAATGAGACGCTACGGCTTTACACCGCTCTGCCGTGTGGACTTCCGAGGATAGTACCTCCCGGTGGTGCGGAACTCTCGGGGCAGTTTATTCCCGAAGGATTCACCGTTACGACGCAGGCGTACAGTCTTCACCGGGACGAACATGCGTTCCCCGATCCTTATCGCTTCTATCCTGAGAGATGGGAGAACACCACGCAGGAGATGAAGGATTGCACCATGCCCTTTGGCGGTGGCGCCCGGAGTAAGCACTATTTCAAACCAGAGCAGCTCTTGCCGTTGAGATACCGTTTTGCTGACAGCGGGTAACAGCTTGTTTGGGAAGGCATTTGGCTCGCATAGAACTTCGGCTTATCACTGCTAGGTTTTTCAAGGCTTTCCCGAATGCAGTTGTGTCTGATATCGAAGGGATGTGCGACAAGGACATGGAGCCAGCGTTGCATTTTTTAATGGTTCCCAGCGGTCATCGATGCTTGATCAAGCTCAATGGGTAGTTGTACATCGTATTGTTGGCATAGAGAAGAGTATGAGAAACATCGTAAGTTCTCTGAATACGTTAAATTGTACCGTGAGCCTCGTTTTCGCGAACCAGTATGGAACCAAGTCAGGTCAGTGGGTCGGGACTTGGAAGTGTAGAAGCGGGGCAGAAGCTGAACCAGCTGGCTTCGGGACCCCTTGCGGAAGCATAAAAGATCCGGCAGGCTGCATATTTCAGCCTGCTTACGTGGGACGATGACTGACCGTATGGAGACTTTAGAGCTGGAATCAAGCTGAGCTGACACACCTGTACTGTAGTGTTCTTTTCGGAAGCCAAGGCGTTTAGTCCGGCGGGGAATTCGGATGCGGGAGTAAACTTTCCCATGATATGCCGCGTTGTGGATCTGGGGTACGGACCGCCAAAGATGGATGTTCACATATTGAGGTACTTTTCTTATCAAAATGAAGTCAATTGACTGGAAGAACGTGGTTCTACGCAGCCCAGACATTGAGGAAACTATAACTCGCACGTTATCTCCTCTAGTAGGGGAGATCTCAGCTTACTCCATGGATGACAAAGACACAGCTGAGCTGCAGCAACCCGCGGGCGATACGGAGCGGGGCTCAAGGGCGCCGTGCCCCGCCATCGGCTGCAAAGACCCCACTACCCCGCCCGGCCCCTTGCGGCGGAATGGTTCGACTACGCCCTATGACTTCATGCTGAGCCGCCCGTCGTTCAGACTTCATATGTAAGCCTCAACTCGCACACACCTCCTCACCGCCACATCCATACCATATGTTTGTGCCCTCTTCAAAGCCTCAATCGACTTCCCCTCAGCTCATTTCATCTCGTTGACACATACACCGAAGCAATGGCCGAAACTCCAAGCGCAAAGCGTCAAAAGTCCTCCAAGGACGTCTCCTACGAACTCATCTACTGGCCAGGCCTCCCCGGCCGCGGCGAACACGTTCGTCTCCTCCTTGAGGAGGCCGGCGCCGAGTACACCGATACCGCACAGATCGAAGACGGCGTCAAGAGCGTTCTGGCTCAGATCGACGACAAGAACCTGGGCGACGAACACAACCCGCCTCCCTTGGCGCCTCCCATCCTCAAGCACGGAGACCTCCTCATCAGCCAGACGCCCAACATCCTGCTCTACCTAGGACCACGCCTCGGCCTGGCACCCAAGATCTCAGAGGATGACGACGGCATCTACATTGTCAACGGCCTCGCTCTGACTGCGTTGGACGGACTCAGCAATGAGGCTCACGACACGCACCACCCCATCGCGACGGGTCTGTACTACGAGGACCAGAAGGAGGAGAGCAAACTCAAGGCGAAGGACTACATCGCCAACCGGTTGCCCAAGTTCTTTGGGTACTTTGAGCGGGTGCTCAAGAGCAAGGCCAGCGGCGAAGGTCCTTGGCTCTATGGAGGGTCCCTGACCTACGCTGACTTGGTGCTTTTCCAGGTAAGATATCTCTTCCGAAGCGCTGTGGCCCTAAGAATGCTAATTCGATCAGTGTGTTGATGGTCTCAAATTCGCGTTCCCCAATGCTCTGAAGCGGATCGAGGGTACTGGTGACTACAAGAATCTCTTTGCGCTCTATGATGCCGTGAAGGAACGGCCCAAGATCAAAGAATATCTTGCTAGCGACCGTAGACAAAAATACTCTCAGGGTATCTACCGTCACTATCCTGAATTGGATGAAGAGTGAAAGTGAGAGTGGTGTCATCTAGAAAAGTTCATTGCTTGAAAATGTGTTATGATGGATGAGTTGCAATAAAAGTCATCTGTTCAAGCTCAAAAAGTCTTACATGTCACATTCAACAAAAATGTCACCTTAAAATTATATGCCATTGTTTTCCCAGTCATCCCAATATCGGCAAGCCCTTCGCTCTTGCCGTCTGTTGCGATCTCATACCGTTTTGAGAATTCACCCAGTGGTTTTTTTATTCTGCCTTAGGACACACCACAATGCCTCGTATCTTCACATCCTTTTGAGCCCGCTTCACTCTCTTCCCCACAACAACTCAGCCTCTTGACCTTCTATTCTCTTGCCGCTCCGAACGCCTGTTGGTTTTCCCAATCGCATCACCAAAGCCTACATGTACTTGGTGATCTCAGATTTTGAGAGCGATATCGGAATATCACGTTACTCGGTCATTTTCAGGCCGCCCATCATGAGCGATCAACAGAATCCCGCACCTCTTAAGGACCCCTCGAATAAGGAGTCGACTCCCAACACTCCTGGCAACCAAAATCCATCAATTGCCAGGCTCGCGAGGTCTTGGGGTCCTTACACACCTCCCGACACGAGCTACGACGACGTGGAGGTGACTCAGGTGAGTATCCTCAGCAGCCTGATTATTATTTGTCATCGCTGCCTCGATAGCAAGCCACTGACTGACCTCAATGGCTTTGATAGCGCGATGACCCAGTCCTCCTGGAGAATATCGAGATGCTCATAGAACTCATGTCTAAGTGCGACAAAGATCCCACCGAGCTCCTCAATTTCGCAATGACAGTTCCGCCTAGGCTGGGAAAGTCGATTATTTACCTGGCGGTTGGGCTCCTTCAACAGCAATTGTTGGTCAAAAGTGTACTTATGGCGACGGAGCTGCGTCAGAACGTGAAGAAGGGGAAGAAGACAAGGACAAAGACGAGAAAGTTGACCGACATCAAGGAGAACAATGAGATCGCTGAGAATGGAAGTTCCATGGCTCCCAAGGGTCTGAAGAAGAAGGACAAGAAGAACCATACGAAGGAAAACATTGAGAAAGCTTTTGGGCCCGCCGAGAGCAATACTGGGGCCAACGCTAGTCATCTGGCGGTCCCCAAGAGCAAAAAGAAGAAGACGAAGAAGAAGAAGGCTGAGAAAGCCACTGGGATTGCTGAGAACAACCCACAGCTCATCACCAACCGGCCGGCAGCCCCCTTGAACACGAAGACCACGGCAAAGGATAACAGTGGCAAAGGCCCCGAGACTATTGAGAGTAACGCTGGAGCAATCACCAAAAAGTCGACAGTCTCCAAGAGCAAGGCAGACAAGGCAAAGGAGAACATTGACAACCAATGCAAGCCTGTCAAGAAACACGCAGGAGCCGAAATCGAACAGCGAGCATTACCCAAGAACAAGAACAAGGTGGATAAGACCAAGACCAACAACAAAGACCGTGCTGCGAATACCCACGAACAAGCTAACAAGGCACAGCCCGAGAGTTTCACAGGCGTATCAAAGACGCAGAATAACAACAAGATCGAGCGCTGCCCCAAGTCTGACAAGGGTAAGAAGAAGGCGGAAGCCAGCAAGACAACCGATGAAGAATTCTTCTTGGTGCTTGAGATTGAGTTCATGAAGAAAATACAGGGTCGCATCGAACGCGGGATCAAAGATTGCCAGCAAGGGTGGACTGCGGTGCAGAAGATGGAGGAGGCGGCAGAGTCGAAGGGAGCCAAAGCCAGAAAGATGCAAGCCCAAGAGCAGGCGAAGTGCTCCGCCGAGGGTGGTTAGTCTTTACTTCAAAGGATTTCATTGAAACTGCCCTCAATGTCACTTATCGGGAGGGCGAGATTTGGATGAGGAGAATGAGGGAGTCTGGGAAAACAGCCTGAGAGGTGACGAGGTGGACTCCAGATTCAAGAATCGTAGGCAATGCTTGGTAGCCCTTGATCTAGATATCCTTGATCGGTCATCCTTCCAAAAACTGTAGTAGTGTGCTCATCTAACATTGAACATGAATGCGAACTAAGATGTGAGAAGATGAATCTCTTTATCTGGATTAGGCAATGATCTCTAGATCACAACAGCAGTGGCTGCATCTTCATTTAGTTGAGTAAGTACTTGGAAAGGCTGGTGAGTATTCCATCACGAACACAGCTGGAACGGCTGTGTGGTCAAAAATAAACAAAACAATACTGAGGCAGGCGCGTCCCTTTCGTACCTGCACCTGGGGTGAATGGTCTTTTCCCATATCTCACTTTTCAGACTTCTCTCACTTTCCTCCCTCAACCTACCCACTCCATCTCAACACACTTTTCTTACTTCCGCACCACAAAGCAGAGGGCGATATTCCATCCTTCTCTCACTCTTGGCCACTTTGGCATCACAAACAATCACCCAAAATCACAGTCAAGACAAATCGAAGCCATGTCTGACTCTGCTTCGAACTCTGCTTCGGATTCCGCTTCAGACTCGGCCTCTGACAGTGAAGGTCCTCAGTTGCCTTTCCGCAGCAGCCGCAGCGCTGCGAGACGCAGACGCAGAGCCCGTCAGGTATGCCCTTCCCAATTCTCATCATTTCACTGCCTCGCTGTATACCCAGAAGAACTGTGTGAAGTTCGCTGAAAGGAAAAATAACAAAAGATCATTCCTACTCACCTCATTCTCACAGATGCAAGAACGGCGTCTCTATGAAGCCGATCTCCCCGACTATGATGATGATGATTCTTATGATGACTCTGGAAGCGAGTCTTCTGCGCAGTGGGCTACGACCCTTTACGCTACTCCCGAGCAGCTGAGAAACCTGCCTCCTCTTCCTCTCAATAACTCGAACTACGTGGCCAACGATGCTTCTATTTCTCACCCCGCCAACCCCGTCCCAGACTCTCCTGCCCTTACCGAGTCTGATTCGGAAGATTCTGAGAATGACCTTGACAACGCTGTCTTCGATGATTCTGACATTGATGAGGCTGCTTCCGACATCTCTGAGGATAGTCTCGCCGACGTCGTCCCCGATCCCAATGTCCTCGAAGCAATTGCTCCTGCGGATTCTGAGCGAAACCCCGTCGTGATCAATAGCGCTCGCATCATCACTAGAATGAGAGCCAGAATTGCGGAGAATCCTGGCACCGCCATTCAAGAGCGCCGAAATGCCATTGAGACCATCCGCGAGGTCTTTCCGTTGCGCCTACTGACTTATGGCGGTGGCCTTTCCACTGCATTCCAGCCCCTTGGCGTGTGGCATGAAGGAATCCTTCTTAGCGACATCAGGGTCTCATTGGCACTGGAGCTGGTTCACAACAGTCTGGTCGAGCGGTCTACTAGGCTCAGGGCCCTTCTAGATCGAGCGCGACAACTCAGCGCCAAGGTCAGTGACGAGGAATACATCACTGCCGAGGAGTTCCTCACTGACGAAGAAGACTAGTTGGCCCGGATCAGGCAAGAGCTACAGGATGTTCGAGAGTCGTTAGAGAGCCGAGGCCATGTGCTGTCGACACTTCGAGAGTCGTTAGAGAGTCGAGACCATGTGCTGTCGACACTTCGAGAGTCATTAGAGAGTCGACCATGTGCTGTCGACACTTTTGCTTACACAGTCCGACTCGAGCGACATCGACGTCACTGTCCCCAGCCCTCGCGAGCTGCGCATCGAGGTCATCGAGTTCGTACCCAGGGCGATGGGCTTCATTATGGTCTCGACCTACATCAACCGCTACCACCTGTACCTCCGGGAGACTCTCTCCTACCGTCTCCGTCTTGTCATCGCGACGCTGGGTTGGGCAACTGTATTGGCTTTGTTGTTCTACTTGTTCTTTGCTGTGAGATTTTGAACGATCTCCTAAGAGGAGGTCTGGGTGGTCCACAGAGGTTATCGGGACGCACGTTCGGAATTGGAAAGCCACTTGGCTTTATGTGTTATCGCTGTTTGGAAGATAGTCTTCCCATGGAGGACTTCTCATCTTGTTCATTAGTGCTAGAGGTTGGTAGCTCAGGGCAAATGTTACACAAGAGCTGCCCACAGACCACATCTCACTCATTCCGACCATGTGTGGGCAGAGCATAATCCGAGACGTGAGGCCTTGCAGGACTTTATTAGAATAGCTCACGTGCCATGTCGAATGTTGAGAAAGCATAGTTCTCAACTCTGCTGCAACACTTCATGTTTGACCTTTTCAGACCACGCCAGCCGATAAAGACAGCGGTAAGAACGAGGGATGAAGAGAATATGGGGTCCGATGACTGATATGGCGGGCATTCCGATTTGACAAGAATGGAAAAAGGATTTTCTCAATGGATTTATGAGCTTTTGAGGAAGCTATCACCTGTACGCAACACGTAGATGTTCGTAGCAAGTTCAGTTCATCCGCAAACCACCCATGACTCGCGGCACCGGTGTCGGGATCATAAAGCACCGCCACCTTGGGATCCGTATGTTTTTTTGTTTTTTCTCAGGGGCGTGCTCCAGCTTTTCGGCCCAGTGGTGCCCAGCCGGGGCCCGATGAATAAGGGGGGTTTTCTCCACAAGCTTCCCCAACATCGTTACCCTGGCGTGCAGGCGGAGAAAGGCAATTGCCCCCAAGATGAGTTGGAGAAGCTCTAGAACTGCCAATGTCTCTCAATAAACGGTCACATGAGGCAAGTTAAAATTGGAATTCCAGCCACGAGCTCTGTTGCGTCGGTGACAATACGAGACGAGACCCTGAATTGCAGGGCTCAGTTGCCAATAGCTCGGATATAACAAGGGTTTTGGGGGATTAGAGCTTGCATGCTAAATTTAGGTAGATGAGTCTTTGAGAGAGGGCGGATTTCCTTCCGTTATGCGTTGATGTTTGTCTCTTGAAGTTGCTTTTCGGTGTGGGAATACAGCTTTCACCAAGGCTGAGGCTGGAATGTTTCGGCTCAATCCCGCCTCCCCGTGGCTTTTGATTGGTCTCCAGAGACTTTCTAAGCATTCAAGCCACAGATGTCTCGTTTCTCCAGGTTGCCAAAGTGCCAAAATGTTGAGGTCAGTGATAGTGGCAAGGTGTGCTTTGGTAGCTCCACCTCTAATCCCAGTTTATCAGGCCGGACCAGTCCAAAAACGTCACCGGGCCCAGTTTATCAAAAATCAGACTGTCTGTCACTCTCTCATTAAAAACTTGCGGTCAGGACTCAGGAGGCAGCGGTGTGTTCTTGATCACTTCAACTTTCAACCTCAAGCTCACTCCCCCCTTTGCCTCATAATCCGCGCTCACCATCTCATCAATCACCTCCTGAATTACTCGCGCGTACCAATTATCTACTTTTAATCCTAAGATGCCTCACAGCACGGAGAGCCTCAAGCTCACCAGCAACAACCTGTCCTCAATCTCCTCTCAGGAAGGCAAGCAGACTGTAAAGGTCCCCACCTACGACCGCACCGTCGTCAAGGAGGGCATCGTCCACGTCGGAGTCGGCGGCTTCCACAGAGCTCATCTCGCTGTCTACATCGACCGCCTTCTCCAGAAGCACGATGAGCGCGACTGGGCCATTTGCGGCGTCGGCCTCCGGCCCAACGACGCCGCCATGCGCGACGTCCTGAGCGCCCAGGACCACCTCTACACACTCATCGAGCGCTCCGCAAAGGGCAGCAACGCCAGCGTCATTGGCAGCATCAACTCGTTCCTCTTCGCGCCCGACGACCGCGAGGCCGTCATCGCCAAGATGGCTCACCCGGACACCAAGATCGTGTCCCTGACCATCACCGAGAGCGGCTACTACTACAACGAGAACACGCACCAGCTGCAATCGGAGCACCCCGACATCCAGCACGACCTGGCCAACGAGGACCAGCCCATCAGCATCTTTGGCTTCCTCTACGCCGCGCTCGCCAGGCGCCACGCCAACGGCCAGAAGCCCTTCACCGTCCTCTCCTGCGACAACATGCAGAAGAACGGCTCCATCACGCGCTCCATGCTCGAGTCCTTCGCCCGCCTCAAGAACCCAGAGATCGCCGCGTGGATCGCCGAAAAGGGCGGCTTCCCCAACGCCATGGTCGACCGCATCACCCCCAGCACCTCCCAGAACGACATCAAGTCGCTCGCAGAGGTCTTTGGCATCGAGGACGGCTGGCCCGTCGTCACCGAGCCCTTTATGCAGTGGGTCGTCGAGGACAAGTTCTGCGACGGCCGCCCGCCCTTCGAGAAGGTCGGCGTCCAGATCGTCGAGGGCGTGCACGAGGTCGAGCAGTTCGAGAAGCACAAGCTCCGTCTCCTCAACGCCTCGCACTCCGCCATGGCCTACCCCGGCCAGCTCGCCGGCTTCAAGTACGTCCACGAGGTCATGGAGCACCCCATCTACCGCAAGTTCGTCTGGCAGATGATGCAGGAGGAGGTCAAGCCCCTGCTTCCCGAGATCCCCGGTGTCGACATTGACGAGTACTGCAACACCCTCATGGAGCGCTTCTCCAACCCCACCATCATGGACCAGATCCCCCGCGTCGCCCTTGGCGCGTCCGGCAAGATCCCGCAGTTCATCATGCCCTCCATCGCCGAGCAAATCTGGACCACGGGCCCCTTCCGCCGCCTGTGCTTCGTCGCCGGCGCCTGGTTCCGCTACATCAACGGCGTCGACGACGAGGGCAAGACCTTCACCGTCGACGACCCGATGCGCGAGGAGCTCCAGGCCCTGGCAAAGGCCGGCGGCAACGACCCCCGCCAGCTGCTCAGCGTCAAGATCCTGTTCGGTGACGATTTGCGCGGCGACCAGCGCTTCATTGATGAGGTCACCAAGGCCATGGAGCTCATCGCCAAGGACGGCGTCATGGCTACCATTCCCAAGTACGTTGATTAAAATAAATCAATACTGGGAAGTGTAAAACTGTTTGTCGACTTGTGCTGGTACAAGCAGCCTTTTATGTTATAATGAGTAAAGCAGGGATAAAAATGGGTACTTGAAGCGGTCATGAGGATTTATAGATATAGATATAGATATTTATAGAGACATTTTGTGTTTTGATTTTGTACAAAACGAGGCCATTCTGTGTGTTCGATGCCAGGACCAAAATAATTTGGCTGTGACACAGACACCAAAGACGGAAGTGTAGTATGCAAACGAGAAGGAGATGGATCCAATACTTTTCAAATACCGGCAAGTCTCGCGGTATCTTTCAGATATTCTCAGAACTCTTGAATGCGTCGGACAAACCTCTCGCCTCCCTCACCTACTTGGCAGGCTTTCGTTAGGTATCCTTAATAGCCCCTCTTTTGAGGCTTGGCAAAGCGGAACAAGGGAAAGAAACGCTCGCAAGGGAGAAGACAACCCCTTGGCTCGACTTTTAGAACAATGAGGTCATTGGAAAAGACAAAGCGAAAGCTTCTCCCCAGACCGTCAACAGCCTGTGCTGTTAGCTGTTTTCGTTGCCCTAGCTCCTTGTTGGTTCACCTGTGTGAAGACCTCAATCCGTCACAATGGCTCTCTCGACTCGAGCATGAGAGGATTCCTTGGAAATTCAAAGGCACTGAGAATAATGCCAATAGCTACAAATGAGCCTCTGTTGCCAGCCATCAAGGCTTTCTTTTTTCTGTCCATCGACTCATCAATACTTCGGAAGAGCCAATCATTCTTCTGTTACTTCCTGATCCATCAATATCATAGCTTCGGTATTCAGAGTTGCCCGACTGCGACTAAAGCAGGTTGCAAAGTCCTTTCCTGCGACCATTTGCTGGTCAGTTGCTGAACCCTTCTAGAATACGACTTGCCTCTAGCCTTCATCTCAAGTCCTCAAGTACTTACGAAGTTCAGTATTCAGGCTCCCATTCTGCTCCAACTTCTCACCATGGATACCAAGTGGAATCTCACCGACTGCGAGAGAGTAAGTTGCCACATACATCCAGTTCAACCATGACTTAGCTGACCCGACGAATGTGGAAAGGCTGAGAAACTCGTCTCAGTCGGTGCCAACTTGACTATCTTGCATGAGATGCAGAAAAACCTAGGCCCCGAGGTAGCCGAACGGGTCGCCGACAAACTCACCACGGAGGAGCAAAAGGAGAAGGTGTTCCAGGGGATCCATTGCGTCGCTGCTGCTTCTAGCTCGTCCTTTGCCTTCGAGACCTTGGTCGACATGTACCTGATGTCTTACAAGCTCAACGAGGACCAGAAAAAGGCAATTGGGAGTCTGAATAGCGAGGTTGAGCAGTTACGTAACCTGCTCATGATGCTGCGTCAAACAGTGGACAACTTGGAGCGAGGTGCTAGAATAATCAAGTGCAGGTAATTCGAGCAGAAGTCATCGGTCTCGCTGCTTTGGAGTACTTGTACTTTTGAAGTAGAGGTTGAAGTCATTAGTTACCTCAGGATCCGCGGTAACACGATATGTCCTGCACAGGGAGCTTTCAAGGCTGGTTCGACTCTGCTTTAGACTGGAGCAGTGGATGCTAGGTATCATCGCAATGTATGGATTCGAAAGCATTGTTCGTCGCAGTTGGAATCGATGGACCGAATGTGTTTTCAAATGGTGGAATCTACTACCTCGATACTTCATCACGACGCAGATTTAGGAGTCCCCGGACCACAGTTCCAGGCCCGGTAGCTCCACACCACCATACCCCATACCCGCGTGATCACCGGTTGTTCCTTCATAGCGAATCGGACCTTGAGATCGCCAAAGTTGCTCCTACTCTGCACCCTTCCAACCTTAGGTAGCTAATCAGTCAGGCATCGAGTTATCTGTTGTCAAATTTTCTTTCTTGATCACGGGTGCGCCTGGATCATCATGAAGTGGCTTACTTCATGCCCAAATCTCAAAGATGTCTTTGTCGTCATCGTTCTCCATCACCCGGCGGTAAATTACTTAGTTGCTCGAGGAGAAAGCGGGGGATCCACCTGGAGACATTCTGGGCCAACGAAGGTGGTACCAACGAGCAGGGTGAAAAGCGAACAAACAACAAGAAACCGCTGATTCTAAATTGGAAAACTAAAGTAGTGCCAAGAATTCCTCTTTGACATATCCTTACATGGTTCAGTGCCCTTTGAACACCACTTACCCCAAATACTGTTCAGAAAGAGGCGGCAAGGAAATTCCCATTAGACCCTGGTCATTGACGTGGACTCGTGAACTTCCTCTTTGTTAGCAGACCTCCAAACATCTCCTCAGTTCTTTGGTCGAGGGTCAGGAAGGCAGATAATTACTTGCATAGTCATAGTACTGCTCACGATACTCAATTGATTAGATACTATAAACCTACCGAATTCCCCTTACCCTTTGAAACCAGAAGCTCTCTCTATCCGCTTATTAACCTTTAACGCTTCGAGAGATCACACTACTGGAGCCTCTTACTACATCCATCATCAACAGAGATTTCAGGAGTCATCTGTTACCTAGCTTTATCAGTATAAGGTCTCCTGCGTTCAGCTCTTCACGGGTAAGTTTCTCGACGGTTATTAGACTCATCACTTCCACCTTCCACTAGATCTTCGGCTCATAAAAACCAAATATCTGATGCAAACTTTCGGCTAGGAGCTTTGTCTCAGAATTGCTATTATGGCATCAAACAAGACCCCGCTTTCCGGAAATGATGTACGTATACTGCGCTCTGCTCCAGACTCGAACGTCTTACAATTGGCTGTACCCATACCAAACTGATGATTCGAAAGCCAATTTCTTGCACCTCGCAAGGTGGAGGTACAGCGAGAATCGATGATAATATCAAGGAAGACCCTGTGAGTACCCTGATTGGTATCGAAATGTGCTTCAAGTGTATGCGGCCTTAATTAACGACTCAAAAGGTCGAGTTTCTTAAGTCTATGGATTATGACCTTCCAGGCATAGATGAATACTCAAAAGACTTGAGCATCCATTTTTCAAGGGTGGTGCAAGCTTTGTTGAGCGATGTCAATGCCGCCCAAAACTGCAAGAACTGTCAAGATGCCGACTCTCGTATCAATGACTCTAGCACAGCTTGCTCCCATACACACGCACCGGTAGTGTCGCTTTATGCTGTGGGGAGCCTGTTTCAATTGGTTCGTGTGCATATCAAGGCAGCGATGGAGGAGAAGACAAAGCGTATCAACTTGACCAAGAGTATTTGCGACGTCCTCAACTCTCGAAACAGACAGAATTTCGAGAATGCCTTCTGGTAGTAGCAGCACAACATGTAACTAGAAGTCATTAAACAAACTGTTACTACCTTACTACTCGGGTCCAATCCGAGAAAATTGCTGGGCTTCCATACACGCGTCTTCAACTTGCGTTTGGCGGGGAAAAGATTCAGTGGCGGTTATTTTGGAGGGTTGATTTGTTGGGAGCCATGGTAGATGGTACGCATGATTATAGTGTCCAGAGCGAGCAAAAAGAAGAAAAAAAGAAAAAAAGAAAATACACATATTTGTTCCGAATGAAACTCGTGGAACTGAAAGACCCATTGTTCAACCAGAATTACCCTTCCCAATGAGAGAGGTATCAAAATCGAACATCCCATGAAGCGACGTTTCCCATGTTGGATCGCAACGGCTCACTTCCCCTAGGGCTTTTTATTTTCCAAATAAGTAGGTTTCTTGGCATGGAGGCAGGGTGACTGGAGCTATGCAACGTGGTGAAGACACTGGGCGTGATGCCCGGAGCGTACCTACCTGGGGTGTTCCGGATGTAACAGCTCCATAGCCCGATCCATGTGAGCATCGGTCGTTCCTTCCCGGCCGAATTTCAACTTCACCTGCTCCTGCCCACCGACCATATCCATCTCTCTACTTGAAAGTCTCCTGAATCTCTCTCATTGTGCGATCCCGTCACCTGATTCGATACGTACTTGGTCCAGAAAACTCACTGAGTCTCGAAATCGTATTTTCTCGAGCCCAGAGCCAATGATGTCTTCGTTTCGCCCCACCCACCGGGATCACTCTTCTCATCTGAGGTAATGGTGAATATACAAACTCAGGCATCATGCCTTTCAGCTTCTCTTTCTGCCTCATTTCGATAGTTCTTTTTCTCAATCAGTCAGCAGATTAAAATAATTCGTCCGGTACGTACCCTACCGCCCTACTGATCCCGATCACCAACCCTCTCTTCCGAGAGATATAAAATCCCCCCTTCTCACCCGCGAATTTTCTTCTCTTCTCCAACCATCTCATCCTCTTCATCACTCGACTTTCAGTCTTTTCATCTCTCAGTCACGAAATTCCTTTCCCCTTCCTCCACCTCGCCTCAATTCATTCTCACAATGGACAGCCACAACCTCTCTATCCGTGTCAAGGAATCCGAGGCCTCTGCCGACACCCAGATCGTAAGTCCATTTTTCATTCACACTCGACTGCCTTTTTGCTTTGAGTCTGCCTTGGTCTTTCGCAAAGCGTGGAAAACTTTACAGGCCTGTGCTACACCGAAGCGCGAAGGGGTGTCTTGGAAGCAGATCTCTCGCTGCTTCCAGGCAATGCAGTGTGCCCCCGACGCGTCGAGGTGAGGTTTCTGTTTAGTCCTTCTCATACTCGCTCCCCTGCCTCGGGAGCGAGGAACGGTTGGTTGCGCTTTGCGATGACCCCATTTTCAAGCCTTGTAGCTTCACCCCGGAGCTACCTCTCAGCGCAGCATCTTCTCATGGTGTTGACTGCTCGATGTGGGCTCATGGTCTGGATTGGCCGGCAACCAGTCCCGAGGGTGCCAGTGGTCATCTTTCCCTGCACAGACGGACATTTTGTCCCGAGTAAGTCAGAAGTGCAGGACTCTCCGAAAGGGAACCACACCGCTCTGGGGATGCGGACAAGCAGCAAATTTCGAGGCATATCGGGTGCGGACTTACTCAGCAAGATTTCCCTCGCTGACTTGAATGTAGATGCAGAACAATTCCGAGCTCACTCCCGGCAACACTAACGCCAAGGAGAACGCGGCTCGTCTCACTCAAGGCGTCATCCAAGTTCTCCAGCGCTCCGGTGCCGATCCGAACTACATACAGGCCTTCGCTGAGCAGCAGAAAGCTGTCATCGCCCTGACGGAGGAGACGGTCAAGGAGGCGGACCAGATGACTCTCGCTTCAAAGAACATGCTCAAATACGCCAACCACGTTGGCCCCGAGCTCGCCATCGCTGCCGAGCAGTATCAGTTCCTCTCTGAGGACTATCGCGACAGCAAGAAGCAGATGCAGGAAATTGGTGGCCAGCAGGCCGAGGTCATGAACAAGGTCGCGGGTTTGGAGGGTCGCCTTCAGGCTTTGGAAGGTCAGATGAGCGATATCATTCGCAAGGTCGCCAACTTGGAGAGCATGGAGAAGCAGCAGAAGGAGTCGAAAGGTTCGAAGGATGTCTAAGTAGTTTGAAGGATTTGATGCACTGTTCGCGCCCCTGCAAGGCTATGATCGCAAGAACCAGGAACAGCCTGGCTTAGCATAGCATTCACCCAAAGGTTTAAGAGGTCACCACATTCCATCACGACCAGAGAATACAGTTGAACTCGTTCATTACCCTATCGCCTTACTTCCTAGACTTGTGATCTTGTGCTTGACAAGTGATGCTTCGCCTGATGCTTCGCCTGATGTTTGATTGCATGTAATGTACCCTTCTCTGATGATTGAGGTCTGGATGATGTATACCTGACCTACCTTATTCAAAGCTTCAAGGCGGTCAAGCTGTCGATAGGAGGGCGAAACGAAAGAAAAAGGTGAAAGATAAACGAGGAAAGAGCATCTTGGACCAGTCGTGGGTTCCTTCCCGGTGCTTTTGCACGCTCTCGCTTCCACCCACACCGCTAACGATAGGCCACAGCACACAGACGCTACCTAGCCTCTCTATTAACCTAAGGTATTTGTCTTATCATTAGCAAGCTCGAGTTGAACATCTCCGACCCCCGGATTCTTTTCCCACATTTGCGCCTTTACTCACCACCTGGGTTTTGTTGTCCCATCCACAGCTCTTCGTCCCACGCACACAGTTTTCTATTTTCCACAATTTCCTCCCACTCACTTCCTTTCTCTATACACAACTGCCGCTCACCGTCACGCAACCCCACAATGGCACCAGAGCAGAAGAAGAAGAAGAAGAGCCGCCCCGGAAAGCATCAGCGCCAGTACCACAAGGCGAAGAAAGCCCGCGAAGCCCGCGCGAAGTGGCACGAGGCCGAGAACAAGGTCTTTCCGGACACGGGAACGGATCCCAACGGAAAGCCGATGGAGTCAACGGAAGAACGCCAGTCCCCTCAGGGCGATAAGGTTGTCGCGCCCGAACAGAGAATCGAAGAAGCAGCGCCATACGATCGCGAGTACCGTCCTGAGCCAGAGCCCCAGAAGAATACAGGCAAGAACAAGAAGGTGAATGCATTACTGCTACTGACTCTATCAGTCTCCATTCCGTGTTGTTCTCAAGGTGAATAGTCGCCAACTGACGCCACTCGCAGAGCCAGAAGAAGCGCCTTCATCACTTCACCGTTCATCACGGGGAACAGATGATCAGGCGCCAACAGATCAACGAGAGATCCATTCGTCTCATCTGGAAGGCAACCGATGAGAATCAGACCATATCGGAGAAGAAGCACAAAGAGATCAATGAGAGAGCCGCGGTCATCGAGAAGCACTTCAACCTCGCGGCTGAGCAGGGCAGTGCTATGCAGAGAGATATCAAGAAGCTTCAGGAGACTATCAATACTATGCAGCAGGATATTGACACAATGAGAGAGGCGGCTGAGAGCCAAGGGGCCGAGATTTCTGAGCTCAAGAGTAAGCTTGCTGCTGCTCTTCCTCGCCAGGAAGGAAGTGCGGATGAACACACCGGAGATGTCCAGCTTGGTCGGATGGAGGATGATGAAAAGACTGCCCGCGACGAGATCAAGGCTTTACAGCGAGGTTACGAAGAGATAAAGGCTGAGATGGCTGTTATGAAGGAGCAGATGAGTGAGACCGGACGGAAGCGACTTCGCAGCGATGAGAACGACGAGGCTGAAGGAGGCCCTCAGAAGAAGGCCAAGGGACTTGCAGCTGATGAGACTGGAGAGGGAAATCGCGAGCAAGGCCTCAAGCCGAAGGCTGAGGAGGAGACCTGGTTGCCTACCCGACTTCGAGAGGGCAGAAAGACCACTGCCTACTATTGATTCGGATGTTGATTTGTATCGATAGAGAGACGCATGACACTGTTGACTACCCATACCATCGTCATTGACCTGATTCTCCCAGTCATCGGGACTTCGGGACCTATTCGCAGTGTGCGTAGTGGTAGGCGACCACTGGCAGCCGATGGACGCTCCAATCAATCTTGTGGGAGTAGAAATGGTGTCAGATAAGGTATCGTCATAATCATAGACGCGTTCCCTGGCCCAGTTGTCAAAGCCAATCATGCTGGTTCTGGAGCATCAATTAGGGGCCATCACACACTGGCCAATGTTCATATATCATCGAGTAGACCCTGGATATGCCCCTGCCAAGCTTCCGACGACAACCCTACTCATGCCAGTTTAGAGCAGACGAAAGACAAGGTGACTGACTACAGTAGTAAAGCAGCAGGGCTCTAAGTCTGCTGTAAATTGTTACAAGAAGTGGCAAGCAATGATGGAACTCAGTCTGATCTACTTCAGCAAAGGAAAGAAGTGATGGGCATAGGACGCCTGAACGGAAACCATCACATCTCAAAGATGGGAAGGAACGAAGGAAGGGCCTTGTTAGTGCCCCAGCGTCACTTGAACTGCCTTTTTGATATTTCATTCAGAAAAACAACAGCACCAAGTCCGAAGAGTAATTGGGCACATGGGCCTGGATATTTGATTCCACAAAGCAGCCTTTGTGCCTATTTTCTCATATCCCTTCAAATACCCCCTTGCTGCAAACACAACTTACAAGCCTCCACGGAATGTTCCACATGAGAATGGCCACTAGCTTTGGTGCTTTAACCACCTCTAAGACGCATTCTGTCATTGTCCGAGGGAACACAGTCAAGGCCGTCAGGGTCCACCGGCTGAGTGGCTTGATGCAGACCACTGACACACCAATTCAAACTCATCGTCACTTTTAGCAGGTCCAACTCGAATCCCGTCACAACTTCTTTGAGATCCAAGCCTTCCATAAGTGACAAGTCGACAGAAACCTAGGTTTTGTTAGCGAAAATACTTGTGGGCTGTTCTGGAGGTGCTCGAACCAGGTCTGAAATCTGAACCCCTTGTTGAGCAGCCTGCCTATTGTTGGCGTTGATGGCATCTCTCATGCGACCAAGGAGTTGTTCAACTTCCTCTTCCACCTTCTTAAAGGCTTCTCGTTCCTTATCGTTCGTGGTCGACTTGCTTTCGATGGCTGAGCGGACGCTCTCGAGTCTTTCGGAGTTCGTACTGGACTGAGATTGAATGGCAAAGGTCATCTGCATGCGGTCCCAGAGCTTTTTCATCTCCTGGGGCGGTAACAGTCAGCTTTACAGACTTCCAGACACGAGATGTGTGCTGCGAGGGCCGACTATACCGCTTCTCCCCCCATGATGACCGTCATCTTTCTGCCATTCTCATCGGTGGCCACTTGCTTCTTAGGCTTGTCCGGTTTGCCGTTCTGGTTACCCAGCTGCTCGGTGGTCTCTTGGTGCATCTTTTTGGCCTTCTTCCCCTTGTTCTGCTTCTTCTTAGATACGTTCTTCTTTTTGGCCATTGTGAGGCGATTCCGCTGGTCGATATGGAGGCAGATGGATGTGGTTGGTGAAGGCTACTATCTGTATGGTGAGTACTGGAGATGAAGATTGGCCTGTGTCGAAGAGAAAGGTCGAGGGTGCTGTTTGACAGTATTTGTACAGGTTGCGAACGCGGAGGGTAAAGAGGGTCAACCGAACTGTTGGTTCAGAGAGGTTGCGGGTGGAGGCAGATTCTGTGCAAACGGCCACGCGCCTATGTCGCGCGACGTGACGTGCCTATTAGGCATCAACCATAACATTCGAGTCTTCAAACTCAGATGGGAAGCGAATAAGGGAGACCGTCAAGTTAACCGATTCTGGAGATGGCTCATAGAGATATTTCACACGTATCGGTTGGTCGAGTAACTCTTGGCAAGCTGCAGGATCTTCTCACATGGAAGCTATAAATGTCACTTATCTCCACTTACCAGGACAAGCACACCACGCCGGACGCCAAACAGCCAGGCACCCTCTACATGAGAAAATTTGACTACCTGGATGATTCCAGTAGACTGTTGGTAGTTGAGTTATACGCAGGACCACCTTTGGTTAAGGGCGTGCCCCTCCTTCCCACCACACTTGCGCCACTCTGGTGACGGACCCCGGTCCGGCCCGCTGGAAGTGTCTTCCGGTGGTCCCCATTGGCTTACAAGCCCGCTGCACTGCAACCCACTCACCATCTCTGCCAACCACATTCGTCCAGTGACATTCCCAGACCTGTGGCGTTTTTGGGTGTTGAGTGCGGCTTAAAAGTACTTTGACGACGCGTCTTTCTAAATAGTCCGTACTAAAGGGATTACCTTTGGTTTTGCCTCGATCGATGGCAATCTTGCTTATGCCCCAGTTGAAGTGTAGGTTGGCGACACTAAGGTATTTCGGGTTTGCAGTGGACTCTTTGTGGACAAGTAGGATAACATGAACTCCAGGTGCGCTTGAAATAGATCTGGGCTAAGCCTCATCAAATCGCACTCCGTGAACAGCCTTACCCATCACGGAACTTTGGCAGAAAATTTGACCATGTGGCATTTCCTCATCACATCTAGGTTATCACACACAATCAAGAATGCTAGGCTGACTGTAACCTTGGAATTGTTCTCTCTGAATACCCTATCCGTGAATCCCACTACTAAAGCTGACGGTCCACGAGGTAGCCCAATCCTTTACCTTCTCAAATCCAAAGACAAAAACCTCAAGTCCTGACAGCACACCCAGGCTTTGCCAATAGCGCATGACCGACCGTAAGATGGAGACATCTCAAATGTGGTACACGTAAGTTACGTTCGGCTGGGTACGCGTCTCAAAGACCTCAAGCTCCTCCTGAACAACATCGCGGGCCAGACCCTCCATGTCCTGTCCAAAGTCCTCCTCGATCTCGGCCTTCACGTCCTTTTGCAGATCGGTCTTCATAGTGTCCTTGACCTTGGTAACCTCGGCAGCAACGATAACAGGGACCAGCGCCTCGATCTGGGCAAGCATCCACTGGGAGTCATTGCCGGTCTTCTTCTTGATGGCTTCATCCATCTCCTTGGAAAGCTGGTTCTTGAAGTAGACGTCGAGAGCGTCCTGCAAGTTGGCAACGACACACTCTTGAATGATGGGAACAGCACCTCGGATGGCAGGGAGCATGTGCTCCTCAGCCTTGGCCGCAAGAGTGGTGCCGATGGCTTGCTGGGCGTCGTTCACAATCTTGAAGACATCGTCCTTGATCTCTCCCTTCATGGTGTCTTTGAGCTGGTCCAGGGCATCCTGCGTGAGAGCGACCTTGATTCTGTTGAAGACCTCTTCTTTGATCTCATTCTTCATCTCGTTGTTGACTTCGTTCTGGATCTCCTTGAGCTCAGCAATGACACTGCCCTTCACGTCCTCCATGATGTCGTACTTGAGCTGGCTAACCATCTCAAGTCTCATCTCGCGCTTGACGTCCTGCTTGACCTTGAAAGTGATGTCGCGCTTGAGGATAAACTTGAGCTCCTCTCTGAGCTCATAGTAAATGCGGCCCTTGGTGCCACCGATGAGCTCCTGAGCGAGCTCCTGGATGAGACGCTCCTCGATTGAGCGCTTGAAGTCTCCGTCGACTCTGGCCTGAAGCTCCTTCTTGAGCTCGTTCTTGAGTTCATGCATGATGTGAGCCATGAAAGCAGCAGTGTTGTCGCTGGTGAGCGCCTGCTCAAAGACAGGCGTTTCCTTTGACGGGCTGACGGAACGGTATGACAAGGGGGAGTTGCAGTTGACAGAGGTGTCTCCAAGGGAAGAGATGTCGGACAGAGTTGAACGCTCAGACTTGATGCCCTTCAAGCCAGACAAGGCGTCCTTGGACGCTCCAGAGATGTGTCCGCTGCAGCAATCGTCAACGGCATCCTCAGTAGGGCTAACGTTATTAGTGCCCCCAATATTGTTGGTATATTCAGTTGTCATAGCGCTGCCGGTGCGGCCAGAAGCGGCAGGGCGGTGAGCGTGGTGCTCGTTGGCCATGAGCTCAATCGGCTCACGGTTCAAGGCCTGGATGATGTGCTTCTTATTGTCTGCCTCCATTTTGATGTGCTGCTGCTTCTCATTCTCAAAGGCTTCCTTAGCCGCAGCAATCTTCTTGTTGTTCTCGTCGAGACTGGCATTCAAGGCGGCTCTCTCCATCATGAGCTCCTGCAAATCCATGGTCAGTATTGCAATCATCGGCGCTCATCGACTACATCGTAGATCCATCACTGTCAAAAAAAGCAGCGTGAGCACTCATCTCGATGAGGTCGGCAGACTTGACAGTCTCGGGAACGAGATGCATCTTGGCGAGCCGGTACACCTGAATTGATCAGCAAAATAAGCTAGGATTGGGATATGAAGAAATTCTTACGTTTGGTACGCGTCGGCTTGTGATTCTTGTTGAAATTTGTGTTGTGGTGGATGCTTGAATGTGAAGATCGCAAGAAAAAATGAATTGTTGTGCGAAGTGCGAGCCGAAGAGTGTGTATGAGAGGGGAAGAGTGAGGCAATGTGCGGGTGAGAGAAAGTAGAGGACGCAGCTGGGAGAACGCGAGATTGTCTTGATGGCGCGTCGGGGAGCCGTCTGAAAGATGCTTGAGAGGGAAGGCGCGATTGAGAGAGGGCAGGAGCTGGGTCAGAAGTTGAGGAAGGTGCCAGCCATCAAACCCAGACTCACCTCACCTTCACCTTCATCTTCATCTTGGCCTAAGGTGAGAAGCTTCCCATGCACTCTGGCTTACAGGTAAGATGCCTGAGGTATCATACTCTGTAGCTACTGGACGAAGACAGGAAATAGTCAACTGCAATGTAATGGAAGCTGGAACGGGACGGCTTGTTATCGAGCTCTCAATGAGACTAATCCAGGTTGTAGAAAAGCCTCTATACGCCGCGTTGCCTTTACGAATCATCCACTTGATGAGAAAGATTCATTGAATTCAAGTTTGGCCGGATTTAAATACAAACGACAAATGGCGTCCGGGAACCTTTTCTGTTCCCCATCGCCTTGAGCCCTCAGCCAGCATCTCATGCCCCCAAGCGTGCTGCCTTCAGTCGTATCTCATACTCGCATCTGACATGGAGCTCCCGTCGTCGTGTTCTTGACCTGACCTTTCCGCTTTCCTCTGGTGTCGAGTCTTCTTTCGTCCTGGGTCATCCTTGTTGCGTTCCAAAGTTTCCTTTATCCCGCTTCTGGCCTTACATCTCAGAAAGTCTGAACAACTGCCTCTCTTTCGGAGGGACGATTCCCCGGTCCCGTTATTGAGCTTTGGTAGTTTGCGGGTGTCGGAGTGATTTGGAATCGCTACATGCAAGTGAGATGTCGCTTTCCAAGTTGGACTCACTCATAGAACCACCCGTAGCATCTACCTTGAAGCCGCTTCTGAAGCGTTTATCTGCATTTAGCTGAATCTTGCTTTCTTTCCTTGGCAACAATTTCCGCAGTAATCCATGTTTGTTCGGGATCCTCGGGATCCTCGGGGTCTTCATACTTGCGCCGTCGCTTGAGTCCCGTTGCGTCGTATATTTGACATTAAAAGCAGAGACAGTGTCTGTAGTGAGAGTGATATTCCCTTGCGCCTCCTTTGTTCACAATCACCCTCGTGAGTCTCACGTATTGTTTGTCGCGCACCGTGGGTATTCGAAATCTTAGCTCGCAGATGGCGGTTGTCGCCCTTTTGCGCACGATACCCGCCGTCAATGAGCTCCCTCAAGTTGGAATCGTTTGACATCTGTCTTGCAAGCTCCGTTTTCTTCAAGCAAGCTTTTTTAGAGTGTCTATAACACCATAATCACAGCCATAATGCGAAAGAATTTCTGCAATGGTCCTCCTCATAACAGCGAGAAATTTGACGGACAGGGATATTTGGTAGGGGGCCACCTGCACATTGAACGTCACATCGACAGTGGTTCAAGCCCTTATTAACCTCCCGTGAGTCCGGTACTTGCTTCACAATTAGCAATCCCGATCCCCGGGAGCCTGGACCGTTGTGGCCGCCGAGAATAACTCCAGCCGCTTCGAGTCAATGAGTTTTGGAGTCTCCCGCGCGCGCAGTTTTGCTGACGTGAACTTAAAGTTTAGGGCTTTATTCATGCTTGGACTGAAAGCGCTCTTTTGACGTCTCATAATTAGCGAGAACGAGGGCGCAACCAAAGAAGAGACTTGGCCTGAGTAGTCATCCTGGCAGATTGCCCTCTATAGAAGACAGAGTGCCCTAGCCGGGCCCACCAACTTACTTGCTGGTCCGGGTACTTGAACCATTTGAATTGAAGGACCTGACTCAGCGGGAAGGAGAAGCTTAAGAGCGCGGTCAGGGCGTCTCTGACTTAGGTTGCTGCCAAGAACATGGGGGCTGAACTTATGTAGGGGGGAGGTCCAACCGTCCAAAGAGCCTGGGCCTGATTAGCATCTGAAAGGGACGAAACACTTAATCGAAAACCAACAGTGAGGGCCAACTTTTACTCCTGAATTACACTCATTCTGACGGAAACAGCTCGGTGGTCTTCCCATGTGCTCACCCTGTCGCCATGTTTTCCCATCCTCGACGCTAATATGAACACAGCCGCATAGTTTTGCGACGCGCGAGCCCGACATCGCACGAATCGGGGTGCTCTCGACAGGCGCGAAGGATTTCAATCAGGGCGGACGTGCAGATGAACTTCCCGAAACACCAGTATTGATCCCGTTGTCGTGTTCGTACTCTTCAATCCACACAATGACTCGTGCGAGAACAGACTCAACGCCCCTGAGCAATGTTGAATAACCCGTCCCAAGCTCATCAACCGTTGCGATTGTTGGAACTTGCGACTCCCCTTCGCGCCGTTGTCGAGTGAAGCTAAGCACCTGCAGGACTCTGTTGTACAAGGTCATGAGTTCTTCCTTCTTCTTCAGGAGTATCTGGTAGTCTTCCGCAGTCTTGGGTTGTTCTTCAACTTCGCGAGTGTCTAGATGTTCGAGTGCGACTGACACGATTTTTGTCACGGCCGCGATGTCTTGTGCGCTTATGCCCTCAGATGTGGGGGTGCTCGTTGGCGGGTTATCGTTGCCCTGATGGGACGTCAATCGTTCTGCTGGGCTTTTTGGCAACCAACTTGCCCTGGCCCGATTGGAAGGAGACGTACATTGACTGAGCCGGCCATCATCAAATGCTTGGTGTTCGACTACTTGTACGACATGGGCGCATGAGCTTGCTTGGTTCGCGAAGCGCGAAGCGGGAGGCCGAGAATCCAACGTGTCTGATCGGTTGCAGTTGGATTATTGTCAGATTGAGGCAGCGTAAGAGATTTTGAAAGTTGGAAGAGGGGGACCTGTCGGAAGATAAGGTAAGCGACTTTGACAACAGACAGGGAGAGTGAGATCAACGACCAGGTAGATAACAACCGTGAGAAGTCCGAAGAGCTCAGCAAGGAAAGTGCTCTTGACGCCCTTTTCTCATTCTGGAACCATATTACTGATCCATGCTCTTTCCGCTGGGCAGATTCTATCGATGTCAAGAAACGTCAAATCTGCAAAAGGAAAGAGTCTTCATTCAAAGTGCAACGGTGGTAAGGCTGAAGTACTCCTTAGGCCTGAGCATTAAATAAGGAAGGCAATTCTGTCAGGGATCTGACTCAGCTGTCACCAGGTTGACCCAGGTTGCCTCCCGCCAGACCAACTGCTTAATTACAAGCCATGTCCCATACTAGTGTCACATATAGCATCGTCCCGTGGTTCTGTTCGTATTTCATCGCATTTATCCTCGCGGGTTCATCTCGAGCCACGCGTGCTAAAACTCGGTGTTGACACCTCCCATCGTCGATTCGTTGCTGGGCTCTTCCGGCCAAGCGTCCCATTGACAACTCCGATCCGCCACAGCCAGAACGAGAGGCCAAAGAGGCTCACTCAGAGCATGCTCAACAGCAAATTGACGCGCGTCATGTTCTCGATTAGGGCGATTTGAACACGATCGAAAGCGGCCTGGAGTGCCTCCCCCATATTACCGTCCCGAATGACTCCCATCTCAATCTTGAGTATTGCCTTGCGCTGGGCCTTGTAAACCGCTAGTCCCCTCGTGTACTTGACGCGCTGGCGGCGGCGCCATCTCTTGGTGAGGTAGGCATCAATGTCGAGGTCGATCGTACAGTCTTCGGCCTCGTCATGGGCTGCGACGAGAGCCTGAGAACACAAGACGATTAGCATGGCAATCATGATCGATTGGGGTTCTTCAAGTGCGAAAGTTGCTTACGTCGAGGAAGAGCTGCAATTGCCAGAGAACTATGGGGCTCTGGTTCTTCCACAACAACATCTCCTCTTCTAATCTGTACGCGAGAAGAGGCTTCTCGGTCTCTTCGGAGGTTCCGCCTTTCTCGGATCCATCTTCCAATACTTCGTCTTCGACAGTTGCCTAGCGAGTAAATGTACGATTAGCAAAACTTTCGAGGCATCTGATGGGACGTGGGCTTACGCCGTGGGACGTCGCCATGGTTGCGGTTTGGTAAGTTGCCGTCGATGTTGTTGTTGTTTCGATTCGAAATTTTTCGAGGGTGAAGAGATGCTTCTCGGCCGAAGAAGAATTCGGCAGAGAAAGGGTTTCCTTCTCTCTTTTCGATAAAAGAAATTATCCCACAGACACCGTGGGCTCTGATGATGCCTCTGCCTCCTGCCGATGGAGCAAGGGGAGGCATGCTATCCGGGAGCCTCAGGCGACGAGCTCACCCGGAAACTCCATCCATTTCCTTCAGGCTATTTGTTGAGAATTTGTAAGACTCATAATTCACAAACCATCTTGTATGCCAGAGCCATAGGCCACCTGTTGGAAGTAGCTGACGAGGCACGAAATAGTCGGTCGACTTCTTTGCCCTTTCTAGTAGAAGATTTGCTGTCGTTGCGTCAAAGCGAGTTGGTATCTTCAGGAAGAAAAGAGTCCGAGAGATCGAAAGTCCGGGCTTGGAGGGCCAGCCTCCAGCCGGTATCAACAGAGTGAGATATCCTGTGAATTCGAAATTAGATGTCGTGCTCGTTTGTTCTGATAAGAAGAATTGACAATTACCTCGAGCATATTTTTCTGTAGCACTGGAATGCTTCGAGCATACTTCTTTGTAGCACTTAATTGCTTCGAGCACATTCCCTTGTAGGACCTCATCGTTTTATTAGGATTGTATCGTCCGAGGTAGATCGTCCGGTGTATGAGACGAGGAAGTCAAAATTGCGGTGACTGTTTACCAGGTTGAGACGTTGATGAAAGAGGAAGGTAACTGGGACTGCGTGACGGATCAACTTCCGTCCCATTTGAGCTGCCTTACAGACAGGGAAGGAAACTTCCCTTGTTGAGTGCCTCAGGCGGTAAGCCATTGAGTTTTCACCTTAGGTAACACTTGTCTGTCACAACACAAAGGCAATTATCCTATTGGAAGAAAAAGGAGCTCATGGTGCTGTTATTTGACTTATTTCTTTGACTACAATCACGCACCAGCAAAGCTGATTTGTCTAGACCTACTTACAGCACACACTTCCAAGTATCAGGATCTTTGTAGTCACCATGTCAGGGCGCATCGGGTGCGCGGGGCCTACCCCGCGCACGCGCAGCCCTAGCCCCGCTAGTACGCACGTAACTCGTAGACGGGCTATAGAATTATAGGAGGTAAGGTTTAGTATTAATATTAATAAGGACCTAACTATAAACTCGTAGCCTATTTATTTATTACTTTATATAATAAAATAGTAATAAACTAAACTTTTTATTAACCCCTTAACGGACTAATAAATAATATATTAATAAATACTTATTATATAAATTATAATAACTTAGTTACCCTACCCCTAGGGAGTAGCGAGTTTTAAGTATTTATAACGTAAGGAAGCTTATAAAAGTAATTATAAAAACCTTTTAATTAGTAGTAATATACTAAGTATTAAGGAGCGTAGTTATTAAAAAAAGTAAAAGTTAAAAATATAAATTTATATTATTAAAGTTAAGTAGTATATTTATTAATAACGTGTAGAGTTAGAACGTTTATAATAAAAAGAGGAAAATAAGATAGGTATTTTATTTAAAGAGTAAGGGCTTTATGAGGATTTATTATATTATAATAAATAAGTAAAAAAATAAATAAGATAAATAAAGGGTTATTAAGTAGCGTAAGAGATAATATAAAGGTTATTTAAGTTTGCTATATTATTAGCTCTAGCCCTTATTTATAATAAAAGGGGCTAAAGGAATTAAAACTATTTTTATATAATTATTACTAATACTTAGTTATATAATAGGAAGCTACTTAGTAATAATATTAAAATAGTAATAGCTTTATATTTTTTTAAGAGCGAGCTAAGACTACTTAAGTATATTATATAGAGGAATAAAAGAGGTAGGATTTATAATATATAGCTATATTATTATAAAAAGGATTCGAAGCGTATTTATATAACTAGTTAATAAATTTAAGTAATTATATATTAATAGCGAGCTTATAGCTCGAGAAGCTATATTAAAAAGATAATAAAATAATTAATTATTTTATAGCAGCTTACGATAAATTAGAAGTAGAGCTATTTTTTAATTAAATAGAAGAGTAATATATTACGAGCCTATTTAATAAACTAAAATACTGTTACGGCCAGCTAGTCGTAGTGAGTATGTTAGCAGAAGTTGAGGCTGCGATAACTAAGTAAACAGTGTCGTAGTCGTGGATAGCTTCCCTGAAGCTATGTCTGTAAATCGTAAGGTGGGTAAGGCTTCGGTGATCAATCGTAGTCTTGTCAGAAGGGGTTCTCAGTGAAGATAGCTGAAAGCGATCGTAAGATCTGATACTAAGTTGATTGCTGAAGAAGCTATGGAAGTCTGTCCTTGTGCCCGGCTCAAGTCCACACTATATACAAGTCTCGTTCCTGAACATATTCTTTGTCCGTATGTTTACCCAACGGTTCGGTTCCCGTGTTCTGAACATACGGGTTCCGTATCGTGAAAGGACGGACCCGTATCTCGAACGTACGGAGTTCCTTATCTCTTATCGTCACGTGACTTGTCCCATAGTTCTTCCGTCCCGAGAGGAGTCGCCCTGAGTTCGTGTTCCCGCATATATGGTGTGGTAGCCGCCGTAGGTCCTGTGGGGCAGGCCCTGGCCTTGTCATGCGTGTTGGGTCGTAACATCAGCTCCTCTCTCAAAGGTCTAGTCCTCTAGGCCTATAAGTAGGTCCCTTGTTCCCAGGTTGGGAATCATCAAGCTTGCCTTTCTAGCGCAATGTGCTGACACGATGTCAGGTCGTGTTGAAAAACGTTCTTTGAAAAACACTATCTCGAAACTTCGGTCGGCTTGTGACGACGTGTTTGATCGTTTTGGTTCTAGCGACGTTATGCCCTGCACTCGGTGTTTTCGCGCCAAACGTCCATGTCGGATGGCTGATGGCGCCAAAACGTGCCAAGGCTGCAAAACCTGAAGCGTTCTTGCGATGGTTTCGTTGTGGCATCGAGTCGTTCGTGCTTCCGCCGTTGTTCCGGTTTCTTAGGCTGACTATTTCGTAGTGCAACGGCTGAGTGACCAGCGTCAAGAATGGGAAGAGAAGGAGGAGCAGGCTACGCCTTGCTCGATCTTCATGAAAAACTGGCTCGGATACAGTCAGAGGTTGCTGAGGCAGCGGGCCGTCTTGCTCGTATCCGGGCGATCCGAAAGAAAGTGAAGGAGAGGCATGTGAAACTTTTGCTCGTGGTATGCAGGAGTTGGAAGAAGAGGATGGTGTTCTTCCTGCGCTGGATGCTCACGAGCGGTGGGTCGAGCGATCTCCAGGCTGCTGGCGTTTCTAATGATGCCGACTGGCCTTCTTTCGGGATTGGCGACGAGTTCGCGTCCCTGGGGCCGTTGGTGTCGTCTTCTGGTAATCCTCGAGAAGCTGTCGAGAGTTCTGGAGGTTCGTGACGGGTTCCCATGTGTTTTCCTCGTGTCCGTAGTTTTTCCATTTGATTAAGAATTCTTTTGTTTCGTTCCTGACTCTATGGTCGATGATTTTTCGACTTCGTATTCTGGTTCATTGGGTTCCACGATGATGCAATCTTCTGTGTGTGAGCCCTTAGGTGCTGGTTCGAGAAGTGAAATGTGAAAGACTGGATGACACTTCATCGTGTCTGGTAGTCTCAACTTGTAGTTGACGTTTGAGACTTTCTGAATGATTTCGAAAGGTCCGAGCTTTTGTAGTCCAGTTTGTCGCTTGGTCGTTTTGTTTTGATGTTGCGGCGAAGGAGGTAGGCGCTATCTCCTCTTCCAAGGTTGGTCCTCCAATCCTTGATCTATTCGCGTTTTTCTTCATGCGTTGACGTACAAACTCGAGATCCAAAGATGCTTTCTTCTGGATTTCTTTGAGTTTTGCCACGCTGGCCACTGCTTTAACAGCTTGTGGTCCTTGTCGTGCTTCTCCGTACACTGTTGGCTGATATCCGTAGTTCAAGTAGAACGGGATTCTCTTGTGCTTTCGCCAACTGCACTGTTGTATGCGAATTGGGCCATTGGTAACAATGTTACCCAGTTGTTCTGATCGTAGTTCACATAACAACGGAGGTATGTCTCGAGAATCTGGTTGATTCTTTCTGTCTGTCCATCGGTCTGCGGGTGGAAAGAGGTTGACAGTTTGTGATCTGTACAAGTTGCGAGATCAGGGATCTCCAAAACTTTGAAGTAAACAGAGAGCCTCTGTCAGAGATAATTTCCTTCGGCGTACCGTGGTTGGCAACAACGATTTTGAGGAACGTGTACGCTAACTCTCTGCGCTGCTGGCCTCTTTGTAAGGTATAAAGTGGGCGAACTTGGTGAGTCGATCGACTATAACCAAGATGCTGTCGTACCATACGTTCGTGAGTGGTTCTTTGGACTTTGGTAGTTTGACGATAAAGTCCCATGAGATTGATTGCCATGCTTCCGTTGGTGGTTGCAATGGTTGCAGCTCGCCATAGGGCTTGTGCGGGCTGTTCTTGCTTTTCTTGCAGGTCGCACAGTCCTTAATTGCTTCCGCAATTTCTGCGCGTGTGGCGGATTTGTCGTAGTGCTGGCGAATCCGTTTCCACGTTTTGGTAACTCCTTGGTGACCGTGTGCAGGTGCACTGTGAATTTCCATGATGAGCTCAGGGGTCATCCTTCCAGTCGGGCTGGTACTGATCCTTCTGGCTATCATAAGAAGCTTCGTAGTTGGTACAAGGCTACCGTCTTCTTCTTGTTTGAGGATAACCTGTGTCTCCTCGGGGACCGTGACTTCGTGGTCGGGTCTTCTGCTGAGAGCGTCTGCTCTGCTGTTTTCTGAACCTTTCCGATAAATGATTCGGAAGTTGTATTCAGATAGGAACTCGCTCCATCTGACTTGTCGTTTGTTCAGGTTCTTGTTTGTCGAAGTTCGCGAGATTCTTGTGGTCTGTGTAGACTGTGACTTCATGCTTGGTTCCGGATAACTGTGGTCTCCATTCTCGAAATGCTTCGATGATGGCCATCAGTTCTTTGTCGTGGA